CAACCATGCGCCTGGCCTAAGCATAATTCTAAGACAGAGGGAAACGAGTAACCCCTCCTCAGGTCGCGACGACTGAGGAGGGGCGCCAAAACTGTCGCTTGTTTTATGTTAGAGACAGAAACTCTGGCTTGAATTTCTTGGTGGATACTGGCGCTGCTCTTAGCATCATCCCTCAAAATAAAACTGAGATTAGTCGAGAAACATCACCAATTACACTTCAAGCTGCAAATGAAACTAAAATTGCGACATTTGGGCAGAAAAATTTAACCCTAGATTTGGGGTTCAGGAGGCAATTCCCTTGGGTTTTCACGGTAGCCGACTTAGATCTGGCAATACTGGGGATGGACTTTCTAGAGAGATATGAATTTCTAGTTGGCACCAAGAAACGGCGATTAACACTAAAAGAAACTTCGCATTACACAAAAGGGAAAGAAAGTCACATCAGCTCTCTTAACTTGATTCAAACTCCTCCAGTAACAACAGCGAAATTCCAAGATATACTCGCGGAATTTCCAAACTTAACTAAACCAAACCCACAGCCTTCCAAGGACAAACTAAAAGTAAGTCACACTATCAAAACCGAAGGTGCACCGGTTTTTGCAAAACCCAGGAGACTAGCACCAGATTAGCTCAAAATCGTTAGGGTCGAGTTTGATTATATGCTACAACTGGGTATTCTCCGTCCCTCTGATAGTCAATGGGCATCCCCTTTGCATATGGTCCCAAAGAAGAATGAAGGTGAATGGCGACCGTACGGGGGTTACAGAGCCCTCAACCGTCAAACCGTACCAGATAGGTACCCAATACCGCATATCCAAGATTTCACAAACGGTTTACAGGGTATGAACATATTCACTAAAATTGACTTAGTCAGGGCATATCACAATATCCCAGTGGCTAATGAAGATATTCCCAAGACAGCTATTACAACACCCCTTGAATTATTCGAGTTTGTACGCATGCCATTCGGCCTGAGAAACGCGGCACTTCCTCAGATATTCTTGTTCCACATTCTCACACTTTCTCTTGAAAGCACGCAGCAAACCGTCAGAGATATTTGTAGAAGAAATCACATGCTACAAAATAAGATGACAAGCTAGTAAATGACGAGACATCCATGGACTATCGTTGACAGCGTCAGTCGTCACTGATTGTAAGTCAAATAGTGAGCGAGTTGATAATTTTCCTTTGGGATGAGAAATCGAACTAAGGTGTTTTCGATAGATAGGTTAATCGAACCGACGCTCCTACGGAAGTCGATTCTAGGGGGAAGCTAATGTAACAGCTTAGGTTGGTTGGTTAAGAGTTGACACCAAACAACCAAGCATATGCCAAAACAGTATTGTTCAAGTATTCATTCACCTCCTTATTTTGTATAAGCGTTATATTCCCTAATATCTTATATTGAATGTTGAGAGCCTTTGTTTGTCTGAACAGATAATCCAACGCACCACTGTGACTGCGCGAAGATAGAAATAAAGACCTATTCACTACTTCTCTGGTTTCTTCTATCAATAGCACGAGGGTTACCTTATGGCAAGAAACATCTGTGTAATATTCAAGAAAATAATGATTGTAAAGACGTTTCAGCTGCTTGAAAATCAATAGGAGTAGCACCGACAAAAGTGATCAATAATCTAACTGCAGTTGTTTGGATAGCCGTTCCTAACAAGCTAGAAATCCGAACTATTCCGTAGCCTTCTAACTGATCAAACGCGACCTTATTTCCACTGATATGTAAACACATTGCACTGAAAACTTTACGAAACATTAAGGATAAAGATCAGTTTGACGAGAGGCTGAAATCGACCATAACAAAGTGCCCCGGAAAAGATCTGAACATCCTGATGGGAGGCCTAAACACCAATGTTAGAATAGACAACACCGGATATGAAGAGGTCATAGGACAAAATGGACTGGGAGAAAGGAACAAGAATGGTGACAAATTTGTGGATTCATGTGCAATCAAAAAATGGCTATAGGCGACACTAGTACCGCCAGAAAAAACTTCAGGAGAAGGAATTATGAAACAACTATATTGCACAACTAAGAAACTAGCAGGACAACGTAGTAAATCAGAGAGACCAGTTAAGGACAATGAAAACGGGACAATCACTGAGACTCAAGGACAGAGGAACAGCTGGGTAGAACACGTAACTGAACAGCATCATTGATGAACAAGGAGGATCTGATGCAGATATAAAGGCAAGGATTGACAAAGCAAGGGTCGCATTCCTACAATTCAAGGAAACATATGGAGCTCAAAACAACTGTCAGTCAACATCCAATTGAGAATCCTGAATACGAAAGTCAAGACAGTTCTGTTGTATGGAGCTGAGACGTGGAAAACTTCTACGACCATCATCAAAATGCACAAGTATTTCAAAAGAATTGTCTACTCGAGATACTCCATGTCCATTGACCGGACGCCACCAGCAACAACCTACTGTGGGAGAGTATATATAAACTGCCGGTTGAAGGGGAAACTAGGAGAAGACGTTGTGAGTGGATGAAACATGTATTGAGGAAATCACCAATGTGCATCATGGGGCAAGCATCAACTTGGAATGCTGAGGGGAAAAGGAGAAGAGGGAGACCGAAGAACATGTTGGGTCGGGAATCGGGAAGAGACATGAAAAGGATGAATATCGGCTGTGAACAACTGGAAAGAATGACCTATGACAGAGTTTGATGGAGAATCGTGATGAGCGACCCATGCTTTTCTATGAGGGGTAAGAGACGTAAGTTATTTAATAACTTGATTGCAATGATTACCTTGCTGCGTTCAGTGTCATTACATTTGAGCCCCATCAAAGCTTATCAGCATACGTTACCAAGTCATAAAGCATTTGACTGCTGGGTCGTTTTTGACTTTAATAATAGCCATGTGGTTTCCATAGATAATCGTGATCTTCGGTACACATATGTGTCCTTTGATTTCTAACCTTGTTTGTGTCTGTTGCTGATTGTTTTCTCCAGTGTCTCTGTTACATAACTTGCAATATTTTTGAGCCACACTATAATAAGTAGTGTAGGCAAGATATCACGTTTGCTTTTTCCTTTTTGCTTCGGTTTTCTGGTTTTTCATTGCAATTTTTGTCTACATAAACACCTGTATAAAACATACCAATCTAACTTTATCCGCGCTTGGCTGCTTATTACCGTCAGTGCATAAACGTAGTTAACCCAGAGGTAGTACACGAAATAAAATGGAATATATTTGTCCACGGTGTATTATATTCGTACTTCAGAACCAGAGTCAGATTAACGATCAACTAAAATCATCCCGGTTTTTCCTTGCAAACCTTCTGTAATTATGTTCGTAGACCTTAGATATGTTTTCTTGCGACGCACCACCTCTTAGCACATGACCTTAGCGTTGTTGGCTGAAGGATTGGACACTACTACTCGTGGTCGAGAGCGAACCAAGATCTATGGCCCATAGGGTCTTTGATTGATATGGAAACAATAAATATATATTGTCGTATAAGCTATACATTTACTTGAGGAATTTGAACTGATGAATAAACCTGCGGAACAACTGTATCTGTTCATTACAAGCACGTTCGCGCATGAGTTTGTATATATGCTTGTTAGTTTGCTAAAATTCTCTCTCTCCCTCTACATATATATATATATATATATATATATGGTATAACGATAACCCCTCGTTTTTACCCTTAAAGCAATGTTGTAACGATGTTAGTCTCGGCCCATTCACTTGCATATTCAGTTGACCTTATGGTTTCAGATGAAATTGATGCTATTCATTTCGCCCTTAATTTGGGTCCTTCTATATACTCCTTTATTTGTTGGTTTTCACCGATTATGTTTAGAATGTTTTAATTAACCCCTAAATTAAGTGATCGATGTATTGTTTTTTCGGGTCTGAACCATCGACCTTTTTGTTTGGCTTGCAACTTATTAATATTCCTTAAACACTTGATGACTTTGTGCTTTACTTCACAAAGTCTGTGCGGAGCTTTTGGCTGTTAGCCGATAACGGTTTTAATTGATAAACCTTTATCCAAAAGAATCAGGTCTCCAGATTGTGTAGAATATACAAGTTCTTCGTCAAGTAGCATTTTTCAGTCCTTTTTAGCGACTTATTTACTTGAGATGAAGGACTAATGACCTATCTGTAACTGAAGGTTTTAAAGAATTCGAACTACATCCATTAGGACGTAATATCGAAACTGTTATGTTCTACTATTTCGTAGAGAGGATTTTTAGAAACATTACTACTTGTTCAAGAGAGACCTCAGTTATTTCTCCATCTGTTTACCTGCTGCTAAAAAGCACGATCAACGTGGGAAGTTCACAAAATAAAAGTACCTCGAAAATGGGTAATACTGACGGCAACAATTATAGATTGTGTTCAATTCATTATTAAAAGCCACACAATCAACTGGTCTTCAGGAATTCATCAGCATCGCATGTGATTGTTTCTGTTTTTATTACATTCTCTCCTAATTCTAATCAAATTTTTATTGAAACTAAGGTAAAAATAGATTTCATGTGAAAATTAACAACGGAAGAAGAGAACACAGTTTGTTTTGTCTGCAATGACTTAAAGGGTTTGCTGACACCAGAAAAAGCCGGAAACATCAGAAACTCCTTCAAGGTTAATCACGTTCAAATGACAACTAGCAATTCAAAATTTCTAAGCGTTTAAGTCATTATGTTTGGACAAGAAGTGCATAACCATCCAAATTATATCAAGGTGGCAGCAAATGGTTACTATTTGACCTGGATTACTCAAATGCAGACGACAGGCCATTTAATTTTGTTAGTATCTGCATGAAACATGTAGGAGATAGCCATAAAATGATTTGACATGTGTCCGACCCTATTAACTATTCTAATGTAACACATTACAAAGTATTTGTATTTCGCTGAGTTGATTTTATGCGCTTCTCCATTTTTAATCACATTTGAGACATAAATAACTAGCCACCGATGCAAAACCGTTCAGCGAAGTCTGAAAAAAGAGCTCAGGTGAATAGAAATCACATATTTTAACAGAAGAAATATGAACGTCCATAAAAAACTCAGGTGTTTGTTGTATTCGTCACGGATTTAAACCAAGAAGGCACAGTATTCAACCCAAATATCGGCACCGTGTAACTTGATACAGCTGCAACAGCAGCTAAACCACCAACTATGTTCAATGGGATCCCAGCCAATAACTATAAAATGGAAAGTATGGAATACATTCAGACAAACAATCTACGAAATCTCTCATCATCTGACAAAACAGACGAAATGTTTAGTAAAACCAAACATCACATGTAATCAACTTTACTAGTTGTTCAGTTGTGTCAATTAGATATCTGGATGAACTCCACTCTCGTTCGCAATTTTGATCTCGCATTCCGCAGCCAATGTCGCAGTATGCACATTAAGTCACGGGTTTTCGCGCACATGTAACATATTGTCGTGGATATTTTGTGTCGTTATTTATCAGCTTTTAGCAGCCTTTTTTCCATCACACGTGAAGTTTCGTAATGCTTGTGCTTGCAACATAGTTCTTATTTTAATTTATTAGTAGTTTGACTTATTTCTTGCTCACCACTCAAGTAAATCTGTAGTTAGCGTAATATGGTTATTTTAACAATACAAAGTCAAGCAAATAAAATTCTCCATTTTTCCAGTCACAAAATAGATCACAAATTGACTTTCCATGAAAATAAGCCGTAAAAGCCATTACATATGGTTCACCTTCTTGATTATGGTGACTTTGAGCATAGATGTCCGTAGTTGTTTATAAAATGTAAGTAGAAGCAATTAAGCGTAAACCTAATTATGAACATTATATAACGTGTTTGTACTTAGCCGTAAAAAGTTATATCCATTATAGGTAGCATTGTTTTGTACTGAAGTGGCATATTATTATGTAACACATCAGAGAAAAATTATGTGAGTAACAATTGACGTTGATATTCTTTTCTAGCGGCTTTCTGAACGTATACAGGAACAGGGTATAACACCACATTAAATAGGCACAAAATCTTCATAAGTAAAGCGACGCGTGCTTATTTTGAACAAGGTAATTAAACCATGTCATACTTAATACTGATTGATGATGTGTCTGTTATAGGGTTGACGAATAAGTTTCTGTAAACAGAATCAGCAATGGCAGACCGGAATATGAACAAGGTTATAATGCATATAGTTGAGTAACATCGAAATTGTGCTTATCAATTTTTCTTGCTAATACCAAATGTCTAGACGAAATACTACAAGGGTTAGAAACTGAAGAGCGCTGTTTACATGAAGTTCCCAGTGCTTGTTACGACACAGATTTGAATGAAATAAAAACTGTTAATGAGTTAATTCATGAATTCCTACTGTATTACAGACTGACTCATCCGAATTCATGCAGAGAACGTGGCAAAAAGTGAATGAATTGCTATTTACACTATCATAATGTATGAGTGAGTGCATCTGATTGTCTTTCATTTTTGCTGGCTTAGATAAGAGAAGTAAAGTTTTCGAATACGAAAATGCCACTCTGCTACGCTACAGACGTGTCAAGCGTAGTCCAGTCAGTCATGATGGGAGAAAAATTACAGCATGATAAAAAGTGCGCCTCCGAATAATTCCATGGTAGAAGCTATTTCTGGATATCTACAGCTGAGTGACAAAATAAAGAAAACATAATCACAATTGCTGATTACCACACACTTAGCTGACGTGACTACCTAGTGTTTATCCCCAGCCGAAGAGCTGCGTAAAGTGACTTAATTCTAAATCCCTAGCTTAGTTACAAAACTACTTACAACTGCCTGACGATCTTGATGTCTTTTTTTAAAATCAGCACATTGAATCGAATTTATTTATGCGAGTTTTGTCGAAGTTTAAAATTGTCTGTATGGTATTGTAACTCATATTAGAATTTCAGAAATAAACTTGGCAAGTAGAAAGTCATCAATGTTTAAAGTTCAATAATGATTTTCACATCGAAAAGCTAAACATACCATGTGTTTAACCCGAACCCTTCCTTTGGCAAAAACAATAGTGTTAGGAGGTGTAGCAGCAGGAAGTGCGAATGAATAGGAAGTTGCAACAGTTACAGGGAACGCTAACAAAAAGGGATGAATCGCAAGTCCCTCGCACTGCAATAAATAATTTTTTGTATTGGAAAAACTGTAATTGTTAAGATATCGATAAAGCGTACACGAGTTGTGAAAAAATGAACGAGATTGGACCTCTACAGTATTACAAACTGCAAGGATTAATATAGGTCAATAGACCTCCTATCCTTATTACTGAAGACTGACTGTTGGAATCTACAGATCATTTGGTCCAGCTGTTCTGCAGTTCAAGCAGTCTGACAATTATGATATTAGTTAGAAAAGATAGCCTAGAAGATTGCTCTTTAAAAATTAAAATACTCACTTGCTGTAATTCGTAATGTGGACAATGAAGTATTTTTAATTTTCCATAAAATACTAAATTCAGTGTGATGAAATACTATACATTGCCTAGAATGTTTCGAAATATGGTTTTACATAAACTTTTAAAGTATATTTCGGAATGAACTTTTAATTTTGGAATTTATAACTGCTCAGCAGAACAAAAAGCCATTTCTTTATGATGTGACAGTCATTTGAGATAAAATGTGACGAGACAGGTCCTAATCTTTAACAGGTTAACGTCATGATCACAACTATTGCGATTACACATAATACTCACTCGTTATGCATTGATATTTTGCATAGTCAAATGTAGACAAAAATGTATCTCATTGAGCAACTCGATGCAAAACTAAAATCGAATTCTCCTTTCTCGTGATGTTTAGTGATGTATTGATTAACCTGCTTCTAAAAGCTAAAAAGTGATCTGTTTTGTATTTATTACATTCAGTGTTGGTCAGCATAATGTTCGAGGTTTGATGTCTTGTTGCATTAGCAACTAATCATCCAGGTGCATGTGTGTGACAATCTATAAACAACATTCCCTATTACTTTTGGCTTCAGATGACAGAAAATTGTTTACTGATTTACCCAAAAGAAATAGCCAGACTAATAGTTTTATGAAATCATAGCTTTGACTATGCAGTAGATAAATGCATGAGAGCACTAACATTTAGTAGTATTCAGGCCCACTCAACTAGTCACTTTTATCACGAGTAATTCATCATTTCGAATTATATTGTCAACCAGTACCAAGTAAAAACCATAACTATCGAAAGTAAGTATCATGTCCTTGGAAAAGAAACGTCTAAGACAATATATGACTACTAATGGGTCTTGTTTAATATCATAAAGTTTACATTTCCATCATCTATCATAAGTGGAATTTGATGTTCTATCTCGCAACAATCCCGATCTAAAAACTCATGAAACGTTTAGATGTTGCACTCAGTAGTGTAATGTTTTGTTAACTGTTTGTGACGACGTTCTTTTGTAAAGAATAAAAATAATATAGCCAATTCCGTTAGACTACTTAGAACTATAACATATAACAGAAATGTTTGTGAAGTGAGTTCAATACTACAACGAAGAAAACCTGCAAACCTGTTCTAGATGCAGAGTAAATAATAATGGCCGAAACTGATCCTGTTCGTCATAGTATAATAATTAACTACGGCACTTAATTAATTACCAAAAAGTGACAGAAAACTGATTGAAAAGGTATGGTAAAGATCCCATTCATCAAATAAGCAAAAACCCACTGACTGACTTACTAAACCATAAATAATGGGTAAAATAATTGAAGCTGTGGCTGAATTGGATGTGAACTCAGTCATCGCTGCTGCTGTAAGTGTACAGACTAGACTTAAAATCGTAAATGGAATGTATTTCAGATGCACACTAAGATATTCTCCAATTACATTCGTCAAACCAGAAGCCTAAATAAATACAGAAATAGGATAATGTGTTTATATAATGGTTTGTAAACAAAAATGAAATCCAGATAATGGCTGGTTCTTTGCTGACTAAATAATACCAAGAAAACATATCTAGTCATCATTACAACTGACCTCCATTACAGTTGCCAGCGCGAATCCTCCTCCGACCACCACAATTACACCCCACGGGAACTTCACCAATGCTACTTTCCAGGGAAGAAGGACACGGGTTATTTCTGGGTCTGGCTCTAGAACACAAAATTAAGATAAAATTTTAGTTTTCTCACTTTACTGTTTTTCATAAACTTTTGGCTGTTATTTGACCTCTATTTGATACATGAAGAATTCTAATAAATTTGTGATAACTTGGAAATTATTCAAGTCGAATGACCAGTAATCCTATTTCTAAAAGTAATTTTCAAAAATTGAGGCTGCTTCCTGTCACCAACTAATATGCTAATAACGCTAAATAGACACAATTTTTCAAACGTTCAGTTACAATTTATCACTACAAGAAGTTATTTTACAGTTCTTTGATTCAAAAGAACAAGAAAGTCAATATATCTCAGTAGACAGTGGGATTATTTTGGTTGTCTAATATGCATAATAAAAAGAGTTCATAGACGTTTTTTAACTCCAATCGTTATAACTGAGTCTACTTCATTGACTAGTTACAGTAACGTCACGTTATTATGAGACTTCCTAGTTTCTTTCTTCATAAATCATTGGGATAAGCGAATTACCATTTTAATTATCGCTTAAAATATTACTGAAATAACGTCTGAACCACAAAAGTTTTCATTAAAATGTGTTCAAGTCCTAGTCGTAAATGTTATCAATATTCACTAACCAAATAAGTTGTTGTCTCCAGATTCAGTACTATCAAGAAACGAATTCAGAAAAAGAATATATTGTAAGGTTTACTAATTAAATGATTATGGGTATAAGTGGAATCGAAGTAAAATGTTTGCTGGTTGCATCTACTCAGAATGAATTACTGGTTCTGTATGCACAAAAAGACATCATTTTAATCTCTTCAATTAAAGAAGCATCGCAAAAACCTCGTTTTTGAGCCTAAGCATGCTGATATGTCAAAGGTAGTTTGTACTTATCATGATGTGAAAAATGTTAGAACATTTCAATGTACGTGGCCTTGTTTTACTACTCTCAGAATCCCAACACATGACCGAAAATGTCGTTATCATGTTTTCATTTGTTTAGAAAAAACTGTATGTGTAAAGAATTACAGGTTTCAGTGTAGGTTGGTTGGCATAACTACTTGTTTACACACTAATAAAATGAACAATGTAAATTCAACAGTACTCACCAGTTTTAGTTTTGTAACAGTGTTTCCAGTGTTTCCAAAGCTTAACTGGATTAGATGCTGGTAAGATCATTGTTATGATAGCCATTAAGATAGCCGGGGTGCTGTCTGTTATGTATTTTCTTGTAAACAAATCGCAGACAGACGGAAACCATTATTAATTCGTCATCATTTATTCAACTTGTATATGAAGTTCAAGTTTAATTAATCACGCTTACGATATATCGAAATACAATTTTCAAATCAACGATTAGCACATACATTTTGATATAAATTCATGAAGAATTGTTAATTTAAGTCTTGTATTTCATAGATTCTCTGACGGAAGTATAAATAATAACCAGAAATTTCAATATTTCCGTCTTATGAATGTTATCAATATATCTGCTTGATTATTATTAAGAATACAACACCTGGGTACAAAAACTATATTTTCAGTGCTCTGTCATTCACAACCCTTGCAAAATCCAGGATTTTCTATTTATCCAGCCTTAACTATTTTTCAAAACTTGATAAAACTATTTTGTCAATCATAACTATTATGTAATTACCTGTTTGATCTTATTAATCATTAACCAAGAGTACTACTAAAATATTCTGCGTATAGGACAAATAATGATTTCAGATTGTAGTTTATAGTTAGACATACATGATTCAAAACAGGTAGTAAGATTATACAACTTCCTAAAGTTTTATGAGAGCAACTAACACTCACTGATATGTAAACACATTGCACTGAAAACTTTACGAAACATTAAGGATAAAGATCAGTTTGACGAGAGGCTGAAATCGACCATAACAAAGTGCCCCGGAAAAGATCTGAACATCCTGATGGGAGGCCTAAACACCAATGTTAGAATAGACAACACCGGATATGAAGAGGTCATAGGACAAAATGGACTGGGAGAAAGGAACAAGAATGGTGACAAATTTGTGGATTCATGTGCAATCAAAAAATGGCTATAGGCGACACTAGTACCGCCAGAAAAAACTTCAGGAGAAGGAATTATGAAACAACTATATTGCACAACTAAGAAACTAGCAGGACAACGTAGTAAATCAGAGAGACCAGTTAAGGACAATGAAAACGGGACAATCACTGAGACTCAAGGACAGAGGAACAGCTGGGTAGAACACGTAACTGAACAGCATCATTGATGAACAAGGAGGATCTGATGCAGATATAAAGGCAAGGATTGACAAAGCAAGGGTCGCATTCCTACAATTCAAGGAAACATATGGAGCTCAAAACAACTGTCAGTCAACATCCAATTGAGAATCCTGAATACGAAAGTCAAGACAGTTCTGTTGTATGGAGCTGAGACGTGGAAAACTTCTACGACCATCATCAAAATGCACAAGTATTTCAAAAGAATTGTCTACTCGAGATACTCCATGTCCATTGACCGGACGCCACCAGCAACAACCTACTGTGGGAGAGTATATATAAACTGCCGGTTGAAGGGGAAACTAGGAGAAGACGTTGTGAGTGGATGAAACATGTATTGAGGAAATCACCAATGTGCATCATGGGGCAAGCATCAACTTGGAATGCTGAGGGGAAAAGGAGAAGAGGGAGACCGAAGAACATGTTGGGTCGGGAATCGGGAAGAGACATGAAAAGGATGAATATCGGCTGTGAACAACTGGAAAGAATGACCTATGACAGAGTTTGATGGAGAATCGTGATGAGCGACCCATGCTTCTCCACGAGGGTAAGCTGGCGTAAGTAAGTACTGTTTAGCCGTCACAAATTCATGTTAGCCTACAGTTTATTGCATTTGGTCATTATGTGAAGAGGCTGCATACTAAATGTTAATAAGTCATAGAATCTTGGACGAGGATATTTGATGGACCCTACTGGGAAATATTTAAACATACAAATATTTTGTTGAATTTACGAATCGATCTATTTTGTATAGTTATTGAAAAACTGAAAACACTAAACGGCCTTAGCGACCTATTATGTAACTTTTCATCACTACTGATCCATGACCCTCAACCGCGAATTGAACTCAAGAGTTTCGGTCCCGCTAGTGAACGTTTAACCTCTAGGTCACTGAATATATATCCAATCGTGAACAAGTCTTACGTCAATCAACTCATGCAAGGTTTTCAAAAGTTGTGGAGGTTAGATAAATTCGTGACTTCAATGAAACTCAACGATATCCATACTCACAACCCTTATGTGTGTTCAGTTTTTCAAAACTCTATATTTGTGAGTTATACGCCAGAAAAATGGTTTTCCAGGAAATCATCAATGTGTATCATGGGGCAAGCATCAACATTGAATGCTGAGGGGAAAAGGAGAAGAGGGAGACCGAAAAACATGTTGGGTCGGGAATCGGGAAGAGACATGAAAAGGATGAATATCGGCTGTGAACAACTGGAAAGAATTATCTATGACAGAGTTTGATGGAGAATGGTGATGAGCGGCCCATGCTTTTCTTCGAAGGTAAACTGTCGTAAGCTAGTGATTATCGATCAGTTTGTGTACATTTGGCAGATCGAAAGGGCGAATGCCAGCATGAAAACTAGACGAACACCTAACATAACGTAAATTCAATAGGCTCAATGATTTTTGGTTCTCAATATTTATGATAGTGTTCATACTTATGATATTTGATAATGCCATTTCCAATCCTGCCGTAATTGCCGGCATTTAATGTCCAGTATGTTTGACTGCATTCAAAATATTTGATGCAAGTTGTATTAAAATCATACTACTATCCTGTTATTAAGTTACTACGGCTTCTCTGTCCTGTTATTTCAAATGATCATGTCAACCAGAATAGCTTCATGATTATGGAAAACAATGGTTTATCAAAGCCCCTTACTACTTAATTAAAATTATTAAACAAAGCCAAGTGTAATGAGATTGGTTGCGCTAGATCATTCAATGTGCTGACCTTTTGGGAAATCCAAAGACGGAAAATGATGATTAACAACTTCCAGAGTAGACAGACGACACAGAAAGAATAACATGTGCAGCTGAATTTCGTTTGTTTTAGTTAAATCTGCACTTTAACAGGAAGGAGAAGAAGGGAGATAAACATGATGATAATGCAATTTCGTAAAATGTGACATGACCTGGCTTACAAATAGCAGACCTTTTCTGTGTTTATACGTCTACAATTTAATCTTTAGACTCCTCAATTGTACTTGAGCAAAATCGTTTAGCTGCTAATATAGCTAGTCCTTAGTTGGGTTCGGAGTATAACGGATTTAAACTCAAAGAAAGGTAATAAAAGATACATTTTCTCTTGAAGTTGTTTGTTACTTCGTACACATTCTCTAGTAAATTCGTAGACGAAACACCAATGTTAGAAAGCCAACCGCTTATTAATGATTCATCTCAAGTTCTTAGTTTAAAACAAGGTACATTTTTACTGTTACAGACATGTATTGTTACCATCCGTTCAGTAAACATGTGCTTGTAAGTATTTGACGTGAGTGTAAGTGAACCTAAGACAAATTAATTTTTCCTACATTTGTGTACATTCAGTTTAATTGTCTAATTTGAATATTAATTCGAAACTGTTAAAGACTGTAATTTGAAGTTTGGGATTAACGCCGTAAAATGCCGGCTCAGCAGTCTAGAGGTTAAGCATTTGACGCGAAACTGAAGATCCTGGGTTCAGGTCCCGCGTGCGGGATAGTGGATGCGCACCGTTGAGGAGTCTCATACTAGGACGAAACAGCTGTCCAGTGCTTCCAGGTTATCAGTGGGGGTCAAACATTGATCAGTTTATGATCTCAATTAAAAATGCAATTTTAATTGGTGCATATGATTTAGTGATTGTGATCATATTGTATGGACTGGAGATTGCTAAAGGCTATTGACACCTCCAGTGTCAGAGGACTCAGCCATGTAATCGGTTACTAGTAGTAATAAGTAGTTTCCTATAATTCTAGATCTTTGTTTTTGAAATACAGTATAATAAAACTTATTTCAGCAAAGAAATAAGAGCAACTCACGATGTTTTAGGATCAGAGGGGTCAACAAAAAGCTTTCCCCATCCTGATGACCCAATATTTCGCGTCATCCATAGTGTTGTGAGCAATAAGAAAAGACCTCCAGACAGTACTTCACAATATCTAGTACAAAAAAGCAAAACTTTTAATTCTCAACTATTTAAAATATTGTCCAGAAAAAGAACAAAACAAATAGACCAAGTTGTAGAACACTTTTATATCCCTGATGAGCAATTCGACATTCCGAGAGTACTCCATTACTGCTTTTTTCGACGATATCATTCTCTGAAGCTGTATAATTGTATATATATAAAATATTGTCAAAATTACACAAGTATCAGGCGTTATAGTCAGTGAAAATGAAGTGGTGTTGTATTATATGACCGAAATTATGAAAAGATTTCATGCATTGAAGATAATAATTCATAAATTAAAGAGTATTATTTCAACCAAATCAAGGTTATCGAAAGTTCTCAAGTAGTGAATAAAATGGGTTTTGCATCATATAGCACAGTAGTAAAAAATATCAAGAACTGAAGTTGCGTAATTGTTTTGGAATAATAACAAAAGATGTCTATTTTACTAAGTAGTAGAAGAGTAAGATTCGGGTGAGTGCTAAGACAATGAAAAAGTGAGAGACTAAACATAATCTTTTAGTGAACAGAGATCAGGTTTAAAATGATAAATTGCTACAGCCTCGACTGTCTGAAAATTCATGGTCCAAACTATTTTTGAACTAGTTCTTCTCACTTCGTAGTTGATTTCGGACGACGATTATTGTGATTGGATGTGATAAGGTTTGACCATGCGTTCAAGTATTGAGACATTGATCGATTTAAATTATCCTTAGATAGTCATACAGGATAGTGCCAGGATATTTGCTTGCCAAGTCCACGCTTTGTTCATCCAAAGTAACTTCTTCTACAAGAACTAAAAAATGATAAATGGACATTGAGGTGGCCAAAATCGGTGGTTTGTCCTTTACACTTCCTTGAATGAGTTTCATGCTAAAGAAAACATCTCGCAGCTTTGCTGAATAAAACGTCCTTTTCAGAAATCTAGATAGTCTGGTCTTTGATATCTCAATATACACGTCTCCCTTGAATTTAACGTTTAGCAATAAAACTTAGGAACTATGGGAGTGCATTCAAATTGACTATTTGCTTCTGGATTACTATCAATGAACATTGAAGCGAAGCTACTTTGCAGAAGTGTTCTTCGGATCATATTTTGCTCATCATCAAATGTATCTTCAGCGCATAATCTTCTGGGTCTTGATGATAGAGAATGTATTAAATTTATATTTCTACTCAGTGACACACAACTTTAGAAGTTTTTATACTTCCCATTCCAGGTCTGCTTTCCATATATCAATCGTTGAAAGGATCCATCTGATCTTAATTTTATTAGAACATTAATAAACTGGAATTCTGCATTCGACTCCGCTTCTATTGCGAACTTAATCAAATGGTGACGTTCAATTAAAACAATTAGTCCCTTTGATAAATTTCGATAATGATATTAGAAGACGAAGATTATCAGAACTATGTGATATATTAGCGCAATACATTTCGAACAATCTGGTCACACATATACTTGTTAAGATCAATTAATTCTCGTTGAATTTCATTATGGTCACTGTTTTCGTCATAGATGTGATATAAGTATCACTCATATATCTTTTGCAAAAAAATATTATCGGTTGTTGCTTGAACGATAGTGTTAATGTTGGCCATAAAACGGTCTGCGATAAGACGACAAAGTGGAGATCCCATCATGGTACCACTTTTTTGTTGGTAGATATCATCGTTAAATTTAAATTACATGTTAAAAGTGCGGTTTAGAAGTAGTTCTTTTAGGAAATGTTTTCGTGTCCTGACGTTCAAGTTGTTAAGGTCAATATGATCGCATCAGAAACAAATAGTTTGTGTGAACGGAATATTTGTGAATAGAGGAGTAACATCTAATAATACTATTTTGGTCCCCGATAAATTAAAGGTGGTTATTGAGTTCAAGAAAATATTGAGTTATCGTTAACTATTTTTTAAGCTGGAAGTTTTATTCGTCAAAATGAATAAAGTTATGCTGTCAAATTATTTGTTTGTAAACGTCTCTGATTTCTTAGTTGTTTCATTCTTTTTTAGTTAAACATAGCACATTTAGTAAAACACATACTTCAACACATTAGAAGAGTTTGAATGTTCAGTTTTACCAATGTTTATATCATTAATAAATGAATTTTATAGTCATTAATCTCTTTTACTTGAACTAACAGACAATGTTGAAGACTATTGCCCTCCTCGAAAAACGTAAAGTGTATGAGAAAAATTAATTTTATATTGACTAATTTTGAATTCTTGTTGATAACTTAAGAATGGCGTTGACCTTTAGGACTGATCAAACTTTTTCTATACGAGAATTTTAATTCTCAGAATCTTCAGACTGTTCACTTGCTCAGATTGTCGTTAAATACTTCCTAATGATTCTTTACAGTTTGGCCCGATGAACTTAATTTTAGTCTTTAACTTAGTTAGGTGTTTGTTCACTGCTCATCGTCAAAGTTTCAGGATGACTGAAATACAAGTTCACATTACAATATGTATTTATTCATCAATTAACTTGCTTGATCGATCCAAGTTTCTGTTGTTCTGCTTCTAATATTTGGGCTAACCGTTCTTTCTTTCTTTTCGACTGCTTAAACGTACACAAACTTCTAGAAAAAAAAGTGAACAAAAAGTAGTGTATTGACACATTTAAAGACTTCACATATTTATCTAACTAGATTGCAGCTGACGCAAAATAGGTGGATTTCGAAAAAATCTGTCAAGTGTAATTTGAAAGTGTTTTTAGTTGATTAATTTAATGATTCAACTGTAGTAATAAATTTACCAATCATGTAGAGATGTACATCTGTTCTCCGAATATGTTGGTGAGAAAATTTAGTGTTTAATCCATATATTGAAGTTCTAAAGTTTGGATCAGGCGAAGAACATAGTGTAAACAAAAGAAAGTTATATATGCTCTAAATTTGCTTTCTGGTTTATTTCCTAATGAAAAAGTGAAATGTTCTTGTATTGACTAAAACATATTCTAGTCAGTGGAAAAAACTTCTATCATTTTTCCTTTAACGACTTCCGTACAAAAAGACTCGTAAATTTTGTGTTGTTGAATGGTTCAAATTACAACCTACAACAAAAAGACGTCTATAATCGTTGAAAAGATCAAAGATGTTATTATGGTCTTAATCATCTATTGAGCTTTAAATTCTGATGTCTTAAGTAATTAAAGCCTCGTGAAAATGTATAAATCTTTCTAAGTTCAAAATACTGGGTACATTAGGTAAATATGTAGTACTCACAAAGATGGAATCTCTAAAATCTATTTGGAAACACGTTAAGAATAATTTGTAGACATAAAACTCAGAACTAGTTAAAAAAACATGAATTCTTTTGAGTGATTTCGTTTCAATCAAAATAATTGAGAAGAAATAACTGGAATAAAATATTTTTTTAAATAGAATGTCAGTGATAAGTTAAATCAGGTCGATCAAGTAGCTGGAAAACCATTTTTCTGGCGTATAACTCACAAATATAGAGTTTTGAAAAACTGAACACACATAAGGGTTGTGAGTATGGATATCGTTGAGTTTCATTGAAGTCACGAATTTATCTAACCTCCACAACTTTTGAAAACCTTGCATGAGTTGATTGACGTAAGACTTGTTCACGATTGGATATATATTCAGTGACCTAGAGGTTAAACGTTCACTAGCGGGACCGAAACTCTTGAGTTCAATTCGCGGTTGAGGGTCATGGATCAGTAGTGATGAAAAGTTACATAATAGGTCGCTAAGGCCGTTTAGTGTTTTCAGTTTTTCAATAACTATACAAAATAGATCGATTCGTAAATTCAACAAAATATTTGTATGTTTAAATATTTCCCAGTAGGGTCCATCAAATATCCTCGTCCAAGATTCTATGACTTATTAACATTTAGTATGCAGCCTCTTCACATAATGACCAAATGCAATAAACTGTAGGCTAACATGAATTTGTGACGGCTAAACAGTACTTACTTACGCCAGCTTACCCTCGTGGAGAAGCATGGGTCGCTCATCACGATTCTCCATCAAACTCTGTCATAGGTCATTCTTTCCAGTTGTTCACAGCCGATATTCATCCTTTTCATGTCTCTTCCCGATTCCCGACCCAACATGTTCTTCGGTCTCCCTCTTCTCCTTTTCCCCTCAGCATTCCAAGTTGATGCTTGCCCCATGATGCACATTGGTGATTTCCTCAATACATGTTTCATCCACTCACAACGTCTTCTCCTAGTTTCCCCTTCAACCGGCAGTTTATATATACTCTCCCACAGTAGGTTGTTGCTGGTGGCGTCCGGTCAATGGACATTGAGTATCTCGAGTAGACAATTCTTTTGAAATACTTGTGCATTTTGATGATGGTCGTAGAAGTTTTCCACGTCTCAGCTCCATACAACAGAACTGTCTTGACTTTCGTATTCAGGATTCTCAATTGGATGTTGACTGACAGTTGTTTTGAGCTCCATATGTTTCCTTGAATTGTAGGAATGCGACCCTTGCTTTGTCAATCCTTGCCTTTATATCTGCATCAGATCCTCCTTGTTCATCAATGATGCTGTTCAGTTACGTGTTCTACCCAGCTGTTCCTCTGTCCTTGAGTCTCAGTGATTGTCCCGTTTTCATTGTCCTTAACTGGTCTCTCTGATTTACTACGTTGTCCTGCTAGTTTCTTAGTTGTGCAATATAGTTGTTTCATAATTCCTTCTCCTGAAGCTTTGTCTGACTTCGTTGCTAGTGCCGCCTGTCAAACGCTTTCTAATAGTCAAGAAAGGTGATGTATATTGGAATATCCTATTCAATTAATCGTTCAGTGATCATATATAGCGTCTCGATTTGGTCAGTGGACGACCGATCCTAACGGAATCTGGCCTGCTGGTCTCGAAGTTTGGCGTCTACTGAATTTTAATCTGGTTCAGGAATGCTTTTTCGAAAACGTTTTCTGGTATTGATAATAATGTGGCGCCTCGACATTTCTCACACTTACTCAGACCACCTTTTTTTGATATCTTGATGAGGTGTCGTTTATTCCAGTCTGTCCGTACTTGTTCCTCCTCCCAAATCTTCCTGAATAGAAAGTGGAGCATCCTTGATGCTGCTTCTATTTTTGACGTTAATGCTCCAGGTGGAATGTTGTCGAATCCTTCTGTTTTCTCTTTCTTGATTTGTCTGATGGCTATCCTGATCTCTTAGATTGTTGGTGGAGTGACACATATAACAATGTCGTTGTGTACTGCTTCGATGTCCAGTGAGTTCAGTGAGACTGGTTAAACTTATAAGCATAACACTATAATATAAATAGCTTCATTTCTTACTTTGGACCGAAGAACAAAATGATAAGCCAAATCCAGACGAACACGAACATGAAAGCTGAAAGCGGAAGTGCGTAAGCCATCCAAGTACCGAAATTCAAACCAGTTGAATCACCGTATCGACTGATTCAAGTAGCAAGTTGAAAAGTATAAATAAGTTGATAATTTAAACTAATGACCATGATAAATGACATTTATAAGACATATAAACATAATTTCTACCAGCTAATATTTTCGAAAATTATTTCAAAAAGCATGATGTTTGATTTAGTACTCGCCTTACCCATAGCTTTTATCAGAAGAGATATTTCAATCATACATCTGAGCTTATAAGAAGTTTTGTGTTTTGTTTCCACAAGTAGTTACGCAAATATTTCGGTTTTCATTTGGATGGATAGTTAAATAATAATTAGATGTCCAGTACAACTTCATTCTTAATAAATAAGTTTCAAAAACTAATATCTGATGTAATGTAATTGATTCACTGATTTCGATTTCTGCTGTGGTGATACTACTATAGTAATCACTCAATGGTCATATAAATACCCATTCTAGTGAAGTATTTGCTATCCGGAATCTTTACTTTATGTGAATACTTTATAAGCAGTACGGTAGCCGACATGCAGATATTAGCTAATAAACTCTAAATTTGAGAAGAAACACCCAGAGCACATGAAATAACAAAATATTTTAAGGCACTTCGGTAAAATAAAAATTTGTTGGAGGAGTGTAGGAAGATAACATGGAAAACTATTGAACTCCCCGAAGCTTAAGTTATAAAGTTTATTTCATCCGCGAACGGCTATCCCGTTATTTGTAAGTAAAAGGCATGTAAATAAATGATAGTCAAAAGAGAAAAATTACTTCCCGTATATTAAGTGATATCGTTAGCAACGACCATAATTATATGAAGTGTATCTACATATAGCTTGATTTACAAAGAGTTAATGAGGATGTAAATTTCATGAATATGGAGTTGGAAAATAAGTTTTACTGCAAAATATCTACAGTACGAAACTAGTTTATGGGATCATCTTTAAAACTGTAAAAAAAAGTTTGAAAAAAATCATATCAGTGAAATATACTCGATAGTAATTTAACTATTGACTAAAAAATTAAGAAAATAATTGTCGAAATCTTACCTTAAGGTAGTTCCTTGAAGAATGGAGTTAGGTGGAGTACCTATGATTGTTGCCACACCGCCAATTGAAGATGCATAAGCAATACTGAGACTAAATCCAATACTCATTCGTTTCGATTTCGACTGTTCATTTGAAACTTTAGGTGTTGCAACAGAATTATCATTTTGTACACAGTTGGTATTAGATACCTGAGAATCTTGTCCATTACCAATTTCAGGCTTCACTGAACTCAAAGTTGATTCATTACTGGATAAAGGAAGTATAATTTAAATAAATTTCATCTCCTCAGCCAACTATTACAAAATGAAAGATCTGAAATATAACTAAATGTTATTCTGAAATTAAAATAAGCCTAATAAAGTTATGATCCAGATGTGTCAGCAAATTCGACCGATAAGTATACATAAGAATATAGTAAAATTCTGCAAATTAATCAAAAACAGACAGATAACGGATGTAAACTGGGGTGAAATTTTGATTCTGTTAATAAGATATTTCTTAATACAGTGTTGATTTTTGATTTATGGACAAAGTACAACACTAACCAGTAGTGATAAGTGCAATGTAACAATTGTTTTTGTAATTTGTGAAATACGTGTGATTGATGGTAATTAATACCAGTATCTGGAGGCTGTCAGCAAAAACGCTGGAAGCTTTTAGAAGCAAATCAACCTAGTTTAAAAAAGTTTTCAGACAGTAGTTCTAGAGCCTACTGGAAGATTTAAGCATTTGAAAGGATATGATAAATTTTCAACAAAACACTTTGTCACCATAGTTTTCCCGCGTCAACGAAAATAAGTTCACTTGATAGGTAATACCACATTTTGTCAAAGAAACCGTGTGTTTAAGTCTGTTGATTAATATACCAAACGGTTGTTAACTACTAGTGAATATCGTTCCTGTTCAGTTCGCATGAGGAAAATAGACGGGCATATATTATAATTTCTCATCACTTGAATTTATTGCACTTCGGGTATAGAGGCAAAGTAATGGTGATTTTTCTTATCTTCACAAAACCTGTCGGCAATTTCATGACGTCATTTATCTACTTAGTCTCACCGTTATTGATGGATTACAGTACGGAACAACTAACTTGAACGACCGAGTTCTTTAGTTTAGCGGTATTTTACATCACACATTTACAAATTTTCTAGCTGTTTGCCCATCTATACATGACACTTCGGATAGTAAACTTAATTTAAGAGTGCAGATTCCTCACTTTTTTAAAATATACATGAAATTAATCATTTGTTTCTTGTAAAACAGTTTGTCAATTAACATAGCGCTAGTACGCAAGCGAAATATTTATCGGTTTATTATGAGACAATTTGTCCAATATACCATAGAAGGTACTATGTGATAAAAACTACAAGGTGAATATGAGATTCTTGCAACTGATTTTAAAGTAAAATTGGATACAGATCAACTTGGAAGTTACACTGGTACATTTACTAATGAATACATTTTTATTCTAATAATTAATTTGATCAAATAATCAATGTAAGATTATATATCAGGCTCACGAAACCAGCAAGCGAAAAACTCAGTATTCAGTAGAATATACATTTTTAATGGCATGGTTTGCCTCCATACTTATTCACAATTTTTTGAAATATTTTAAGCTCAAATTGATGAAGGTATGAAATGATTTACCTGTCATTATGTTCTTCTTCATCTGCTTCATCTGTAAATGATCAAGTTTATAAATAGTATAATTAGAAAGTTAAATAAGCAAAATGTAAGTGCTTTGTGTATTAAAAGCATTTTGTGAATTTAAAACTTCCGGATGATTTATTGTTTTTTGTGAGATTTTTCGGTGTACTGTATTCTATAAAAAGCTATCAGTAGAGAAAATGTTTGCAGTCAGTTCACTGATATTGTTTCAGAGTTTTTATAGTCCTCTCACTTTCGCAAAGGAATCTTCTGTTTCTCAATCTGTGGGATGTCGGAATTAAGTGACTGAATTATTAGTTTGTGATCATTTTAGGCAAATGATCATAATTGATGGTTCTAATTAAACAATTCTTAAATGTCCTGGTATGGCCGAGACTGAGGAGAGTCAACTCCCCCTCTCAAAATGCTCTCAAATGGATGCGTGTATACAGCCATTGCTAGGGGCGTCCTACTCACTGCCTTCTCGCGGCAATAGTATTGTATACGAAATTGAAAGGACGAAAAGCGAATGTCCGGCGCTTTAACCAGGTTGGTGGATATGGAGGATACACCTAGAGGAATTGGAAAACCCTGGTTCCAAACCAGTGGTACACATGGGCTCCAGGATCCTGAAGGAACAAATGGCGTATGAACCAATTGTTGGTCACCGACTACCACGGGACTGAATCTCCTTACGATGCTCCACAGCCTTGTGGACCAGACCTTTAGGTCAAAGGCTCCGGTTGTGGCCCTCTAAGGTAAGCACCTGCTTCGGTCTGGCTACCCGGGCAATATCACAGCCCAAACATAAATCAAGTGACTTGTGTGGTGCATATGTATTCGGTTCTCCTTTGTACCAATATTCATGTTCAAATAAATAATAAATAATAAAACTCAAAAACAGACTTCCGGTAATTAACCCAAAGTATGTCGAAACGTAAGTGGCGAATATAAAATAGATGCATACGATATCATATGATTTTATGGAAATATATTTGTTAGATATCTCATGTTTCATTGCTTATTATGTAAATCAGTTAACGTGCATTTTATCTATTATAATAAACGTACTATAACCATGCAAAAAGTAAATGAAGGAAAAAGTAGCTTAACCGAATATTTCAACCACAAATTCACATACTTTTTCCGTTGTGCTGTCACTTTTCTTTGCGTTTAGTGTTTTAAAGCAGAGCCTCTCATAGGTTTCAGAAACTCAAGAAAGTTATCATAAAAACTTATTTAAATCATTGCGAGTATCCAATCAATAATGTGAATTAACTTGTATATATAGATAGATTAACCTGAAACGCTCTCTGAATCCTTGTGACTCTTTGGATGTATGTTCTGATTTTAAATTGGTATTTAATGTTTATTCAGCTCTAAGTCTATTAATTTACTCTTCTTTACTAAAAGAATAGTCACTTTAGTTGAATCCGTAAACTAACCTGATTAATTATTATTAGAATTCAATGACGTAGGTTTTACTAAACTTTTTTTAGGACTAGTTCTCCCTATTCCGTAAATACAAGGAGTAAACTAAATAGGAAAACTAGAATCTGCAGCAACGTTCATGCTTATAACCTCAAGTTCATGCAAGAAATATGAATTTGGCCAGTAGATTTAAACATGATAAAGATTACAAGATAGAAAAAACGCCTAATTAAAACTAAGACATCTTATGAAAATATTTAAGTTAAAATTGTATGGTTTTAAAATTCAAACTTCTGTTGTGACCACTAGCTGTAATGATTACTACGTGTTCGAGCGAACTAATTAATCTGTTGATACCATGTAAGCTTAAGAATCGGTATTTCATGTGAACCATTGGTTGCTAAAATTAGATATTTTGACCTGAGAAATATTTTAAGTTCAAAATTCGTTACTAATGATGATCAGGCTTTTATGTATAATTTACAATTAGACTTATCAAAGCTAGCCATATGTTTTCATTAATTTAAGATACTAGATGATGAGCTTCGTCCAAGCCAAGCTGGTTGCATTTTCACCAGTAATGTTTCATATTGTACTTTAAAAATGTTGATTAAAGTTTTCTTCTGGATTGACTGCTTCATTGTAACAGTAATAATAAATCTTCATGGAACCCTCTATAGAGCATAAAATAATCATTGTTAATTGACAGAAATGACGCCTTTCTCCACAAAAGATATTATTCATCCTGTAAATATCCACATGAATATATATTTCGATTTTATTATCGTTCATCCATGAATCTCCTTACTGACTATAAGTTATTTGCACTTTTTTATAAACCACCGTCGCTTTGTGGCCTCTGTCCAGTTAGTTTCTTACGAAAACATTTTTATTTAATAAGTTGATCTAACAAATAGAAATTAAAGGCTGAGCTCATTATGTCAAAGTGAAATGATAGCCCATTTCTTTTAATATGGTCTAATATAGATTGTAAGAAAGATTTAATAAATAATTTTCATTACCAACTTTCATTAAATCAGTCAATAGTGGATCCAAAATTGTTATCATCATGGCTGTAGTAGCAGTATTGCTCATCCACATAGACAGAAACCAGCTGGGTAACATAAAGCCGAGCATAAGCCTGCAAAATGGTAAATCATCATCAACCAAACATGTAACTAGTGATTCTTTCAGGAAATAAATGTAAATGGTAAGCTAAAACAATAACATTTTAATTGACATTGGGAAAATTCAAACAAATCTTCCATGTTATTGATATCATAAACCGATCGAACTCGTACAAAAACTGAAAAAAACTGGAAGCACTGAATGACCATTTCGGCCTGTTATGTGAATCTTTAGGAATGCACATTCTCGACCTCGGAAGCGATAATCGAACTCAGGACCTCCCGTCTCATGAGTGAACATTTAACTAATAGACCACTGATCCTATCTTGGATGGTGTACAAGTTTGACTTTCATTATTCGAAAAATTCCTTACAACCATTTTCGATTGTCTTCGGTGGGTAACGTCTTCATATGCGACACGACACACTTTTTACGATGGAAGATGGTTGTACAATATCTTGGATTGATGGAAGTCTAACTTGTACACAATTCAAGATAAAATCAGTGGTCTATTAGTTAAGTATTCACTCATGAGACCGAAGGTCCTGAGTTCGATTATCGCTTCCGAGTTCGAGAATGTACATTCCTGACGATTCACATAACAGGCCGAAATGATCATTCAGTGCTTCCAGTTTTTTCAGTTTTTGTACGAGTTCGATCGGTTTGTAATATCGATAAAATTCAAAAATCCCCTCAATTCTATGCTAAACATCTTATATTGTCGAAGATTTTATACTTGAGCTCATCTAAGCCTCATTGTGAAGGTAGTGAGAACTGTTCAACAGAAAATCTGGTTCCTTAGAATACTAATAAAATATATGGCTTCCGTTTACTGATCGGGGTTGTGGTAGCAAAGTGGTACATGTTTAGTCAAAATTAGTTCTTATAAACTCTACTTACTACATGAGACAAGATTTGTAAAACAAAATGCATCCTTGAATATATGAATTTAGTACATGTCAGAAGTAAATTCAAGATAATATTTGAATTTTATCAACATTATTCCCTGGATACCGTTATTTTAAACAACCAACTATCGTCTCATCAGGCAATTCATTTAACTTAATAATGATATTGATAGTAAGATTTATTCCTTTTAATAATTCTAACAGACACCATTGGACTCAACAACTACACCACATTTCATAGATACACTCTCAGTTACATTTCCGAAAAACAAACAATTAAAATATCGCTAAAACTTGGTTAACCATGTCAACAATATGAAAACGTGTATGACTCCTACTTATTATTAACTTTCGTTATCTAGTTCAGATATCTGAACTGTACAAATACTGTATTCTTGAAAAGATTCAAATGATATCTTTTTGTTCGACAGATTTGTTCAGTTACTAACTATATTCTTTTAACCTCACTGATTTTCTATGTTTTTAAATCTGCTTAAATATCTTAAAAGATGCTCTTTCAAACACATATCATTCAAATATACAAGTGAGTAACTTCATGCTTATCTAAACTTTACTGATACAAAATATGTTCATATTTTTGTAATAATACAACACAGTCCGCTGGACTGTAAGTCACGCGTCAGTTATCTGACAAAGTTTAAACTTCTAATAATAAGCAAATATATTCAATTCAATTAACATACATTTTTGGATCACTTCCTACAAGTTTTAAAAATGAAATTGCTATTCTTTTGTGAACATAATTATTTTCTATTGCACACGCCATCATTAAACCCCCGAAAAACAGCATGTTTGTATCCTTGAAAAATTTTTAAAAAATCCAAAGGAAAGTTTATATTACATAAAAAGAATTTTAAATGGGGATTAAAAATCTTTAGAAATTTTAATTGTTTTATGCAACAATTTATTTATTATTTATTTAATTTTAACACAAAGATATTGGTACAAGGAGGTACCAAATACATATGCGCCACACAAATCCCATTTGATTTGTGAGAGGGCTGTGATACTGCCCGGGTGTCCAAACCTAAGCAGGTGGTTCTCTTAGGGGGCCACACCCGGAGCCTTCGACCTGAAGGTATGATTCACAAGGCAGTGGAGCATCGTAAGGACATGCGGTCTTATGGTAGCCGGTGACCAACGATTGGTTCATACGCCATTTGTTCCCTCAGGATACTGGAGCCCATGTGCACCATTGGTTTGAAATCCGGTTAAAGCGCCGGACTTTCGCTTTTCGTCCTCTCATTTTCGTGAACATCCCCGCCACGAGAAGGCTATGAGTAGGACTTGCCTGGCAGAGGCTATATACGCGTGGCCATGTGAGAGCATTTCGAGAGGGAGAGGGGACTCTCCCCACTCTCGGCCGTACCGGGGCATTTGGGGGCTTTTTTTGAAATAGGAACAATGACGGGGCGGATTTGCATGCATATATCAAACAATTCTCTTTGAACCTAGCACACAAAATTAGAATCATGCACTGTCCCAACATATTCTGGAAGTAGGAACGTTTGAAGTTAAACGACTCGTCCAGAATCGTAGAACACTGTGACAGAACAGGGTACGCAAAATCTAATTTATCATAAAAACAAAAACTTTTAAGTTCTGAATGCTATCATGTTATTTTCTCTTAAATTAAGTCTCAGTATCAAGTAAGATTATCAGAACTCCTATATTTCTTATCAAGATACCAGTTAACAGTAGAAAATAGTATCAACTTTCGTGATTTTTAAGAATTATAGTTAATAAAACTTACTCTTGTATAAGATGGAGAAATAGTTGATGCCGGTGCTATTCCAAGTAGTGGTCCAAACACCAGTGGGATTAGAGCAGTCACATAAATCGGTATGATTTCAGTCACCCATAAACCAGACATAAGAAGTAAAACATAGCCTCCTCTTGCTGGCTTTAAAATAAATAAGGGCAATAAGCTAAACATTCAATCATATTGTATGATTGAAAAATGATTTATTAGGAACAGCATAAGAGAAACAGCACGTAAATATCTAATTACACAAATCAGCGCTATGTATGCCGCATTTATTTTCTCCTTAAAAGAAATTACCTGCGATATTTCATAGACAAATTTGTTTCATATTAGTTTTAACGCCTAGCCAAAGAACTTCACCTTGACGAAAATGTTTTGTATGTTATACTTTCTAAGGGACCTTAATTAAGAAGCTTGCAAAATAACGTCTAACTATCCCAAAGAGCATGACAAATTCAGAATACTCATTTATACAGAGATCACTTAATATTTGAGAAAACGTTAATAGGAATTTATTAAAAATTCAGACGGCCAAAAGGTGATTTGTTTTCTTACCGAACTTCTAGAATTTGACAAATAATTCGCATTTAAAACTAATGGAATATTCAGAACGTTCTAGTCAGTTATTTTTAAAGACCATAAACTTTATACTGTTTCCTCAAATTTATGGTTCTTTAAAAAAATAATAATCATTGCAAGCAGCTTCAGTTACTAAATGTTATAGCTTTAGTTCTTTACTGAATTAAAATATTCAGTTATTATACAGTAGTATTGCAAATCTATTCACACACAATAATACTTGATGAATCACCATAGTTCTTACCTTACCAGGTACCATAATTGGAAGTAACGTTAATAGCCCAGCATATAAAAAGCAGAGAACCACATTTCGGAATGCTAAAATTGTAATCCATAAATTTCTGTACATCCCCGGAAGCTCCATTTTAGGTGAACAGATTGTTTTAATGTATGGGGTAAGTCACGAAATAATTGATCTGAACACTCTTTCACCGCTAACCGTGAAAATTTGGCAATCTATTATATGGAATTAATTATGAGCTAAAATTAAAGTACAGGCTACATATTGAATCTATCTGAAAATCATCAGAATAATTCGAATGAAAATTATCACTTAAATTAGTAAAATTTGACTGTATAGGAAATAAAAGGAATTTCTAAATCACTTGCCTAACAGTAATAATTTAATATTTTCATTTTCTACAAATGAATGGTTACATTTATAGTTAGTGGTCAAACATCGAGCATCATTTAAATTTGTTTATATAAGTGAAATTATTCAAAACACTGAGTTATAAAGTACATTCAGTGAAAAGTATGAAAACTGATGACTTCAGACTCACCATTATTCTAATAAGTCATTCTTGTTATTTTTGTACATTAAAAGACTATGAATGTTCCGATTAACACTTACATGAAATCATGTGTAATGGTAAGTTTATTTATACAAGAATGTTACTAAATTTCAAGACTGATTATAAACACTCATATTTCGCATAAAACGTTTAAACAACATATTTTAATCATTAAAAATTTCGTCACTCATATTGAAGTTTCAATTATATACAAGTGCATATTATAAATGAGTCATAATTATTGCGTTACATTTTTATTTATATTTGAAGTTCAGATTGACGGATTTCGAAAAATCCCTATTAATAAATATTTAATTACAAGGTGTCTGTTAATTATAGTTGGTTGGTTGGTATTTATTGTATACGTTAGTCATTTTTCTTTATTTATAAATTACTAGCTAAATGTGATTGTAATAGTTCTATTGTTTTTTTTTGTTTTCATAATGTAAGACACCTCGAAGTAATAACCGGGTAATAAATGTATGTTAAGTTTAAACTTGTGGTCCCGTTAAACAGGTTATTGTGAATTCATTTAGTTAAATTTAATTGTATACAAAATAGTGAAATTAAATTTCAGAATCAGCCATTTATTATCAGAAGAATTAAATCTACATTATATAAATAACTGACGTACAAAAGACAGTGTGACAGCAAGGTTTTACAAATTAGTTCCCATCAATCTAAATTCAACGTTTATTTATATAAATGCAAGTTTTAACTTTGAAGATAGCCAGCTATCTTCATTCATTTTACAGTGACTCACTCCATTGCTACAACATATTTTAGGAAACTTATGAAGTGACGTTGAATGTGAGATAGAATCTCCTAGTAAACAAAAAAATGGTCCAACTTCCAATTGGGGATTTTCAAGACTGTAATTACAACATTGTTAAAGTGATAAGTGAGTTCTAGTAACAATAAAGCTATAGTCCCTATCATATTTGAGATTATGATTGTGATTTGCAACAACATTTTAGGACAAAAAATGTTATTAAATAAAATGTTATATCCATTGATAAAAAGCCAGATAAACTTTGATGTAAATCTGGATAGTTTAGTGAACAGTTTTTAAATGTATCCACTTAAGTTGTATGGAAGTAAGGATGTACTTATTCCACAATGACTGTGATACTCTTAAACTGCCAAAGCATTTTAGTGCTTTTCAACAGTGAGATATTATTAGAATACTAGTTTGCCATATTTAGCTGTTGTTATATTGGCGGTTGGAAACACGATTAGATCTAAACTGGATCACCAATGAAGACCTAGGAGGACTGGCCGTTCGTTTTGTTATAGCATGGGACTCGTCGGCAGTACTCATTCACGATCCCGACAGCACGACTCGAACCTAACACCGGTCTCGCACGTGAAATCTTAACCTCTAGATCACTGAGCCAGAATTCAACGGTGTTGATGCCCATAATATTGCTCAATCCTTCATCCATTTCCGGAGGTGGATGATTGTCTCATACCCGACACAGATTGAGCTCCACTGGTCAGGACTTCTCACTAGAACTCCAGGAATTACATGATAAAGCTAATCACTAGTAAGCACATGAAGTATGAAGCGTTTGTGAAAATTGTAGTATTTTCACAGTTGAAATTACCAATCGAACTAAGGCAGACTACCACTGAAAACCTGGAGGCATTGGACGACCGTTTCTTCCTAGTATAGGGAGCCTCGAGTGTATATCAACTCGTGATTTCAACTGTGAAAATACTACCATTTTCACAAATCCTCATACTGATATCATTTGTTACATATTAAAAAATATGAGCCATATTACAAAAATATAGTTTGTAGAGAAGTTGGCTACATTTATTGCCATATAGTGATAAGTAGAGAGATTTTATGGGTTTTTTTAAATGTTGTAGATTTGCAGATTCGACGATCCGATATGTTAGAGTACGAACTTTAGTCTTTATTTTATCTCCTTGTAAAAAATCGATCAGCCAGTGAAATTCAGTTTATTCACCACAATACAGTTTAATCAAATTACTTGAACATTACATATGACACGATATGAAAGAAGAACATTTACCATAGAAGTAATAAGTAACACTCAGATGAATAATGAGGTATATGTAAATATAATAACGTAATACATTAATCTACATATGATGAGCATGGATACGCCTGTTTCATAATATTATATTGCTAATTTTCATTATATGTTAAGGTTAATAAAATAATAATTGGATGGGGGCTAGCATTGTAATCCAGGACGTGTATTTCATCTTATATGGGACTCGTCAGCTGGATGTACCTGAATTTCAGAGTTGATGTTCACTCTAGGACTCGAATCCAATACCGTTCAGTTCAAACGCCATCGCGTTATCCACCTGATTACTGAGTTCTGATAGCCACTGCCAGCCACTATCGATCTTTGCTTATAAAGCTTGTGACTTAAGACAATGTTAAGACAGTCTTCACAGGATGCACATATTCCAACAAGTGACTGGTCAATTGTCATTATAAATAACAATGGGAAGATACAAGTAAACAATACCAAGTAAATTTAATTAATAAATGTATTTAAAAATACCTGGAGCATGAATAAAAAATTGACCGCTCGGTGTAGAAATGTTGAAACATTTGAAATAGTGATACATATATACATATTTATATTCGTAAATGACATGTGCATGTGAATTTTTAATAATGATTGTATATGAATGAATGTTGACATACTGTACATAACTATAACTAAAGTATATCTATGTATCGTATACAAAGATTTATTTAAAAGTCTAATTTATTCAATTAGCCTGTAATTTGAATTTTGTTTATAAATTATTTTTAAATTATAAACAGAAAATTTAAATTATAGTTTGATTTAAAAAAAAATGATTGAGTTATTAACACAAAAACAAAACGTGTCTTGAAGATGTCAAATTAATTATATGTAATTAATATTCTGTTCTTTAAAATTAGATTGAGGGTTTGTGGGGATTGATTTTATTTAAATGTGTCTCATCATGAATTAACTCAATACAAAAAAAAAACAATTAATGAGATTTTTGAAGTGTCTATACGACCATGAAACTGAATCTGAAATATACAGCTCTCTCGTTGTGCATAACATGTTTTTCATTATCGGTCTCTAAATTCAGTGCTTCAGGTTTTCAGTTTTAATTAGCTTGTAATAAAACATATCTATCGAAATAATCATGTGATAAGTTTCATATCATGACGGTTAGTTCTATGCCCTATACCCGCACATTAGAACTTCGAGTAATTCTTGTTAAAGCTAGCGATTAGTGGATACCTATTTGGACATATTAGATAGATTGTTTGTGTTACTTATCAGCCATGTGCTATAGGTAATTCGAATTAGTATAAGGGAAATTTGTGTGATTTAGATTATTTCAACGAAATTAATGACTACATGCCGGCTCAGTGGTCTAGTTGGTTAAGCGCTCGCGCGCGAGCCTGATAGGTCATGGGTTCGAATCTCGCAGGGTGCAGGGTCGTGGATTAGCACTGCTGAGGAGTCCCATACTAGGGCGAAACGGCCGTCCAGTGCTTCTAGGTTTTCCATGGTGGTCTAGCTTCAATTGACTCATGATTTCAATCTGTGAAATTTCTAAAATCTCCACAAACCCCTTCTGATAAAAAATTAATTATTTATGGTTAGCGTTTATAGAATCTTTAAATGAGGTTGTCGTTCAATAATCATAACAGTCCTATCGATCGAAGTGACAAAAATAGATAATAAATAATCGATGTGTAGTGCATCAGAAACTATGAGCGCTTATTACTTTATTATATTTATGTATAAAGATGAGACTATTTGATTAGATGATTTAGCATGTAAATGAATGCCCTTAAAGTGAGGGAATGATTGCTGTTAGGTTAATTCCTTTAAAAAAGCTATTTTAAATCTAAGTGCAAATCTATTAAACGGTAATGTAAAAGATTTCCCGTTATGACGAAATGAAAAGTCAAAATATGATTGATTTACTCATGACGATTTTTTGTTCGATATTAATTCCGTTTTAATTTAATGTGATGATTACCTAATGTAGTATTTGTTTTGTTTTCCCTTATGACATTTTATTCTATATAACATACGATATTCTTGTATTCAATGGACATGAACTACTCTCAGCATATGATTTGTTATAACGATGTATTTTTCATATATATGTTATTTTATTATAAATATTAATTAAAAATGGGTGTATAAATCAATATATAAATGTGTATTTCGGACTAGACATGTCGTGGTTGTTCGTGCTTCTGGCTGCTTGTGGGATATATTTCCCTTTTCCAAACTTGGACTTTTTCTCTCTAGTTAGCTGAGCTGGGACGCGTCAGAATAGCTAGCTTATTGATCTTTGGTCACAGAGACTTTGTTCCGTCCTCAGATTAGGTGAACTTGTAATCGCTTCAAACACAGCATTTCCAAATTAAAAAGCTGATTCTCTTTGTTTAACTGAAATATAAAATTATATTAAATAAATTTATATATTTGTAATATCCCAATGAGTAGAAAAATCAAATTTTCCGACGTTTAGTGATTCAATGTAAGCCACTTTCTCAAAGAATAATAATTTATCTACTTACTGGGATATTACAAATATATTAATTTCTTCATAACAATCTAACGAATACTCAAGTTATTTGAAATTATCAAGTCAAAGCTTGGTAATGATACATGAAATTGTATTATCCTCATCGTCTAATCATCTTTAAAAATACAAAATTTGAGATTGATTAAATATTCTGTTTATCATCTACATCCACAAACAGAAAAGATATATGATATCAGTTAATTTAATTATAGAAGAATAAGATGAACACGTTACATTACAATATGTTCTCCACAAATGCTTGTACTTGTGTAGAACCAAAATTAGGCGACTTTTAACACACTTATTGAAATAAAGTATTTTCTAAGTTAATCTAAATACCTCTTGTATATTTATAAATTAACGATTTTTTTTACAGCCGATCTTGAAATACCTATCTTAGAAAGTGAGTGATGCAACGACACTTTATTTCAGGTGTTTCGACATGTATAATAAAGAAGGCATTTGAGATCAATATTATACAAAACACTAACTAGAGCTCTTCATGGCGGTGTTCAATTTTCCATAGAACATGAAGAAAATATAGCTGTGCAACAGAAGGTAGACAGTATAAATCCTTGTTCATTTTATTGGAAGTGTATAAGACGTGGTTTGTACCGGAACTCAAATAATATTTTTTTAATCGGTTGCAAAAATATTATTTTATAGAGCAGAAAAAAACATGAAGCACAGGTAAACTGAAAAATATTAGTGAACTTTAGGGATTGTCTATGCAATAATCATTCATATTCATCTCAACTTTATAGCTAATTATTTCATCTCACCCACTTAGTCTTTTACTACCTAACACAATAAAGTGTAGTCAATTTATTCTATTCATACTATTGTTTTTCTGAAATTGATAAAGTGAATTATGTGTCTGAAACGTCGCTGTAGTCCATAGTAATTTTTCAACTACAGATAAATTTGATATGAATATAGATTTATGTGTTATAAAAACATTTACATTCGTATACTGATAACTGGACAGAATGATCATGATTGCTAAACGTTAACAGATGGAATAATGATTGGCTAATTCTAATTAATTGGAAGTTTTTATGAATGATTGTTTAAAAAAGTTGTTGTATTCAGTACCATCTTATTATCCAAATTATTAAAATAGCCAAATAAACATTATTGAAGTTAGAGATCAACACCGTTGGATGCCTGCTCAGTGGCCTAGTGGTTAAGCGCTTGTGCGCGAGACTGATAGGTCCTCGGTCCGAATCCCGCGAGGCGAGATCGTGGATGCTCATTGCTGAGTAATCCTAGAACAGAACGAAATGGCCGTACAGTGCTTCCAGGTTTCCCAAGGTGATCTACCTTCAATTGACTCAAGATCTTAACCATTAAAATTACTGTAATATCCAAAAACCCCTTCTGATACTAAACATAAAAATGTAAAAAAGTACAAATTACTAGGTCCGAATTTCATGGTTTGGTGAATCAATTTTTAAATTGCAAATGACATAGGTGTAATAGAGTGATTTACTACAAAAATGTTAAAAGTAGCTTGCCATGTGGTCATTAATATGTCAAATGGCTAAGATTAATGATGGATGAACAGTGTTGTCGATAGTTGATTACCTTTCAAAATTTTGGTTTGACCAGAGATTTATAACAAAAACACCTCCCGGATTTAAATATTTTTCAGTTTTGGTTCAATAGTCGAAAAATTTAATAAATTATATTTACTATACCTAATCAATTCATAAAGTTATAATTACCATTTGTGATGTATGGAGCAATATATAAACGTAGTGTTCTGTAAATCTTTTATTTTTTAATCTTTAAGGGATTCAAGATTAATTTCTTGTAAGTTAACTAATGCAGATACCCAATTCGGATCTTACTGAGACAGTAGTTAGATGTTATGAACATATGGTTAATTTATCAAACAATCTTTGACAGAAGAGTACGCATTGTTTAAAATAAGGTATTGGTTATTCAGTATAACAAAAGTCAGTCATCAGTCCACTGCATCGGTTATTCACTTACGTATCATATTTACTTTAGTATAATTGGATAACACGTGACATAAATTCTTTTACAATTTATTTATAATAAATTTTTTAGTCACAAGTTAAAAATTTCCTAACCAACCAGAAAAAGGAAATTAATGATTTATATTATATATAAAGGACATCCTCACGGTAACTTATAAGAATAATCTTATTAATAGTAAATGTACTGATCTCTCTGATATATCATGATGCATTTTGGACTAACTCAACGTGAACTACTTCAGTATACACAGACTACACAGCCGAATGTTTTGAAACCTGGAGTCATAGACGAAGTAGTGAACGTGTTATTGAAACACTATAAAGTGAGTGTAAATTAGTAAATCAGACTCATATTTCTTTATAATCATTTCCTATAATATTTCATTAGGCTTGAAAAAAGGAATTATATCGTTTATTTTCCTTCTTATTTTCAACCAACACGAGTTATTTTATAGTCAGTATACAATATTTCTATTCTTACTTAGTAGTGCTGATTTATTATAATTTAAATCAGACCAAAGTAGGTTATTTATTTTATGTTTGACTTCGTATATTGAGATCTTGACTACATTACAGGTAGGCTATAATCTTGTGGAATAAAAATAATTATCAATCAAAATCAAGGTTAAAGTTACTTTTACATAAGAATTTCAACAAGGTCTTAAACTTTATCCTAATGACTTAAAATTGTTTCATTACTATTCCTTAAATATCATCCTGAATGATAACTTCAAATATACAGGACCAAAACAGTCCATGAAGTCGTCTTCTGTGTTTGCATTATGTTACATTAGTTTTCTTGATAAAGAATAAAGAGGATTTTTTTCTATAAATTTTTACTAAATAAACTGTCACACAAACACATACTTAACATTTTTTCCAGTGCTTGCTACATTTATATTCACTCAAGGTAAATTTCGTAACATCACATGCTACTTAGACTAATCAATATTATTTAACGCAATCAAGCTTCTAAATTGGGGACTGTGTATGATTTTCAACTTTGTAGGTATTTAAAAACTACTTGTATTCTACACTGATTTATTTTAACGGTTGTGTAAGGATGACTTAAGTTTCTTTTTAGTCTAACGTAATTGGTTTCATACAAAATCTAACAACTGATCGGTTTGCTAAACCAGACTTTTTCTACTATTATGTCTTAGACATACTTTATTGATTGTGTTGCAAATTTACAACAACTTTTTTCGTCATAAAATCAGTGTACTGTAACTACTTAAAATTAGTTGATAGTGTTGTATCTAGATAAATTAAGCTCGCAAAATAGTTTCGCAGTCGAGTTACCCAATCAAGCCGATAATTGAATGCTTAATAAAAATGTTAAGTATAAATTGCTTAAATATAAAATAGCTTATTTTCAATGGTGAACATCATCTCTCTCTTGTCTTTATTTAAAGACCTGAAATTTTTATTACTCAGAAAATGCTTAGACTCATAATTATTCATGTATACTATGAAAATAACGTTGTAACTTGAGAAAAATTACTTATATAACATGTATATCAACACACCATTAACCGAATATTATTTTTTCGGAAATGTTCAACCTGACTGATTTCCTTAACTTTTTCTAAATTACGTTAATACTACATTCTTCTGTAAATCAATAAACCAACGTTATTACAGACTTTAAAAGATTTTGTCAGAAGATAGGAAAACTTTTCTTCTTCCCCCAGTAATATGGAAGACGTGAAAGTTACAAGTCACAATAAATCAATAAGTCTTCAAACGTTGTCATAGTAACTAACACTAGTAAAAAGCAACACCATTCTGGTCTCACTTATCGGTTCAACAGTAATCCCATAATTTTGTAATGATCAGGACTGAATTAACAATATACACATGATATATTTTCCTTAGTCCAAATATATTTTTGTAAACTGTATTCGTGGGTTTATATTATTAACAAACATTTACTCAAACTTGCATCTTCCATTTCAAACTTTGATTCAGTTGTTTCCTTGTAAACTTTACTGCAGAAAACGAAAATGTTTTTATATTATTAATTAATTTTATGATTATGGTAAAATATTGCATATGTGAACTTCATGAAAACTAATAGTTTTCGGATCACGTTTTTAGTTGATCCTTGATCGTATCAGGAATTACAAACTGTTTTTAATAGAAGAAAGCAAAACAAAAATATGTATATACTGATCGCACACTAGTGAGCGAATAATATTGACAAGTTAGGACCAATTAGACGTTTTACGTATATTCAGTTTGAAGATTCCCTATATTTGTGAAATCGGTGTTTAATACAACAAACTTTATTATCTCTATAATCTATTTTAAACAATCAAAGAAAACTTTTTAAAATTTTCAAATAATGGGTCGAACTAATATACACGTTTAATTTAAAACGTACCTCTACGAGCTCAATCAACCTTAATATCACTAACACTTTAATGTCATTTTATTAACATATTAGTGTGTATAGTTGTGACCAATGGAATAAATAATTCAGAAGTAACTGTAATTAGAAAAGTTCGATTCTTATTTTTCCAACTCTGTTTAAGTCGAAATAATGGATACTTTTTTTCTACTAATTTTTCATGTGGTTGATATAAAAATTTACGAGGTTAAACCTCGGAGTTGACATTCCTGACAATTTGAGAATGTACTCTTAAATATTTCATCCTAGACGTTTTATTATTAGCAAGCTATAACAACCAACTCTAATATAATCAGCAATATTTTATTTTATAGAAATGTGAAGATGAACGAATCCACAGTTTAGCTGAAGTCGAACGTAAACGTATGCAAAATCTGGAAGCAGAAACTGAACTAAAACAGATACATTTATGTTTAAAGAGAGAACCTAAATATCAGACTAAGAAACTGACCAGGAAAACTGTCAAACCATCCATAGATTGGATGGAAACCCAGAAACCTGGGATGCATCCCCCACCCGATTCAAACAAATGCAAAGTGAGTTTGGGTGAAATATTTTTATTTAAACGTTTAACTGAACATAAAAAACTATTTAGAAATAGTAAAGATGTATTTCCTTTACATTTTTTACGTATGTTAATTCTGTTCCTACGTTAGAAAATTCTTAAAAAGATACCTAGAACATTTCAACTATCACTCTACCTTGATGGTAACGAACTGTTGTATAAACGGAAAGTCAGTTTATAGTCTAGGTCAGTGCTAATAAAAAAGTATCACAAACAGTAAGAGTGATTAATTAAAAACGATACCTAACGCACTTCGGAAATCACTGATCAGTCTTTTGGGATAGCTGGTTATATAAAAATTGTTTAGAATGAACAATTAGAAAACTGATGATTCTACATGGAATATTTTGCATATTTATGTGTTATAATAAACAGAAAACAACGGAATTTTCTGCCAGAGTGTTAATAATTGTTTTACAGAAATACAGATAGAGACTTAGCTATTAAATGATTAAAATCTTATAATGGAATTATATCTCTTCGCTTATACACAAATAAATTGAATGAACTAAAATCAGCAACTAGATCAGACTTACGTTACTATCTGCTACGTTGTATTTAGAACTGACTCAGTCGTAGAACGAAAGCAATTAAACAAATGTCATTGAAAGATTAAAATTTGTTGCTGGACCACTAATATTAAAACTAATATTCACAGTTCTCACTGAACAATTTAAATTTTAATAAAAGACAAACAAAATAACCTGATAGTTCGATGTTATATATTATGATAACGTTTGTTTTCGATAACTGATAGCGTTTATAAAATCACGTCGTTAAAAGTGTTAACAACTTGTTTTATGAATAAGTTTGAGTAAAGGTCAAACGTATTAAATTTTCAGAACTTCATCAAACACACTAATGAAACAATCAACAACTGTAAATGATGAGTTATTGATCAAGAAAGTGTATATTTCTTCCTTTAATTCGATCATTCTAACACTATCCGTTTTTTTCAACTGACTCGTCAAGCTATGACCGAGCTATGAAGTCAATAATTTAAGTCATATGACCTCTTTTTTCAATATCTCAACTCTGTGCAAGTCACAAAGTAGTTTTGACTTTGAATGTTTTGAAATTTTTCCCTAGTATCATACGTCATTTGAGTACTTAAATAGGAAGATAAAACATTGATTTTCTCAAGTACACTCCATATAAAATATAGTCATGTGAGGTATGCACTTTTTCGTTAGTTTCTTGAAATTTATTATAAAGAAACAATTAAAAAATTTCCATTATTATATTTTATTAGTAATAACCCAAACATCTGATCACTGATTAAGTTAAAATGGATACTATAGTTACCTAAAAGTACAGAAGATGAATTTTAAGCAAATGGAATGGGAACTTTAGGTAAAGTACGATAACAATCATTTTATTGTTTAATCAAGTATATTAAGGAAGTGTGCTAAAACGTTGAGTCTATTTCAGTAGAAAACAGGGATTATAAAACACATAACTCCAGACTTTCCTAAATATATCCGTTATTTACCGATTTAAATCTAAGCTCGGTTCTATGTTGTTTTCAAATAAATGTGGCGGAGAAACCGAAAGAATTCACTAAAATGTTATAAAGACTATGACTTCAGATATATATGTATATATTCCTTATCATGATTCTATTTTCGGTATGCTGCTTCGTCAATGACCGTATACGTTTGTGATGATTCCACTTATGATTTGCATGAAAACGAGATTATTAAGCATATTTCTATGTGTGATAAAACTACCATGTTTTGGATGTTATTCGGTGCAACCAACCAATTTTTTGAATTTAAGTATGCTTAAAAATCTTAAAATACAATAAACTCATAACTGTTAACTTTACAGTCACCCATATTCAGTACACAAACCTGTTTCTTACGAGCTAAAATGTAGAGTACATAAAGTCGACCATTTTGTATTTTGATTTCATTCGGTTGAACGTTTGTTTACCTAGTTAATCCTATTAAAATATAAAATAACCCTGAATATTCGTGTTTATGTATAAAGTTAAGTAGGTAAAAAGTTTAAAATCACTGGATATTTATACTGATATATTGTTACTTGACGACACTTTGAAGGAACTTAAGTAGGAAAATCCAAAAGAGCTACCCAATGAGTTAGATGTATTTTCCGGTGAACTATAAAACTTCATGCTTTCTTGAGTATTGCAAAGTACTGGTGAACAAAGTTTCAACCACTTATTTTTAAGTCTGATGATTCGGATCTGTTATGAGTACTCTTACTTTAACTAGTAAATGAATGGTCATATTATTAAATTTCATTTGAAATTATGAACTGAGTCAAATACCAAAATACATTCTATGACCTCGTCGTTTTCATCAAAGTTGCTGCCAATTTTGTTTGGTCATGTTCCTTCCAAAAGAATTATTAAAAAATTAGACATCTATTTATATTTTTACCATAACTAAACCATGATTAACGAGAAGTGCAGACATTTACCACCAGTAATATGATATTCTTTTAGGAACCTGAACAAAATTGTTTGTGCTTTCGTTTTTTTAACATAAAAGAATGAATATTACATAGTAAGCATGTCTGTTAGAAATGAGTCAAAATAGAACCCAACAATTTAGTTTGACATGTTAGTTAAAGGAAGTAGTATATTAATAATGTGAATGGTCTACACGCATCAAATTAGTGTTTAATAAACATCAACTGCCGTCAATAAGCTGTATTTAAATTTGACTTCTGACTACATATATGATTGCAGTTTTGGCACAGTGTTTAAATCAGTGTTTGATGAGTAAATAAATCATCATTGAGCGAAATTAGTCTTGTTCTGTCGTAACAAATAGCAAGTAGTAGTTTTTCAGCAATCGCGGCAAATACCAATATCTCTAGTAATACCAGTTCTTCATCAACATTCAGTAGTATCCCAAACTATGACAACATTTATAAACATTTTAAACAATTTGAATTACAATAAGTATAAAAGTTCTAGAAGAGTTAAACTTATTAACTATAAGAATTCGTATAAAATCAACGTCTCCATTTTTTTAACATTTCCTTAAAGAAAATAAAAGATGATGATCTATTAGCTAAGGCAGAAACCGATATTTACAACCAAACAGATAATGATCCAAAAAACAGATATACTGATGTAAACCATTCAAATCGGCTAAAAGAATTAGATCCAGATGCATGCTTACATTTACCTCTTGGTTTGGTAAGAAATCCTACTCCAAGAACAAAGAAGTTTTTATCATCCGAGGTACGTTATTCTTAAATTGATGATTCATATTTATTATTAAGCCATCTATATTGTGTTTTTAAACTAGTTAAGTATATATTTATATTTAAATTAGTTTACCTGAACTAGTGGTAATATTTATTGTACATATACTTTATAGATAAACTTACTAATTCTTTAATAAGCAATACAGTTTGGTGATGAAGTGATCTTTAAAATGGTCACATTAATCTATTACGCATAGTTTTATAAATGTAAACCAGAACACTTTTTATTGATTTAATAACATTTGTGTGAGACGTAACACCTCATTTTTGAATCCTTTTTTTTTCTTCTCAAAAACATTAAATTATGTTTGTTTAACTTTTATTTAAATTTCAAAAATCTTCTAGACCAATGAATCACTTTATGCTACGGCGAATCAAATAGTTTATTCATCATCTGATGATCAAGCACAGAAACGCTGACAAGGAAAGGGAGCAACAATTTAATTCAGTTGATAGAATGTTGTTTAATGAATATTCTTCTAAAGAAAACAATGAATATTTACAAGAAGCGTTTTGTTGATGTTTATTGTTTCTTCAGCAATTATAAATTTTGATTACCATTGTAAAATTTTCTATTTTCAATCAAGTTATCGGTAATCAGTTAAGTCAAAAAAAATGTTTATTTCACTCCAGTTTTAGCATTACTCTGCTTTTTAATGATTCAATAGTTTGTATTCCAGCAAGTAAAAGTCACATCATAAACAGTTTTAAGTGAATTTTAATTAATTAAATTAAACTTTTAGACATTATTACCATTCTTTGTCAGGAGTCATTAAAATGATACATATTATATATAGTCACTCTCACAGATCATAGAAGTATACATTAAGTTAGTAGAAAAACTAAACTACAAATATCAAGAAAGGATCAGTCAATATCATTATTAGTAAGGGTTTGAATTATTCTGTTGTTAATATCCACAACTGAGCTTTGGTTAGTCATTGTTAGCATAAGTAAATCCTGTAATGAATATCTTAAGTCCTTTTGAACAGATGAGGTGTAGATAACAGTGGAATCCAGAATGCAAATTACTGCCTGTTTAGAACTAGTCAGACGGATTTATCTCCACTTACACATTGATTTCCACATTAGGACATTAGTACATCCAGTTGACAAGTCCTGAATAAATTAAAACACATGTCTTGAATTCCATTGCCAGTCACAATTCATTTATTCTGAAGTATTCGTTGATGTTTGACATTGGGCTTCATAGAGAAATTCAAGGAAAAATACGCCATTCATGGCGTATATGTTTCCCATAATGTTGTTAAGTCGCAACTATAAAATAACAATCTAGTGTTGGGTGGTTGCAAGTAAAAATTAAATGAATTTATATGCTAATCATAGCTGGTCTTGATGGCTTATATTAGTTTTGGTAAAACTGATACCTTCCACATGATTTAAAACCACTTCATTAAAGGTCACATTCAGAGATGTTACCACTAAGCTATTCATGCTATGACTGACCTTTGGAAGGACTAAGACATTTACTCTGGATTACCATTGAGTAAAAATTGACATATTACTTATCTAGTTCATACTCATGATTGATAGGAGTAAAAATATCAGCCCTATAAGGTATCTATCACTATATGACCGTGTCACTGGTAAGGCCTCTGCATGTGACATTGGACAGTATTGATTCGAATCATGCTGAAGGCGTTTGTTTTCTAAAAAATACGTATTAGTAAATAGTACCTTCTATTAATGACCAATAGAATCCATTTAATACAGTTGACAAGCGTGATGTTACCAATCATTACAAGTAATGATAACATTTGTTTTGCGAACGTCTCATGGCAGTTTTTAACTACGATTTGTAAGTGAGAGATAAATTCTTGAAAATAGCAGAGCTAGCCTATCCTGAATTTTTAAAAAATGCGTTATAGTTACTAACGTACATAACATTAAATTATTGTCAATGCTAAAAAAATTGTGACTGATTGATCACCGAGAGGTGACTAAAGTAATGTTTGTTTGGGTCTTTAGAGCTGATTCAGTTCTGTCGATCAAGTTGCAATAATGTCAATAGTCAAAGTTACTCAACGTAAAACTCGCGATCCTGAGACTAGTAGTTAATTAGTCAAACTGTAAATAATAACAACTATCTACTAAATGCGTACGTTTATAATGAGATCTTAATATATTTCTAAGTATTTGGGTTTGAGTCATTTAAATGGAGTTTTATTCTCTCAGTTCGATGGTGTGGTCGTGGAGCTTTCGTCGTTCTTCTGAACAACATCATCAACACAAACTTCGCGTAGAAGCGAAGTGTTTGAATTTCTCAACATACGACCCACAGCTTATCCTGTAGACCTCGATGTTGATTGGTTATTGTTGACCATTAATCTGTCATTGTTTACTACTTTATTTTGATGATATCTCCCATTGATTTGATTCTTGTTCCTATATTTGTCCATGAGTTTTCTGATTGGTTGATAGATTGGATCAATCTCAATGTGCTTGTTGATTGACCTGAATATCAAGCTTCTAAAAATTCCCTGGTGTTTTTAAAGTTCCCTCTATGCAAGATCGCAACATTTTTCCAGTCAAATGTGTGTTCATAGTTGTTCACATGAGTTGATATAAGCGAGAATATGTCACGGCACTTGACCACTAAATGATACTAGTGCAGGCAAAGATGAAAGTAGTGTCCACTTTGTCCGATGTAGTGTTTTTCGCAGTGGGAACAATTTATTTTGTAGATGATTCTCGGTTTTTCTTTTTTTATCACTTTGTCCTTTGCTTTGCAGACAATTGACTGAAGTGACACCTGATTTGTGGTACACTTATTCCAATTGGCTTCAATAATCTTGTTGTAATTTCTGAAGTCTTTTATATATGGTAGGATGATCTGTTTCTTGTTTCTGTACTTAGTTTTGCTTTTGCCGATACGTTGGGTTGATGTTTTTTGATGAAGTTGATTGGGTAACCGTTCTTTTGAAAGATTGTCTTTAGATATTTTTCTTCATTTCCCGCGCTAAATAAAATGTATTTAGGAGCGCACTTGTTATATAGACGGAATAAAGTTATCTCCTTGTAAGGTAAATTGAATTTTGTTATTATCAAATAGTCACATACTTTGGGGTTACTGTTTCTTAACCAACAGAGAACTGCCTCAGTTTGCTCTCAATTATAAAACATAATAGCGATAAATTATTCTTAATATATTCCCTTAGACCTTCTTACAATTTCTCAGAACACAAAAGGGAATTGAAACCTTTCAATGGAACTCGCATCTATGTCTGAGGTAATTCTCAGATCAATTTTTTATCACCAATCTAACTCCAGTTTCAAACTCTTCTTGAATACTTAGTCTTTAATCAGTTCACGAAAACATCTGAAAAATTCATCCAGGTAATAATGCATTACTAACTACGATATGTGAAATTGTTTTAGATTTTGACGTTAGTTGTCAATTTTAGGAAAAGTTTCGTTCTGCCTTACCTGTTTGTGAGGCATAAAGGCGTAAAACAAGTAACATTCCTTTACAAATTATCTCTGGCTTGAAATCGCTCGCTTCTGTTTTATTCAGTATCATATGAACCGATTCCTTTTTGCTCTGTTCGACTCACGACAGATCATAAGCAAACGCTCGACACACTTTAATGAATCTCAAACCGCGTAGTTCATTGGAATTTCTTAATTTTAATCAGCTTTGTAGCACCATAAACAATAGCAAATCAAGTATGTCATTCGTCAATCTTCGGAAATTTCAATATAGTTTTGATAATTAAAATGAATGTAATGTTTTTTTCAGTTGGTTCTTATTTCGACCAGAGCACTTATCGATAGATTTGTTAATTTAAAAAAACAACATATCTTAGTGTTCACATAGATCAAATCAGTTCTCATTGAATCACGAACCTAAGACTCAATGGTTTCGATTTCTAACTTCAATCCATAAAAGTTCAAACCTGTTCGACGCTGTGCAAACAATGTTTTTATAGATAGTAGTTATGCATTGACATCCAGCTCACAGTGTTTCATACCACAATTATTCGAACAAATGGATTGTTCAACATATTAATAATGATAGGAAGTTATGTTATTTTCGTACAACGTGTTCAATTAATTCTAAACGCTAGTTCTGTGGATACATATTTTCTAATTAGTTAATTCTAATTTTCAAAAATTTCTTTGGCTATGGATATAGTTGAAACCTCAACTGGAATGAAAACATGTGTGTTTCAAGAAAAATCTCATAGATAACGCTACGTGAACTTCTAGCAACTAGTTTATCATGTCTCAAAATAAGTCATATAATTTTTAGTAAACGGTACATTTTACTTAAACAGCTGACTTATTACCACCTTCAAATCAGAACCCGAGATCACGTGATGTAAGAATTTAATAGCTTTGTTTGTAACCTAATGGCAGTTCAGTATTATTTAAAGATAAAAGCGATGGCGGCAACGATAAAAGTCATAATCCTTACTACCAATATGCTTAAACTGTCTAACATTAACTACTTCTACACGTCAACTGAGACAGTAGAGAGAAGGCATAAATATTGATTAAATGCTTTACTCCAAGCTTAGTTTGTGTACCCAACGAAAACCTTAACAATTGATTCAATTTAGCGTTGACTGAATAACACGCTTCTTGGAATTTCCGAGCCGCTAGAGGCTTCGACGAAGGATATTTTCGGACTTCTCAAACAAAAAGTAATCTCACATCTCATTTTACTAATTAATTCCCAGATTAGTTAATGATTGAACGCCTTTCATGTATATTTCAGATTTAACTTATCTTATTGATGTTGAATCATCTTGAAAACCTCATTGTTTGTCACTTTATAACTTTTTTTGATCTATACTGTATATTAACAGAATTTACTAATTTGAACCTTTATAATTCTTTCTATTTACACTGTATCGAAGTCTCTGATAATAATTCTCAAATCGATTTTATCCACAAGTATACATAAATGCTTTTCGATTTCGTTTCGCTAAGCAAACTGTCTTCACAAATGCTCAATACTTGTGATGACAGTAGTACGTATTATTTCAGGTTCGTTGGAAGACAATCAGGATATAATAGTGATACATTAATACTTGATTTTCAGTAAAAACAATATATAATATGCAAAAGTAAAAAGTGATTGAGATTTCCAGGTATATTACAAGCTTTAAGAAAACTTTATCTGTACAAAAACAGTGAAATTAGCTACAGCTCACACAGATAGACATCAACGGCTTGACGTTCGTTTCGTTCTTTGGTCGTTATATGAAACACGAATATTATGGAAAATTGTTTCATACACAATGGTTCTTCTACATACTTCAAGTGTTGTTTGCTTGTAAACAAAATATTTCAAAAATCAACTACTCCTTATAAGCATATTTACTGCTTATTACTCAATCTAGATATGGCACATTACTTATATTTTTATAAGGACAATGAATTATAAAAAGCAAAGAACAACTATCAACTCTGCAGATTTATTTGGTAGTTCTTGAGGTCAGTTACAGTAGTGTCAATAAAATATGAAATCTGTCCTTTCTTGATAATGTTATTATTAGATAATCACGTAACTCGATTACAATAAAGTTTAAATCATGATTTACCTAGACAATATCCTATAGAAAGAGGGTTTATTTCAGGTATGAGACAAAAATCAAATTAACAGACATGAGATTTCACTACATTTTAGGATGAGTCCCATAAACCAAGATTTTTTTCGTGTAAGAGTACACGTATGTGTTGATTTTAAAAACTGCCCAAAATAACTATTTTAAATTCCGAAAATACTCCATACATTCAACCTGTTCAGATCAGTAAAATAATATTGTCTGTCGCGATGTGATTTGTAATAATTTGAGATTTCTTATAATAAACGAAGGCCGTTTATTTCTTTTTATTTATAATGCATCTACCTTGAGGGTACAACATGTAATCTTGTTAATTCATTAATTTAAACACATAAACATTGGTACAAGGAGGCACCAAAAAGATTTGCTACACAAATCATCCAATTTGTGTAGGGGCTGAAATACTGCCCAGGCGCGCAAACCGAGGCAGGTGGTTTTCACAGGGGGGACACTCCCAAAGCCTTAGGACAAAAGGTCTAATCCACAAGGCAGTGGAGCAACATTAGGTGATGCAGTCCCATGGTAGCCGGTGGTTAATAATTGGTCCATACGTCATTAGTTCCTCAGGACCCTGGAGCCCCCGTGCACCACTGGTTTGGAATTAGGGTTTTCCAAATCCCTCTGGTGGACCCTCTGGATCTACCAACCCACTTAAGGCGCCAGACATCCGCTTTTCGTTCTCGATCTCGTAAACGACACCCATAACGAGAAGACAGTGAGTAGGACTACCCTGGCAGAGGCTGTATACGTGTAGCCACGTGAGAGCATCTCGAGTGAAAGAGCTAACTCTCCCTATCCTCAGCTGAACCAGGGCATTTGGGGGCACATGTAATCAAAGTGGATTATCTCTTTAAGCTCATTTTCTCATTCATACGCATCACCACAAAACTTCGTTGAATGCTCTCGGCAATCACTTTTATATTTCCAACAATGAAGCAAAATAAAATGCTGTCATTCCTGCATCCACATAGAACACAATTATCAGTTAGTTCGAAAACAATTACTTCAGAATCATACTCTTAGTTTAGTTACGACGCCGATCCCTAGTAAAACGTGAAACAAGAAAATGCTTGAGGTAATACCTGACACCATTAGCAGTAGTCACTCCTCAATAACATTGAAAAAAGGAAAAAAGCTTATAAAATTCTGTGAGATAAACTCATACTACTGTTAATAAATAGCAGGATGTATGTATAACTTTAGCTTGGCGCTGTCCAAGCTTACTGCCGTTCCGAAACCCGGATAAAGGACGGTTGGGTAAAGGGTTAGCTTTCTCACCTCGTGAAAATGAACCATGCTAAAAAAACACCAACCAGGAAAGGAATTTAAACTGTTTGAGCTCTCCCTGAAGAGTCTTCATATGAAAGGGCTATGACGCTGCGTTGTGAAAGCCGAGATGCTTCGAAGGCCACGAGGCTGACAACCCTTTTGAAAACTAGAGTAACAATTAATATATGCATGGGAAATGTTTGAAAAATGTCGAAGACTGGATGAATCATTCAAGTAAAGGGAAAGGTGTGAGAGTATAACCTTGATCCTGTTGGGGTAAGTAAAATATATTGGACACAAGCAGGTCAGAAAACAAGACTAGTTTTGGGGTATGTGCTGCTGCATTCTGGTCATGAAGTAATGCCTCACACGCACAAAGAGCTTCACTGACACTGTTTAAAGAAACACGAAAAGCGCCTATAGAACGTGAATTTCATGGCTCCAGGATCATTAAAGCACTTTTCAAAACAAATAAAGAAGGGATAACTTGAGAGAACCGGATTGACCAAATCAGTATCAATAAAAAATTCATTGGAATAAAGTTAGCAGATATAGCTTAGTTACGGCGCACTTAGTGAATCTGCATAAACACCCTATACGTATTTAATGTTTACATATTTTATTGAAAAGAAACAAAATTTATTTAGCTCTGTAAATCATACAGTTTAAATGAATTTCGGAGACACTAACTGACAAAGTGTTACATATCGATAGTTTCAAATGATATAAACCGACATGTAAGCCACAGACTCTAGTTTCAACCGATAATTCTACTAGTTATAGTATGAACAGGAAATGCTAAGAACAACAAATATTAGGACAGTTTTAAATGTTAGGTTTTCCCTGTATTTAACTAGGCGAAATGTGCAAGCGAAGGAAAGGATAGAACATTAATTTCTGAAAGGTCGGAGGTAATAGATGGATCACAAAGCATATTTTTTATATATATTTAGACAAAATTTGTGTTAAAATACATTACCGTTTAACACTATAAGTTATAGCAACTTAAAATTATAGTTAGCTCAGAAGGCGACTTGAAAAGACTTTTGATAATTGACGAGACGTAACTGCGATGAACTCCTTCGAGAATCCTTACTTGTCACACGTGGTCTCATGACCGATAAAATGAGCTGTTACTTTTATTTCAAAGAAACTTTACTTTGTGTTTCAAGGCATGGATAGAGCAAAAATGTACTCGTAATCAATAATCAAATCTATACTAAATTTAGTATTATGACGTCTTCATACTATTTCGGGATATTTGGACTCAGATTCGTGCATATATCCATCTTTGAATTCTTGAATGTCCATATTAACAATAGTTTGGAGTTTTAAAAAAGTGATTGAAAACTGAGAGATTCAATAAAGGTTTAATGGTTTTATTGGACTAGAAGAATTTAATAGTAGCCCAAAGTATAAAAAATTTATCAATATTTCATAGTTTGTCGAGAACGTCAATACAATTGTTTTTTAATAGCGGTGTTTCATATCTTCGTTTCCATGATATAAAATGTGTCAAAATAACTGTTACACAATTAAGACCACACAATAACAATTCCAACATTTATTTTACTTCATATACATATATACCTCATAACACAGCGATACATTAACCTGAATGAACACATGATTATTTTTTAAGGAAAAAACAGTGATAAATATACTTTTTGTTATATCCCAATAAGTGAAAAAATTGTATTTTTGACGTTCCGTGACTTAATGCAGGCTAATTCTTCAGACTAAATATTTATTTAACATTAACTTTCTACCCAATGCTCAACTTATTTGAAACTATCAGGCCCAACCTTGCTAGTGAAAAAGACATTGTTTGCATTTCCTGGGAAATAAACAATAACAAAGCTTTAAGGAGCTTCATCAGAAGAATTATTATGATTATTATCTTCGTACTCCAAGCCAACTGTACGAATATCAATCATATCTAACACTTGTCTAAGAGTAGCAGAGAACGTTTCCGCTGCTGAACGTACGATTCCACCAATACTACCAGAAGCAGTTTCATTGACTGTTGGTGTACCAGAAGGACCACGAAGAGCCAATTCAGCATTTATAGAGCTTGAGGGTAAGAATGATGATAGAAGACCGTTGAGAAATCCACTTCCAGCCATAGTTTCACGAACGCGACGTCTATATGAAATTTATCAAAAATATTTAGCTTTAGGAAAATAAAAATCCCTAATAGGCATTTTCATTTAAGAAAACCACTTCGTCAACAGTATCACAGATAAACAGTAAAACAATAAACAAATACTAAAATAAAAATCAACCGTAAAGTTAATAGTGTCCGACAGTAAAAAAAGGCAAACACTTGAAAACGTAGATCAAACAAACCAAATAACTATAAGCATGATATCTTTTGACTAACCTTTCTTCCTCTGGATCGTAAATATTGATAGAACTTCTGGGTGGAAGAGGATCAAATGTATAGATAGGAGAACTTGTTAAATTCTAGACGAAAAAAAAAAGCATTTAGCAAAGGAACAGAGGTTTCTACTAAGCGCCAAAAAACCAAATACATAAGTAAAATTATATATATTAATATCGTTTTGTAATACACTCTTATTTTGTAATTTCTTCACAGTATTCGTATTTGCACATGAACTGTCGAAAAAGCTGTATTGTGTATGCCTCGACATTTGTTACATTGATATTTATATTCCTAAAATGTCTAGGTAAGATTTTAGCGGATTTGACCAGTGAAGTGGTGGTTTGGCTGTTTAAGAAGTCGACTTTACACTAATAGACTGCAAATTTGAACCCTGAACATTTACTTCAATTTCGGTAGCAAGGTAGTATTATTAAGTCTCATATCTCAAGTACATTCCAAAGCTAATTATTCAATTTTATATTTAGCAAATAAATTACACATTCGGCCGATAATGTAGTAAACGTCAACATTAACCAGCAATTGATACATTCGGTCAAATTAGTTAAGTAACCTGGGTTGTGAAACAAATCATGTACATAATGACATTTAAAATGAAGTTCGGAATAATTGAAGTTACTTGCGCATTAAATCGTACATCAAATACAGTATTTTTTGGAACTAGAAGCATTTTTCATCATGCTTGTAAGAAATTACAAAAGACAATAATCGTAGTAAATATTGAAAATGGTTATATTGCACACAACATGCTCAAAAGAAATGTGAGTAAAACTCATAGGTATAGTGATGACTGATACTAGCTAATTGAATCGAAGTATCACCGTAACAAGTGGATCTAAACCGAATAAATTTCAACTAAACACTTACTAAACTGCAAGCTGTTGAGAAGATAAAAGAAGATAGAAAGTTCGTTTCCAAATCTAGGCGATAATAGTACCGGAAAAAGTATATGGGTGTTTGTAGACTTTCTTGCTTTGCGAATCCACTTATGGAGCTTGGTTTAATGGTACACACGTGGCTTAAAATTAGAAATAACAATCATTTTAAGAATTCCTTTTTAACCTGACTTTTGTCAGATTTTCTGAAAATATTGCACCTACGAACAGATATTCTGTTTCATAAAAGACTTTAAACCCTGTAGTTATCGTACCGTTATTGGAACATTCGTATGACATTATCACATATCCACAACCCGAAATACAAGGCAACTAATGCTACATATTAATGCTAATATATTACATACCACACGATTACCTCACGAAATCATAACTTCAAAACATCTAACAAACTGGAAGCTAATGGATTATATGTTAGTTTTGGAAATATCAATAGTAGGATTCGAAAGTGCTAATCGTAAGAGTAACGTATTTACCAGAATCTTAGGGACTTGTCTTTTGATTTATAATTAAAAAGAGACATCAATGGTATACTATATTCTTCACAATGAAAATATCTATCATGTATCTTATTTAATATTTGCATCAACAATATTAAGTATTAGCGAAACATTTTATAACTGTTGTTTTCGTTAAACGTTTATAGAAAATTTTATTTAACTGGTACATCACTAACTCGGGGTAAAATGGGTGGAGCTTCAGAAACTTCGGACAAAATCAGGTGCCTCAAAATCTTCGGTGGGAAAACAGGATAAAGAGTTTTTCGTCTAAATGAACAAAGAAGAAGAAAGATTACATGGGTTCATTAGTGTAATCAGGTTATTTTGTGAATTATCTACGTAAAACTTGGGGAATAGGCTTGATACTAAATACAAATGTTTAGCAAATTTGCTTAAACTAGTTTTTTTCTTGAGAGTTTTAGTTAGGTCATAGGTTGTAGTTATCTGTAACATTCGCAATCAAACTGATGTGTTCAACGCTTTCGTCCATTTTTCTTTTCATTCAGTGTGTGACCGTTAACTTTTATTATATTCGTACGTTTCATCCAGCATGTTGAGCTATGCTGCACTAACATATTCATAGCAGACAGTTACGGATAACTCCAGACGCTTGACATGGAGGGAATAGGTAAAATCCTACTCTGATCTTCAGTGTTCATTGACTAAACGAACAGAAAAATGACTGAAAGTACTTGATTCAATATGTGTATTGAACATTGAAACGTTGAGGATAACTTCAGTTGACTTGACTAATTATATCAAATAACTGTGTATAAGGTTACGTGTTCGGTTTTGTACGATATATTTTATTTGGAAGCAAGTAATAACTACTTGGCTGATAAAAAACGAATGTAGACCCCAGTTTGAACAAGTTATTCTGTGGTAAAAAGTGAAACGACGGTAACGAATTGAGCCAATCTCATCAGCTTAAGATGAACAGTGTAATATGGTAGAAATATCTGAATTAATAAAATTAACATCCTAAGTTGTGAGTGACAACGAACATGTCATGGTCTATGATAATCTCCTACCATTCTAGCTGAATTGAGCGGAATAGCGTGTTGAGTTCTCATCTTAGTGGTTAAGTATTTAGATTATAAAGCATCAGAAACCGAATAATACGGGTTGCTTCAGTTGGTAATTTCAGCAGTTACTACTATCCAGGCCGTAAATATACAAGTATTTGTAAGACACTTTATTCAAAACTCATTAGTTACCATGTCTATATTCATTGGTACTTTAATTTTGGTTTACTTGGATCATTAAGATTCGCATAACGTTTGCACTTTGTAATAAAACTATCTATCCATAACCAATTTGGCTCACATAATTTTATTATTTATTTATTTATTTGAACACATAAACATTGGTACAAAGGAGCACCGAATACATATGCACCACACAAGTCACTTGATTTGTGTGTAGACCGTGATATTGCTCGGGTGCCCAGACCGAAGCAGGTGGTTTTCTTAAGGGGCCACACAGAGAGCCTTCGATCTAAAAGTCTGGTCCATAAGGCAATGGAGCAACGTCAAGAGATGCAATTCCATGGTAGTCAGTGACCAAAATTAGTTCCTTCAGGATACTAGAGCCCATGTGTACTATTGATTTGGAATCGAGGTTTTTCAACTCCCCTAGGTGGATCCTACATATCCACTAATAGGTTATTGTTCTTACACATCACGTCTGAGATGAATGAATCCGCTCAAGGAAAACAACAAACATAAACCAAAGCATGAGTCTCACACTCCACCCTAACCTATAAAGTGTGACCACTTATTTGAGGATCAGTGAACAGAGGTTACGACTTTTAAACACGAAGTATGAACTTTGCTCCGCTAACCTTAGTTTGGGAAAAACAATGGTGGGAGTACCCTTTATATGAATCTGACTTAAAATTAAGTGGAATAAGTTGGCAGTGGTCGTTAAAAAATATTAACTATTGCAAACCCTAATACGGATATTAATAAAGCATTACCAAGACACCTAAATACTTCGAAATCCATGATCTCTTTGTTTATTTCGTGTTGAATTTATGTTGTAATGGCATCAGTAAGTATACTTGAAGAATATGAATTATATATATATATATATATATATATATATATATATATATATATATATATATATATATATATATATATGGAGAGAGAGATTTTCGGTATTGTCATCTAACGTCATGAAATGATCACTGCGTTTACTCAAAAAACAATGAACAACTCAGTCAATTCGTGTGATATCAACCTAAATGTTTTGTTTCCTGTCCTAGTAAGCGGGATTTTCATAGACAGCTGATGTACACACAGATTCAACTTACTGCCGTTGTGAAAGTTTATAGCGTTTTAGTTTGAGCAAATGTATTTCCTTCTCTGTTAAAGATAAAGTTTTGCTGTTATCATGTCGAATACTAGAAAACCTTCCATTTACCTGTTACTTTACGGATTGCGAAAAACACGACTCAGTAAAACTTTTTGTATCCTTACTGATGTCACGCTAAAAAGATTATATACACGTTTGATGCCACAAACAATTGTTATTAATTACCCTAACATAGTTGGAACGGTGGAAAGTTATATAAAAAAGTAACAAAATTGCATCGCATGGAAGATATATGGGGATGGTAATTAAAATTAATATAATTAAAGCAAATATTACTAAAATAGTTATCACCTTTTGGAATATTCAGAAAGACGTGGATCAATAGTATTAGACTCAGAAAGATGCAATTGTTTAGGTTCAACCAAATTTAAAACAGTCGCAATATTTTTTTCCAGCCACGGAAGGACGTTGGGTGAGGACCAAAGAGGATGCATGCGAGCGACATATAGACTTAGTAAACAACCAAGACTATCTGATTCACTTATAAAAATAAAACGAAACAAGAAAGTACGATATTCAGTAATAAAAACTCTCAACAACACTACATCAATATTAATGTAACGAGGTAGGGCCACGTTGGATTCATCGAATTCCTTCGGACTTAATTTAGTCAGTCGTAACCCAGAGCCTGGTACGTGGTAGTCTTAGCGATCTAGGATCGTGACCGCAGAACCCAAGGGACAACTGCTTGAGGCTAGTTGCTCACGATCTTTAGATGGAAAGTTTTTTATGTGTAAGCTACGCACTTCAAAACGCCATACCACCGGAGACGGACACCCGTAGGATAAGGTGTGACATTTTTAGGGTTGAATTTTTCCAACTCCTTCCTTCCGTTGTGAGGAGGTAGATGGTTGTCTGTGGAAGCACCTCACTGCTGTCATACTCTTCTAAAGTCAGCAGTACGACTTCACCCTTGAGCCTAAAGTTGCTGCTTTTAGTCTTACCGTTCTTCAACCGACCTACCTGGCATGGTGAGACCTAAAGCGACATGTGTTTCAGCCAATATAACACAGCTGCGTCATCACTATAGGCAATCACGACCACCACATCAAGGAGCAGCTACGGTCAGGGAACTTGAATGTTCAGAAATGTAATCACTTAAAATACGATACCAGAAATATTCTCATGTACTATTCAAAACAAATGTAGATGCAGGTAATTAAGAATATATCGTTTATAACCGAATCAGACATATGAAGCTTGTTATTTATTGATGACGCCAAAAATTACTGAATATGCGATAGCTGACTAAATTGTAATAGTTACATATTTCACATTTTAGGATCAAAACGAACGTCCATATGGCGTTATTCCTCACAAAATTGATACTTCATCCTTAAGTTGGAACCGAAATAGAAGGCTCCTAAAATATGGCAAGACGCTTATGATGGAGATTCCTTAAAGTATATATGGATACTAAGTTAATAATCGTAACATAGTTGAAAAATGCTCAGATACAGCACTACATAATGAGACTGTAGTTATAGGCTAAAAATATTGCGGAGAATAGTTAATAATAAGACAACTTTTACGTTGTCTAAATTGAATTCTAAGAATTTACTTAATGAACTGATGATGTACCAAACGCTGAATGGTGAGGCAGTAAGCAGTTAGTAATATATATATATATATTATATATATATATATATATATATATATATATATATATATATGGTTTTGATTAGAAATTCTAACCAAAAAGGTGTATAGGAAATATCGTGTGAGTGATGCTTACATTACTTTCAAAACACTTGATTAACTAATAATGGTTATCAATTAGATAAGGGGTTACGAAATTATTAACAATGTATCAATGTATTATCAATCAAACGTACCTCAATAGAACTTCTCTTCCAAAAAGGATAGATTTTTCAAGATTTGTAATACCCCCGATACTTGTATGTTTAAGTAAGCGCGACACAAATCCGGGGAACATGATTAAAGCATCTTGCAACTAAAAGGTACAAATGTATGCAGCTAAAATTGATTACTTAAAAGACACAGAAACGATATTCGTTTTATCAGATTAACTAATGTTCGTAACGGAAAAAATCACTGTATACAGAAGTGAGTTGATGCAACAAATCATGAAACAAAAGCATGGAATATTAACAAGTAGGACCAACTAGTTTACAACTTTTCATCAAAATTCATAGGACATTGGAAAAGGCTTCATGAACACTGGAGCGACGACACAAAGTGAATCCCGGATAGCGAATTGAACCATATTCATTAGTCCACAAATTACTAACTACTGACTTCAGAAAAAAAGGTCTATTTTAGTTTTCAGTGAAGCTTACAATGAGCTCAACAACGAAACTTACTTCCAATTGCATAGCTATAGAAAACTTTAGATTGATAAATACACTGAGTACTAATAAATCAAATTGTTTGTGCCATTCTTGCATTTCTTATAAAATGAGAAACCATTCACTAACCTAATCCAAACTTAGAATGATGCATTGGAAGTTACGAAAAAATGTAAACCAATAATTGGTAGCGAACAAAGTTTTGAGCTAGATAAGACATAAAAAGTGTGTGATCAAACCGTTACCTTTTCTCAACATATGATTTCAGTGATGCCAATCGACACAATTTGAATAATATGAATAGCTTCATATCAGTTCTTTCAATTCAAACTTTTAAATAACGATGGAACCTTACACAAATACTAATATGGTGATAAATCTTAAACGAAGACAAACTTAAAGTATTAAGTATTTATATACTTATAAAACGTCATTGAATATTTTAAACATATCCATAAGAATGATGAAATAGCTAATCGAATTGTTTACCCAAAATCCTAATAAATGAGTAGTCAATAGATAAAAGTGGCAATCTTGAAGCAATAATTCATAACTGTCACAAAATATGTTCCAAAAAAGGATATTGACCAACTAACAATATACCACTATTAATATGAAGATAAGACTTTTTGCTGTGAATTGATTAGATTGACGGTTTTTTGACAGAATAAACTAAGTAATTTATTTAAAATAATTGCTATGAACGAATGAGAGGTAAAACATAGTAAAAATGTTTTAAAGAAACTATTCAAGCTCATTTTTGAAGGCAAACATAATACGGAGAAGCTAAGACAAAATAAATTTATAATTAATCAACTAATACATTAAGAAACCTGCATATCAATGGAAATCAAACATACACACTTACAGATTCATCCACACTCATCTTGTTTTTATCACATTTCTCTGGATCTTCACCAATCAACTTACGAGCCAATGGTATAGATAAACCAAAATTGGGAAGCAAGTACAAGTTGCGCGAACCCTTTAAGCAGGTAGTAGAAACGTTGGACACGGTTTAATTTCTTCAAAAATAAACATTGAGTTGCAATTTTTAAATCATTTAAATTCAAATTTCTAGCCCTATGTAATTAAAAATCCGCAAGACAATGCACAGTAAATTTCGAATAATTAAGTGAACGACATGATTCAGGATAGTAAATTACAAATAATTCTTTATCTGTACGCCATATAGAATATACCAATTAATACAGAATAGATATGTTTCAGACACCATTTTTTACTGACAATGATTGCTCACAAATTTTTCAAGTTAAGGGTGTGTTCGGTTACCTAATAAAACTTAGCTGAAAGAGTAGTTTGAAAACTAGCAAGACAACCTACAATCCATAATAATATTACCTAATTATTACCTCGTCAGAGAACACAAATACAAAAAATTGATGAAACTATGACGGTAGTGAATTAGAAGTTCAAATCAAACCTACAAACATGAAGAAGATTCAAGCGTGAAAAATGTAGGTCACATATAAGATCAGCACTTAAGTACACTGGATAGAACAAAGCTTATTGATAGGCGGACTGCAATAAAATAATTGATACTCAGAAGTTGTTGTCTGAAATATACATCAAATGGTTTAAGTGAAACTCACAAGCAAAACTACAGGAAAGTGGGAAATGATCAGAATTTTGATGTCAGTTAGAGGATTAAGCAACACAGTCGTATGTCTACCCTTCATTACAAGATAATGAGTAAATACGTGTACAAAAACGCGGTAAACACTGGGTCAACTTAAATAACACATAACAATCAACAAGCTCTACCATCTTAACTAAAGAGAAATGAATTCAAATAAACTTTCTAAAAATGTACCTTAAGCCATTCTGTAGACGGTGATATGCGATAAGTACCTTTAAAAATGTAGACCGAAGCTGTCACTGTTTTCTGAGTTACAATGGCAGGACGTTTTGAGCATTAATTACAATAATTTTGTGATAAATAATGAAATATGCGAGAATGTCAACCGACCGCTAAACTAGCTTGATGAAATGAAACCCCGAAAATGTGTCTTGATATTTGTTATCATCAGTTTTCTATGAAAACATGAGTATTCATCTAGCTTTTTTGCTAATCCCAGTTCTTTAAATATGCTCCCGAAGATTTAATAGAGGTGAGATTTGTGTACAATGGATATCATCTCGTGATTATAACAACAAGAACTGCTGAAGACATACAACATAGTTATGTGATCAAACATTAGAAAGTAAGAATGATTAGTATCAGTTTATTATCAACCTTCATAAATAAGAAGTGTATTACAAGTCATGGGAATGCAAACATCTATTACGAGATTTAGAAAAGCCCTTTCTGAAGCTCACAGTTGATGGTAGAGTAAGAAACAACTGGAAAATTTGTTTATCTAAGTAGGTGTAACTGATTGTGACAATAGTAATCTCCACACAACAAAAACCATGTCACAGGTTAGCAGGCTTCATCTCTGAAGCTATTAAAGGCAGTTATCTGGTGTTCGAGAGCTGAAAGTACAAAGCTTTAAGTCATGTAGTTCTGCTTCATATTCACTTGATCTCTGCATCACATAGACGCTGTGCTACTGGTATTTATGCCGCAGTTTTTTAACAGTGATGCATGCAAGAATTAAGGTTATCTACATCTGTCTTGTGCGACTGATATTTTTGTACTGATAACTTTTTTCATTCTTTCGATCTTCAGAGCTATGCATCATGTCTAGAGTATATTTTTATGTTCACTAGATACAGACTACTTTTTAAATAATAGTAGTAGGCATAAAAACAAATCAAAACTACTAGCAATAATCAAAAGTGAAAAATGTCCTAACAAAATAAGCTTATCATTTTGGAACTTACATTTAGGCTATCATATAAATCAATTAGGAAACTATACTGCCTGGAGTAAATAGCATAACGATCTATCATGAGTAGGACTGTCAAAGGATCATCTTCATAATCAAGACTACAATACAAAACGAATTAATTTATGTCATTTCACAATCTATAGGCTGATATATTACAAAATTTAATAATTTCATTGGTCAAAACTGTAACAAGAAAATTTACAGAAAATTTTATACACAGAACTTTTTCATAAAAACTAAATCATTGTTACTTTTATCATGTTTTGATATAAAGTGTACAAACCTAAACCAATGCATTATTGTACAAAACCTTAATCCTTTTTCCGACTATTTGTACGGAAAATAACCGATAAAACACTTCACTTCAATCAGCAATCGTATAATAATTTCGTTACGACAGTCCATATCGTTAACTCTAAGGATGTTGTTCAGATGATAAAATATAAATGGTTGAATAATTTCGCAACCAACATGAGCAAGCTACTTGTTGACCGATCACCACAACAGGCATTTAAATTACTGCACTACATCTTACGGATTGGGAATGATTTCTTGTTGACTTCAGTAAGATCGTCTTGGACCACATCCATGACCGGAAAGCAAACCAAAATGTTTCCTTTATACTTAGATGCAAGCCAAATACGTTATAATTTTCAGACGTCATTAAGGTCAAATAAGCATAAAATACAGTGACCTCTCAATTTTAGGAAGCAGTGATATTTGGGTTCACTATAAGAGAGACAAAGGTTAAGTTATATACATTCCAATACACAGAAAATTACTCTATGCTTGTGAAGCTACATAAAATATCTAAAGTAATATTAGGTATATAGAAAGCCTTAATGAATATAAAAGGTTCCAGATAGTCTATGTAGTAACAAATCTGTTACTGCTACTTTGAATTATTTAAACAAGCTGGGATTTTCAATTCATGATCGCTAAAACGTTCTAGTTGAATTGACCTAACTAATTTACTAGGTACAGATTCGTAGACTTGGCTTCCAGCTACACACTAAGTATGAGGGCTGACTGCCAAAGAAAAAAAATGAAGGGGATGGAAATGGGTTTGAACCTGAGAATTGATGGTCAAAAGTCACAGATTGAATACTTATGAATAAAAGTCTAGCGGTACAATCGGATGTTTTTAGGACGATTAAATTACAAAAATACAATGTATTGGGGAAAAGTCAACTGTAAGATAGTACATTGACTATATATTGACTGAATCCTAGCGCATTCCAAGTGTTCCGACCAAAAACGCAAGTTAGATAGCCACGTATGATAAAAGTCGATGAGCTCACATGGTCACAGCAGCAAGATGTCACCACACCAGTCACTTACTCAACCTAGCTCACAACTATTGTCTTCATAGAGAAGCTAAACGGATCGTTGATAATCTGTGCTGACATTTTAACGGATCTTCAGAACATTATCACTATCCTCTCTTAGTAAAGGATGACCTATTTAAAATTCCTAACGGTAGATTTTATTTCGTAAGACTTGACAAAGGAAACTTATACTGACTGGAAGATATTGCTTCACAATACCAGTCAGTCAGCTACAACGTAGGACCAGGCACATATATGTATCAGTCTTACTGACTATAAAGGTACACTATGGTGTATCCAGGATACCCAAATGAAAACTGCAGCTGATGGACACTATTTAATCTGATATTCCGAGTATATTATTCTCTTGATGGTTCCAAAAATCGCCGTTAGACCTTCGTAGTAAAGTGAAAGCAGTAATACAATGGATTTTCGACAATAGGTTCAGGCCCCGCCATTAAGTATCAATTTTTTAAGGCAGTGAAAAAACTAAATTTTATTTTCTACCCCTGTAAACGCCGACTGGACGCTAAAAGCTTGGGTTATTCAACAAATGACAGGACCTAAAGATATGTTTTCATTTAGATCCTTTCTCAGATACAAGTCAGCTCTCATGCCATCTTTTCACTACATTGTCTACTGAACTACCTGCTTGGGAAGGATGTACCATGGGACTGGATTAAAGAATAAGAACCAGATACTTTCAAGTTGACTACAGTTATAATATTAATCCTGGTTATTTTGCTTGATATCTTCAGTTTACTGACACACGAAGAGACTCAAGTAGCACGAACATTTGAACCAGATTTACGAGCAAGGTGGGACAGACGCTGGAGGAAGACGGTATACTTTTGGGTGAACCCAAAGTAGTTTGCAATGATTTAGGAAGGGATATTGGAGATAATAAATCCCCGAATACAGCGCATCAGAAAGAAATCAATTGTAATGTCTTACATTGATTTAGGGTGATTTCATTTCATTTCACTTCTGTTCAGTATAAGATTTAATTGTATTAATTTTGTGTGACAATTTTGTTAACTAATAATCACTAAACCCTATTGAGTGTGAATTATTCTTCAGTCATTATTAAATAAAACTCCCAAACAAGATTTGTCTTCTGCAATAGCCAGGGCTGAAGTTGTGGCATCCCGTTAACGAAATGTAGTTAAGAGCTACCGTTTTTATCACAATTATATTTAGTATATGCCTTAAAGGGATGTTTCTTACACTTCAAACCAAGCAATTGTAAGAAAAACACAAGTATTTCGATTTATTTCTGTGTAGTAGTATAAGTGAATTGTCTATGTTATTCATGTTCATTGCTCTCGCTCGCTCGCTTGCCTTTCGGCACAACTCTTCTATGCCTGTTTAACGCGTCTGTAATTTTAAATACCTGTGTGTGGTCCCGTAATAAACGTAATCAACACTTTGTATTCGCCTTCTGATTAATATACCGTTGGGGCGTTATATAGGACGGTTATCAAGACGAACTGTATACGAATTTTAAGGATTATATCGAATACCGACCACCAGAAAATCATTGTGAAATTCGGAGCTCATAAACCACTTCAAATAGGCGTAGATACACAAAAGTACATAAAATCCGAGTATAAAATAATCACTACTCCATTAGCTGACATATGGCAAGTATTATTGCAGATTACTATAAAGCAGCGTAGAAAGATATCAGGCATAGAAACTGATTACATGTAAAACAAAGTTAAATAAGGATGATGTTGGTGAACGAACATTACTTATAGCGAATAAGAATTTCATGTTCTGTAGGCTACCAAATAAATCCCTAGGAAAACTGATCTTAAAGCAGTTCGGAATTTCGAATACTTCCCATGTTGATTAAAGCGAAAATTATTCCATAGTTATATGGACTCTTGATGTGAGTTCAAGCAGAAAGTACAAATATGTTTCAGAGCTGTGTTTTATTTCTAGGAAAAAAATAACACAATTCTCAATAAGACTATTCCTTTCATTTTAAGTATTATTCAACAACCATATGCAGGTTTTCACAACGGAAATGTGAAATTAAAACAAATTTAAGTACACTCGATCGATATGCCTGTTTAATCACCGAAACAGCTCTTGAACAGTTAAAATGTGACTTGATTTAACCTGTATATTAAAGCTGTCTCAATAACAGTTAATTAAAAAGCATCAAATGACATTGCAAATAGATATTTTCTTAATCAATTAGCGAACTACGAAGTACTTACCTTAACAATAATTTGCAATATTCCAGTGCACTTCGATGACAGCCCCGTTCACTAATTTTCAAGATATAGCGGAAAAGTGCTACAAACAAACCACTTTAGTATCAAGAACAGAATAATCACCAGCAAAACTCACCGATTGACTTGACGCTTAAAGTCTAGACGACAAGAACCGTTGAATGGATTAAAGGATGGATGGAAAGCTGATTGAAAAGCATGGAGTGCGCGTTCTAAAAAATGACATTATTTAACTAATTTAACTTCGCTCACCCAGAAGATCAGTACCTACAGTCGTATCTTCCTGGTGCATCATTATTTCGCTCAACTGTAGTAAAGAATCTATGTGATAAGGATTTTCATATAATATACTCTGTGGAGAAACTTATAATATAAAATTCATTCTTACACTCAAATTATTTGGATTCATGGATTCTAAAGCATTGTAAAATGACCTCTGGATATTTTGATATTCTTTACTGTGTACGAAAGTATATGAACCACAACCCAAAGGTTCCATACTCAAGCCAATTCGAACAGTAGGTGGCCAAGTGGACTTTATCGATACAAGCATACCACGTTTGACGCGACTTCGTTTTCTTCGTAAATATGTTTCGGACCCACCGATAACTTCTGACCCAAACAAACGACTAAGTTCTCCAACATGATCTAGCATCTTGATATTTACTTTTAGCAAATCTATCACTTGTTTATTTTGATCAGCAATCCCTGGGTCATTTGGAAGTTTTATATTACCCAATTGGTAGGTTATTCCAGTTTTCTGAGGAAAACACGGAATATCATAAAAAGCAACTTACGTCCTTTTGCTTATTTTTTTTCTTTTTCCGCTTTTTGGATTTAAAAGATTCACAATGATCCTGAGGATTGTCATCAGAGGAAGGAATAGTTATCAACTGTGAGGGAAAACAATTACTGAACTAATATGGTAACTGATATGACTGAAAAGCTCACTTCGGAGAAAACAGAACCTCCGGTGATGGGATCGTCATTATCACTAAAATTATTATTGTCATCAAGCGAATTTTCAGAATCTTTCTTCAGTTTACGTAATACCCGGGAAGACATTACGATCAAATAACAAAAGAACTAGAGGTAAAAGTAGCAGTAAAAAGATAAATCAGATATATACATAAGGAATTTTGACTGCCTAGCAAAAGTAACTATGTAACTGATATGATGGGAAGAAAAATCAATTTTCGATTGATTTACTCATTGTGAGTTTTATTCAACATTACATCCATTCTAATTCAATGTGATGATTATTAAATGCAATATTTGTTTTCTTTTCTCGTATGATATTTTATTCAGTATAATATACGATATTCTTGTATTCCATTGACACGAACTATAATCAGTCTGTAATTTGTTATAACTAAGTATTTTTCATATGTGTGATTTCATCCTAATTATTAATCGAAAATGGGTGTAAAATCAATATATAAACCAGTGTATTTTAGACCATTTTGATCATCGTCGTCATCGTGTTTTGGGGCTAATAAATCTTTACTTATACCAGTCTTGTGTTCTTACTTCGCAACGTGGGAATTGCAGGGGTCCCTCGTTCCGTGTATATGTGATCAGCACTTTTTTCGGCACAATTGCGACGACCGAACATAACAGTAACCACAAACTATCCAACCATATTAATTGCTTGTATTTGGATACTCAATAAAGTAACTGAATTTCCTCCTAGTCACTCCAGCTATACCTTATGGCTTGTTTCTGAATAGCCCAGTTTGGAGTCCAGAATCATGTAAGAGTTTGGTGGATTTACCCTGAATACAAAGATGGCTTTTAACATCTCAAAGGCCTGTGACAAATCCAAACAATGGAAATTAAGTTGATAGTAATCCTTTTTAACAAATGATGTGAATGAGTCATCTAGATTCATCCGACCCGACCGTTGCTGCTACCTTGACGTGGTGGTCGGGCTTGCCTATCGTGATAAACCAATCGAGCTATACTGGCTAGAACAATCGTTCCTCAAGGTCCTACCATGCGAAATAGATCGGTTGAAGAACGGTAAGACTAAAAGAAGCGAACCCAAGTTCCGAAGGCGAAGCCATACTGCTGACTGTACAGATGTGTGATAGCAGTAAGGTGTTTCCTTCAGACAACCAGCATAACAGCGATGCTGCCTTCCTTTAAGAGGATGTGGGGTTAGAAAACGTCGACCCTAAAAATGCACAGCTCGCCTTATCCCACAAATTTCCGTCTCCGGTGATAATGTCTCAATAAGTATCGAACTAGCACAAAAAACCGTGTGTAACCAGCCTCAAGCAGTTGTCCCTTGGGCACTGCGGTCACGCTCTCAGGTCACTATGACCACCTCTAACACAATCCCCTTTTCAGGTACCTCCAGAAGGACCCTTACAGAGTGTGAGCAACCGGGAAGTGATAATCGCCCTCATACCTCTAACAGAACTCAAGATCACTGTATTCATAATCAACCTCTCTTCAATTCCTATTACTCCTCCTATATCGACTTTCACCTCTAAACTTCCTCTTTTGGCTTCCTCCTCAAGTGTCACCATAGCCAACGATTCTAGTGCGCAAAACACTGTCTCAGGTCTACTGAGACCTCGCTCCGAACTACACATTGGAGCCTTCAACGTACGCACTCTATGTCAAACCATTCACCAGGCCTCCTTGGCTAAAACCCAAGAATCTCCTACCATTGATGTATGCTGTGTCTCCCAAACACACATGCAGGATCGCAGTGTGGTCATTCACTTGACCTTACATCGACAAAAAGGGAAAGCCGACGAGATACACCCTACGTGTATCTGGAGACCAGATGGCTAGTTCTCGTGGACTGATGTGTGTAGGCATAGCACTAAGTATGAGGGCGGAACAAGCACTACTAGTGTGGATCCCCGTTAAAAGTCGTCTATGTGCTGTTCGGCTAAATGGCTCCGTAAGAACTCGGAAGAACAGGGACACACATCGTTACCTTTTCGTCATTTCTGCCTATGCTCTCACCGACTGCAGCACGGATGAAGTAAAAGATGAATTTTACAGAAAGCTCTCTGAACTTCTTCAGAAAGCTAAACGTTCAGACATAGTACTCGTACAAGGTGACTTCAATGCCCAGATAGATAGCACAAACCAAAAAGAAAAACATTTAGGTGGGTATTTTGATATTCCGGCTCAGAGAACAGATAATGGTGATCGTCTGCTGCAACTGTACTCAGATAATCGTTTATTATTAGCAAACACAAATTTCAACCATAAGGAGAGACATCGTCTAACATGGCGACCCCTTACACCAAATCAACGATGGACTTAAATAGACCATACTGTCATCAGTCATCGTTGCAGAAGCTCGATAGAAGACTGCCACCAGTTCAAGAGTACATGTTTGGACTCTGATCATGCTCTAATACGAGCACGCATCTGCTTGCGCCTCACTGAACCCAGAGAAATCACATTAAGAATACTCATTAGAGTCAAACTCAGTGACAAGGAAGCCAAAAGTAGATTTCAGGAACAACTAAGGTCACACTTAGGTAGTTCTGAAAACGAGGCTGACCCAGATGTTGCTTGGAAAGACACACGGACAGCTGTGGAAACAGCAACGACATCTATTAGTGATTCAAACCGAAGGGTTACGAAAAATCAATGGATTTCTACTAAGTCTATTGCATTAACAGATTCTCGTAAACTCATCCCATCAGGCCCCGAACACGATGAAGGGCGAAAACAAATCACATCTAGGTTAACCAAAGTGGACTGGCGGGTATAGGTATAGCACTAGGTACGAGGGCAGACCAAGAACGATCGTGAGCAGTGATGGGTAACGAAAGCAAAAGAGATGGAAAAGGCGGCGGCTATACGGAACACAAGACAGCATTTCAGACTAGTAAAAGAAACTGGAATTAATAAGTCAAGTGTAAGTGAGAACATCTCGGAAAAACACGACACTTATCTGCTCCCAGTCCAGACGTTTAGAACGATGGGCGGAACAATCTAAGGAGCAGTTCAGCTAAACTTCAGCTACTCTACGACTACCCACCATTCCCAGACAGTGTGAATGGAACATTGAAGTAGGTCTCCCAAATCTAGCTGAAGTTCAAAAGGCTATAGTTAATCTGAAATGAGGAAGGGCAGCTGGTCCAGATGGATTGGCTCTAGAGGTCTTTAAGTACGGTGGTCCAGTTTTGGTGGTTAAGTTGACTAATATTTTAGCTAAAATCTGGGGGTTGGACGTTATCCTATCTGACTGGTCACAATCACTGATCGTCCCAATATATAAGAGAGGGTTAAAATCATCCTGTGACAACCATAGAAGGATTAGTATGACTAACATAACATCTAAAATACTAGCGTCAATAATTGTCGGTCGCCTAACTAAGACTCGTGAACTGCAAACACGAGAAAATCAGGCTGGCTTCAGACCTCAACTAAATATAGAAGCATACGGTTAAAGGCCATGTTTACGTCTTTGACGAACGTTTTAGTGGAGCTAGAATTACAGGATCTAACACGAAATTATAGAACCGACAGATTTATCTTTCATGGTAGACTGATAACTAATGGTACTCCTTTTTACGGAAACCATAGAAAATTAGAGTACCGAAAGGAACCATTTTCGTTCCACTCGACAGTCGTTTAACTTATCACTTTAGAACGTTAACGCATGCAAACTTCTACTCTCTGGTTGAACAAAAAAACTAGCGCTATTAAAAGTGGATGTTAGTATGAGGAGCATTCTGCAAAACGATGGCGATAACAATCTGCATTATTGCACGAAAATTTACAAAGCTAACTGTTACAGGAACCAACGGACCATAAAAAGTTATTAAACCAGTCACAGTTAACTTCGAAGTAGCAGTTGTCAAATTCTTACGAGTCTTGTGGTCACTCGTGGAGCCTTAGAAAACCCGAAAACTTGTCTCGATAAAAATAGGATGAATATCAGACAATATTTGGAATGAGGCCTCTAACAACAATAAAAGGCTGGAGCATCTTAACTTATCTCCAGTTTATTACTGAAGGTTAAGAAGTGAATCTATATGAGCTTTCTGTATAGTGTATGGTGATTCAATAATGCTGCCTGATGCTTCTTTTATCTGAGCAGAGAAAACTATATTAAAACCTTGAAAACTAAGATTTAGTTCATGGCCAGGGGGGTTCTTATCGGACTGGGACTACCTGTTGGCATTATTCAATTGTATTTCTAAGCAAGGTTTGGTCAAATAATAAGCGATTATAAGGATTCAACTTTTTCCTTTATTAATGTGATCGGTTCACGAATGAGTATAGGGAAAAAGCTTCCGACAGCATTGTACAAAACCGTTGAGATTTCTGTGCAAACCAGCTTATGTATTTTGTTACTATGGTCAGAGAGGCTTAGTACAGATTCGTATGCGTATTTTCTAAAAATATATCCGTTTTATATTGTTCGCAACCCACTTTACAAAACCGCCAACTAGTTGATCAAACTGATTTATAAAAACCCATTTCTAGACTTTGGAAAACTAATCTACGTTGGACGGATTTATGAGGATTCTGATAACTTAACCTCAGTATTAATACCTGAATAAACTAAACCACTTTAAACAACGAAATGAACAGAAGTGTTAATGCCGCAGATAAATACTACTTATATTTATACATTTGACTTCCAAAAGAAGAGAAGGAGGAACTAGATTCACGTAGTACGCACTAGGACACATACCAAACATACCGAATAAGTAGCGTCAAGCGAAAATATGTTGCCACGACTGGTTTTCAATCACATGTTCAATATTGATATATTGGACTAGTGTAAAATGATTTCTTTTTGCTCTCTTTTTACTGCTAAAATGCTGCTCCAGTTCCCGGGTAGCATCCGATATTGAGGGATGTTCTAGATACTTGACTTCACTAGATTTTGAATGGTTCAAATGCTTGTGGACGGAATAGACGAAGTTTTCGCCTAACAGGCCTCCGTGTCTAGTAGCAGGGGATCACCAAATCCTCCAGGCAAGAACCTAGGTATGTTAACAATAAAAAAAGAAAAAGAAATTGGTTAATCATAGTATGATGCTGTCCTTGGTCCTTAAAAATAGGTCAAGTTGCCTCTTGAAGGACTCCTGAGAAGTCGCTCGGACTAGCTCGGCCGGCAGAGAATTCCAGCTTTTGACAACTCTTAAGGAGGAGAAGTTATGTCCACATTCCGTTTCGCTATGTTGTGTCTCCAGTTTCTGGGTGTTGCTCCTTGGTTTATGGTTCGAACTAAGCTTAAGTAGGATTTTAAGAGGATGCCCAGAAGTGTTAAGAATACTATAATCCATTAATAAATCATCTCTAAGACGCCTATACTCTAATGGGTAAAGGTCTAGTGAATGGAGGCGTTCTTTGTCAGGCTTAAATTTGAGTCCTCGAACTGGTTTCGTGGCTCGCCGCTGGATACGCTCCAAAGTGTCCTTATCCTTTTGGAGTGAGGGGGGAGTACTATCTTTCCATACTCTAAATGGGGAGGGATGAAACTGTTGAAAATTATATGGAAAGTTCTACCGTCAAACTGTCAAAAAATGCGCTTGAACGTTACCAGTGCAAGGTTTGCTCGGAAGGCATTTTTGTCACAGTTAGTGTAAGACTTTAAATCGTAGAGCACCAGGACTCCTAAATCTTTTTTGACTTGGGATACTACTAGAGAGGAGTTACCTAAGTTATAACTGTAGTCTGCGACATGTCGCAGATGGACTACTTTATACTTTGAAGTGTTGAAGGTAAGTCCATTATCGTCCGACCAACTTTGAAGTCGAGTCAGATCCTCCTGAAGTGCCAGTATTTCGTCTTGGATGCGTATTTCTCCCCAAAGTTTCACGACACCGGCAAAAAGTAATGTCTGACGTTACCTGTTGAGGAAGATCATTCATGTAGATCAAGAAGGGAAGAGGTCCTAGTACTGAGCCCTGGGGGAACCCACTATGGCATTCCATAGTCTGAGGTAAAGTTTAATTAACCCTGACATTAGAATGTCGATTTTTCAGGTATGAAGTGAGACAATCCATTAGAGGTGGCCTGATAATCAATCGTTTGAGCTTATTGATAAGACATGTATGGTTAACCTTATCAAAAGCTTCTGAGAAATCCAGGTAGATGATATCAACCTTCCCCTTGTGATCAAGGATGCTTGTCCATTTGTCCACCGCAGTCAGCAGGTTGATTATACAATATTAACTCTTCCTGAAACCATGCTGTTGGAGTGGGAAGAAATTTAAGGACAGTAAATGGTCATTTATACCACCGCATATCAGGGGCTCCATGATTTTTGAAGGTATTGAGAGAAGAGCTACCAGTCTGTAACTCGAAGGTTCGCTGTGTCAACCTCCTTTGAAAATTGGTGTGATATGAGCCAGCTTCCAATTTTCCGGTAGTTTGCCTCGGCTTAGCGAGTGCGAGAACATCACGCTAAGCGGCGTTGCCAGGATTGAGGCTTCTTCCTTTAGTATGGCAGAATGGACCATATCCGGGCCAGGAGAAGTATCTAGTCTTAAGTGCTGCAGTTCCCGGAACACCAAGTCAGCGCTTAGGTCCACTTCGGAAAGTCCTGTGGAATTGCAGATGAAACTGTCATCAGTAAAGTTGATGTTGGTCGGTTGAAATGTCTGAGAGTAATGTGCCGCCAGAAGGTTAGAGGCGTCGCCATCGTTGTTGGTCGGGCCGTTAAAACCTAGCAGTTGAGAAACTCCAGTCTTGGCTTGACGAAGAGAGGCTGCATAACGGAATAAGCTTTTCGGATTAGAGACAAATTTGTCCATAAGCTTTATCCGGTACTGAAGACTGTCTTCTCTTATGGCCTTCGTGCATATGTTCCTTACATGTTTGAATCGCCTGCATACTCCGTTGCTGTCAATTCGAAGAGTGCGGTTCCTGATGATTGTGGGTTGCTGATAGCTTTGGGGGACCGTTCGAGGAACTGAATGATTTGTAGTACATATGAGCGTGTGCAGTAAGAAGTCCCAATGAGCATCCACATCGATTTGAGGGTGAACATCCCAATCCACCTATTGTAGATAGTCCTGTAGAGCTGACACATTCAACCGTTAGAAATTCCAGCGCAAATTTTTAGGGGGATATCATGGCTCAGTTTTGCTGACGAAACTGAAAGTTATAACGGCATCATTGCCTTTTCCAAGGGGGGAAAGGATTGAGAGGTTGTCAACTAGGAATTATTCGTTTGTAAATACAGTCAAAGCGCGATGGTGTCTGACTGTTTCTCCAACGAGTTGCCGACTTTACATTTTCGTATAATCTCAAGTCCTCAATGAGGTTGAAGAACCAAGCTCCAGTTGAGTTTTCACCTCCAATATACGTATGTTCCGCGAAGTTGACTCTAGAGAGATTGAAGTCCCCCAGAATCAAGATATGCGTGAAACTGAGACGAGCAGAGCGGGATAGTCCTTCCAGCATATGACTGTCAATTCGATGTCGGCAGTGGGCTTCCTATATATGACTCCGACTAGACACCTCGAAGTAGTAGACAACCTTACAGAGCAACATATGGATTCCTCAAGATTGTTAAACTCGAGGTTGTGAACTTGGTGTACCTCCAAGAAAGATCTTATGTACACAGCTACTCCACCCCCAATTCCTGATTTTCTGTCGTTGCGGAACAAAGACATCCCAGGTACTGCTAACTCCTGTTCGTTAGTCCGATGTTTTTTTCTGGTTTTGTGTATCATGATATCTGTGTTTCGACGATCTATCACATTACCAGTCAGTAGGGTGGCTGAAGTCAGTGTGATAATCAATTCACGTAAATATTCAAATGCACAATAATCAGGTAAAGGTGATCCGATGCTCAATATCTTTATCATGTGTTTATGCAGATCAGTTGACTTCTTTTCTCTCGCTTCTTGTTGTTTCAGTAGAGTTCTTGGTAGTTGGTAATGTTAGATGGGTGTTAGTGTAGTCTCGATTGCACCAATTCTAGTCAACTTGGTAGTTACTTATGGGTTCATATTTTTTAAGTCGAGTTTCAGAGCAGTAGGTTTTCTCGGTACCAGCAGCTATCACATTGGCAGTTGGCAGGTTCGTTAGTTACAGTGTGAAAAAGAATAAGGTCTTAATTCGAGTGCCAAGGGAAGACTGTGAATACAAATAACTCCCAAGAATAAGTAGTTCTGTAAGTCTTCGACACTGATGCTGACCTCATTCATTTCACAAGAAACACCTAAGCGTAGACACTCGGTCACACATCCTCACCAGGCCATGAGTGAGTACTCTGAGCTACACACTCCTCGCAATTGTGAGCCAGCTTAGACCAATGGGTTCTCGACATGTCGATGGCTTTCCAAACATATATTCGCAACCTTTCATTTCTGAACTTTGGCTTGATATGCTTCGATTACAAAGATGTTGCGCGTAAAGGCGTTGTCAAGCTCTGAATGCCTGTGACGTCTTTAGTGGCGAAACCAACGTAATCTGGTACACGAAACAATAAAGTTTGTTTCTGTTCCTTGTCGGAGCATCAAATATCACTATTTTATTTTTATTTTTACACATAGTCGTATTGATCTTATGTTCTTGGATGCTGTTTCCTCGACCGTTTGTATATCGTGACGGGATAGCAGTCCGAGTTATTCAGGATTAAGACTCTTTTGCCTGCCACCTTTTATCTCATGTCATTCTGACCCCGACAATATAGAAGTCTGGCTCTCTTATACAGAACGAGCACGGTATAACAGATCCACGTGCACAACTCACAGTAGTGAAGGCGTTGTCGAGAAATTTTAACAGATACGACACACTTATGTTCACTAGTGATGTTTCAAAAGCTAACGAAACTTAAAAAAGGCTATACTTAAACGTAGAAACCTAGCCGACCGATAAAGGTTAGACCAACTTTTCTACATCGAGCTGTAATATGGCTCAGTAACAGAAATTTCGCTGCATATTCAGAAACTTACTTCTCAACAAACCTTTGAAGGGGGCCTTTTTAGACAACTTTTCCTGTATAAGCTTCACCAAAATGTGCAGGCAATCCTTGTCTCATTTCAAAACGAAGCTGTAGATGGACTGGCCGTATCAGGTAACTGGATTCTTGAAATCACCAGAACTCCCAACGCCGAGGCTCATTCTGTCAAAGAAATCATATTACATAAATCTGCAATGCTCTCATTCGTTATCTTAACATTCATCATAATCGTGGATGCCCTCAAACTCTTCTCCAGACCACTAAAGACGGCTAGTCCTGATTGGTATTGGTACCACAACAAATATGGTAAGTCATCTGGAGACTGCATGAAACCCTTCAGATTCGCAAACTCCAAACACTTCGACACGAAAAGTCGAGTCGTCACGTGTTAATGGCAACTGTAGCCAGCGGACACAGCTGTTTGTTGAACATCGTCTCGATGATGACGAAAATTCACCATCTCTTTTATAATAGCGCAGATGTCAGCATTCTTCCTGCTAATTTTAACAACTGTCTGTATGAACCGGTCGTCACCTTAAAAGGCGGCAGATAAATTTTAATAAATTGCTGATTTTTAAATAGCTCGTCTGTTTTGTGCGAGATTTTTGTTTCTGTTAATAAATTTACATTTTGATTAATTTTTCTTTTTGATTCCTTGTTTCGGGAGTCAGTGAAGGGTTGAACTCATATTCTTTTATTCTCACAATCTGATAGTAAGCCTACGAACAGTGAAAGCTTAACTTAGTAACGCTTATTACCAGGTTCATTTGTTCCATAATGCTGTCCGACCTTTGACCGTCCTCCTTAATTTTTCCTCCAGTACTCATTTTTTACATCATTTACTTTCCGCATGTTAGTCTGACGATATATTTTGTGGTACTCAGTCATTTAACAGTCCGGAGCTAGATCACAAAATTATGTTTTTCCGGTGCAGGCTTTTGCTGAGTTAGTGGAAGTAAAAAACTCAGCGAGTTGCGCCCAAAAATACTGTCATTAGAGTTGGCACATTATTATAGACGAGAATTCTTTCATTTAGACAAATAAAACTCCATTTGTTAATTAGCTAGTACTTCTTAGTAGTTAAACGTGATTTCTCCTTCGACTGAAATATTAGGGCGACGCAAACAAGTGCATCGGGGCTGTCGTTTAACACTGAAGAAGTACAGGCTCCTCAACTAGTAATACTGAGGATACTGGTCCTTATATCCAATATACAAATCTTAAGATCGTTGAAGTACAAATACTTGAAAAATTTGTAACCTCAAACACTGTCAAGGCCAAACTAATCATGTGATCAAATCAAGAGTTTATTTGCTATGATTGTAAATTCACCGACATAATTTTTTACCAAGACTAAACGAGCAAACGGACTACGAAACTTCAGTATTTTGGTACCAAACCTCATTGAGGAAAATCAGTTGTCCTTTAATCAATGTTATTTTCACCTTGAATAAGTATTACTCCCAGTCGGATTTCGACAGACGAAATACTGAGGCACAATGTTGATAACATTCCGTATAGATGTAGTTAGATTCTGCAGAACCTGACCATTTAAGCGCTTTATGTGAAGTATTATTAGATCGCTGTCAGTTATGTTTACAAATGATGTTTACAAAAAATTCGATCAACAAGTTAGGCAAGATAACCTGACAGAAGGATGGTGGTGATATGGCGTCTAGGTATTAAACACAGTTATCTAATTAGAATACTCAGTAATTTGTAGCTATTACAAATGAACTAAAATAAGAAAAAAATAATAATATCGTTGAATAATCTCATCGTGTCTAAGCATAAAGGGTCTGAGACGAATAAAGTATTTTGCCCCACCGACATATGTAGTCTAATATCATCACCCTCGTCATCATGTGTGCATATCAGTAGAATTTACCGTCGCTCCACTTGTTCACTTACGACCCGAAGTGTCTTCAGTCCCCAATAATGCGAGGTCATTAATAAGTGAGCGGGATCTTGTAAATTTCGAACCTGAAATCAGTAAGATGTTCATCTGTTTCGAACAAATGTAAACACAGTATTTCAAAAAAGAAATACCAAGTATGAAACAAGACGTTCAGAACGGAAGCTGTTCGTGGATGAAAAACTGTGATCATTGAGTGGTTCCGATGTAAGGATCTAGCCTCAGTGTGTTGCAATACCAACTTTAATGTGGTAACATAGTTTAACATAGCCTATCTTGAATGTAGTTCCTTGGAGTCTTTGAGCATATGTTCACTTCTATGTTGTAATGCGAGGCAGATCCGTATATTTAGCACACTCTGACTAATCTGAGTTGTTTTCATATTTCAATCATTCATCGTCGACGTGATCGGAAGATCAAGCAAATGTTTTCGATGTTTTCCTGCACAAGGATTAGGAGGGACTTTCATATCAGTTTGCCAAACCTCATTTGTTTTGCCTTGGCCCAGATCTCATGCTTTACTTTCATGTATTTATTTTCCAAGACCAAGTTGTCCGTTTTAAATGAGCTTGGAAAGAATTGCTTTTATCTGGTGTTTTGTTCTATTTATTACTTCCTACTTTGTTACGGTGTTGACGTATTCGTTTAAAGCATTGTTCACATTTAATCAGTGTGTTTAGTTGAATATATATCTCTGATTTTAAGCTGAGTGATGTCTTTTACATAACTAGGCATCGAATATCTCCCTCTTCTGTTAAGAGCATTCTTTTGGTAGAAAAATAATCATTAAGTTTGAGCTATGTTTTTTATAATAAAGATAATTATTAGGAAGGCTTCTCGAAAATTCTTTTGTTATGAATAATATATCACATCCATGTTGCGTAGATGACTAAAAGAGCCCAACCTGAAAATTATAGGACATCAATAACGCCGATTGACTCATTCAAAAAATGACTATTTCCGACGCGCTAACGAGTTGGCATTTGAAGGAAAAAGGATAATCACGAAAAATAATAAAAGCGATTATGTTACTGATTCCCTATGCTGACTATTCACAAAAGGAAGTTCGGTAACTAAAAACATTTACTGTCATTGAAAAGTAAGACCACTCACCTTGTGAGTAAATTCACAAACGATCGCTGAACCTTAGAGCAAATTCAGCTGGTTTCTCCTGACTTTCAGGTACTTATTGATTGTACAGACTCGGTTTAACATTATTCAGGTATTGCACAGTCTCACTGTCTATATATATATATAATACTGGAATTCCAAAAGTCCTGGATAAATTTGTTTCATTCTGTGCAATTTTAAGATAGACTACAATTTGCAAAATCGTTTGCCATGTCTTTCGTCCACTGAGACCATTTCTTTTTCGAATCACCTGCTTATCGGTTTGCTGGAATATTACATTTGAGTTTCTCCTTGTCTATAAAAACTTCCTGACTATCTCCATTACATATTTACTGAAATTTAGACATCTAATACCCTTTGTATGCGAATATCTCAGTTTGATTGAACGCATGTGTGCTTCTCAATCTTTATTTACTATCTCATTATTGTGAACAAACAAAATCAATAACGTCATCTGTGTATCGGTTAGCACATAAAATGCACATGGTTTCGCACACGTTTACTCACTCACCCTCTGGTTCGCTTTCCAATCGCGTGATTATGGATATCCCTAATTAATAACAGCACTCGCTTTTCCCAATAACTAGTGTTCTTCCTTCCGAAGTAAATTATCGGTGATACCAAGAGAAATAGCTCCCAATGAAACATACTGTTGCGGGCCAACACATCCTGGAGTCTAAAAAAGGAGTAACTTCTACAAGTTTCCACAAACTGCCTAATTCTCAGTTTATTTAAAATTATGAAACCTGATTCTGGTAATGGTACTTTCTAAAGTAGTTGTGAATTCAACAATTTTCCTTAGGAGTTAACAAGATCTGTTTCGCCATCAATGGACATCTGTGAAGTGTCCAAGAAAATTTGTTTTGTCAGACAGCTCACGTTGAGTCTATTGTCCGGTCTTATGTTACTCATTCATAAATCCACATTTTGAAGTATGTAAAAGGGTATCACCAATCGGCACACATGTAAGATCCACTCGTTATCATGGGACGATGTTTTTGTTATTTGTTATTATTATCTGTTAGCTTCAGTCGAGGAAAGAGCATAATAAATTTTAGACTTTAAGCTAAAAGCGGATAATCGAAATCCACGTACAATAGGTTTTTCCCCAAAATAAAAAACGCTTATTTTTAATTCACATATTTCTAAAACAACAGATATGAAATCTAATAATTGAATAAACGTAGTAGTGGTAAATGTATATAGAGTGCTATACATGGCTTGGAAATGGAAGTACCTTTGTCCGTATTGTGCATTTCAGAGCGAAACCTCGATATAGCATAATAGCTAGCTTATGGTATTCCCGTGGAACTGTCTGTGTTATTGTTGCAGTCGTTATACGTTTCGGATGATAAATTACTGTATTAAGTGATAAGATGACAGTAATGTCAAGTACGTGAGTTATTGATGAGCGTGAACCAGAATACTGCTTTTATGTGGAAGGATTTTGATGTAGAAAATTGCTTAGGGTTGAAACACACAATCATCAGTAACATTGTTTTTTACAAACAAGTTACTTTATAAAGAAAATTGGCCTTCCTCGTTCGTAACCGTAGTTTATGCGCTGTGAACTGCTATCAAAGTAGTTGACTACGCAGTTCACTGCTACAACGTACTGTAAAAATCGAAAAGCCCCGATTTGTACTCTGTACTCTAGGAGCCGTGTTGGAAGAACAAAAATGATGTTGCCGCTTTGGTGGTTGTGGCTGTAGTTTATAAAACGAAATATTACGAGTGCTGGAGACTATTAGTGATAATCCTTGTAAGTCCACGAACGCATGTTAGCTTACGTGTTACACATAAACTGGATATATTTTATAACTTGCATGCAAGTAAATTGAAGTATATAACATACACACCACTTATCTGGGAGACTTCAAATATCAAGTGGTCGCCTTGTGGCGAATGTCTGCAGGTCGCTTAAATAAAATTACAAGCCAGCTTTTATTTCTTACTACAAAGTCATTTGAAAGCTGAGAAAGTACAAGTTATCCTAAAAACAGACTTTTAAGCGTGAAGAACTAAACAGAAAAGTTGTTTTATATAAGTTTCATCATACTCATTAATTTCTTCGAAATTGTATTTGTTTTAAATTTTCAAAGTATCATAATGAGACCTTGTATTTTTGTCAAACATATAAAATAGTCCTTGTGTTTGCGCTTTGGAATAAACAATTTTTCATTCACACGCGTGTATTGCATGTTTTAAAGCAAATGCATTGAATAGGATGTTAAGTGCTTTGGTGCTATAATGTTGTGTTTATTTATTTTTACATTTTTACAGACCACACAAGATAATTTTTCCAATTTAAATCTCAGTAGGTACTTTGCCTGAAGAGGGTATCTCTGTAGATATGAAGCTTTTCAGAGAAGCTATGAATTTAATATTGAAAGCTTACAGACGATATCCGTACAATGATGTTTTGGTCGTTTGTCAAACTCATCTGTGTACATTCAAATCACCATTCAACATCATACAATGTTTTGTTAGGCCCGATGGTTTTTTAGATCCATCAACGTACTTAGTTTCATCTAGAAAGCCAATGTACAAAGCAGTTATTTTTGATAAAGATGGAACTATTATTTGCTTTAACTCAATGTGGATGCCTTGGGCACGGACTATTGCAAAAAAGTACTGTCACTATATAAATACCTATTTATCTGCCCCAATGATAAAGCATTTCTAGTGACATTGCTCGGGATATAGGTTTCGAGATATTGACTACTCTTGGGTGCTGCCCAAAAACTCACATTATCAATCCAGGTTTAAATTTTTTTCATTTTAATTCTGACCTTTTTAAAGGTGTTTTAGCTGAAGGTACTGAAGAACAAATAATAACCGCTCTGACAAACTTGTTAGTTTCTCACGGCATTACAAGAAGCATGGCTCAGTCCATTGTGTCTAAGCATGTAAAAGCATTATCACTTTCACCTGAGCACGTTGTTCAGTTGACTGATATGAAAAGCATGTTAACTACTTTGAGACAGCACTCAATCAAGACCGCTATTTGCACATCCGACAGTCGCAAAGGTAAGTCGATCCTGTAACAGGAGATATTTACTGTTTTGATGGTGAGTAAATCACTGTATAATTGGAGATACAAGAACAAGAGCAAGTAATTTTAGCATGTTGGTCATGGTTTGGTGCAGTAGTGAACACTTGAATATCTTTCGTAGTGTAGGCATATCAACACGATTTATGACAAAGATCTTAAAATATTTGAACATTGAAAGCAATATCGTTCCGACAAGCCCTTAGATTTCAGTCCCAAGTCTCAGTTATTTCATGATAATGTTACCAACAAAGATAAATGTAGAGTAAGGGAAATAAAAATTACTAACAAAATAATGGCAAGACTTTAGAATAATGATATTGGTGAGCTATTTATTAGCTTTTCAACAACTGAAAAATTTTTGTATCTAAACTTTGCACACGTTTGATACAGAATACAACAATTGTTAAAATTAGGTTTGCTGAAAACAGTCATCGACCAGGATTTGAGTTTCTTAGTCGAAATTGTGAATACACGATATTTCAGTCATTTCAAACGTTAAAAGCTTCTGGCAGTATAAATTAAAAGGAACTAAACCGTTTACATGAATCATAGCGGAAAATTAAAAAGGCTAAAATCCAAGTAAATAGCACTTTTCTTAGCAATATTTGGCTGTACTAAAAAGGAATAATAAGTCTGATAGTTCTTGGCTTTCAAGAGTAAAATGAAACAATGTATTACTAGACCGTCAATTAAGTTTTGTGTGTATTTTAATTGGAAGAAACTAATGTGGTTTACTTTTAAATAATTGTAGGAACAGTACAAGCTCTGGCAGTTTTAGATGTTTTACATCTATTAGATGTTATTGTGTGCGGTGATGACCCTGGTAGACTTCCGAAACCGCATCCAGATAACGCGGAATTCATATGTAAGGAACTCCATGTGTCACCTGAAGAAACAGTTATGATAGGAGATACCTCGACGGACATTGCTTTTGCAAAAGTAAGTTATGGTTTGAAAACAAGTCAGTTTTACATGTTGGGCAATATTATAAATTGCAACTCAGGAAATTCAGGTGAAAATGATCGGCCTCTAACATTTTTAATCAATTTTTGTCTGAAATGGTTTAATTTCATAAAACGTAAGCAGTATACTCTTTGCATTATTTTTGTGTTTCTAGTTTTTTAACAATACAAATTCGTTCTGTTTGTAGATGAGCAAAATTTATTATTACAGGATTAATTAACATTCAATAAAAAGTGAAAAAGCTCTTATAAAACCAAGTCCTAAACGTTTGTTAGTTAGCTCCTAGAAGGATAAAAGGTGTCACTATTATATTAAACTCACAAACGCTAGTCTTAGAATAACTGTTGTACGAATTGAGCAAGCAGATAATAAACCTATCTGAACTTCTTAGCATAACTCATGTACCTTTCACAGTATAATACATCATTCTTAATAAATACTTCAAAATATTTGAGGTAAGATAGTTCCCTTTTTACATTTTACTCAAAGAATGCTAATCTAGGTTTATGTATTGGTGTTCTTAGTGGAATCGGTCAACAAAATGGTTTGGAGGAAACCTGGCTTAAGCAATCTGAAATTGAGGGTAAAAGTAATTTAAACGAGGTTAAATCATACCATTCAAAACCTAAGTTACATATTGTGCCATCTGTGGGTCATATATTGCCAATCGTGTTGCCTGATCTTAATCTATCAATCAGACAAATTTTGCTCGGTAACAACGTGTTACATCAAAAGCTGTCAAATCAAAAGTTTAAACTGGTTATTATTGACAAAGATGGGAGTTTTATCAATGTACATCCCCGTTGGGCTGAATGGTGTGAGAAAGTCTACATAAGATAAGTCATTGTTTTTGGTATTTTACATAAATTCTGAGGTACTCTTGAGATAGAAAGGGTTTTTATTGTTTATTTTGCCATCAAAACACTGTGACTAACATTATCATATCTTTATAATTAGTGATATAAACATGAACTCCACAGGAAGTTAAATGCATGTTATGCTTTTGTTATATTATGTCTGCTATTTTTACGAGATATAACCATCAAACAAGTCAAACTGTTATCATGTTTCAGGCTGTCTGATACTGGATAATTAGTGGTGGTCATTGAACAGTTTTCAATCTGGTTATCTCAAGATTTACAAGTCGATTTCTAAAATGCACCCAGAACTCATATATCGTTACATTTCATTTTATACTCAAAGTCAGATAATTGTGCGGGATTATGGAATACATATAATAAACACTGATATTGTAATAAGTAACATACTTGTATGCAATAAAAAACTGAATCTTCAGTGATTTTGCCAAACTTTGTTAAGAATTCGAAACTTTGTACTTATTTAAAAGGTTAGGTAACAATCTTTGTAGTGTTAAATTTACTCAGGTTTGGTTTTGTAAGAGTTGAGTTTCGAATATAAGTTTAATGAAGTCAGTCTGCCGTTTCACTATTTTTTTCAAACAAACTAAAAATATTTAGGCTTAATTTTAAGAAAAATCGAGGAATATATTTACCATGGGCAATTTATTGGCTAAAGTAGCTTCAAGATGCTATAAAAGTTTTAATTTGGACACTTTCTATCCTGATTTTTACGGTAAAATGTCATTATTTTCGTATGGACATTTAGGTTGCAATAGAAAAACAACACCATTTTGATAGTTATTATGACAGAATAGATGTAAAAATCTCATAATCTATAGTGAAGTTAAAATTTAGCAAATAATCAGCTAAGAAGTGGTAATTAGAATATCCAAGTTTCATGCGAACTCCATGCGGATCTTTTTACATGTAAAACAAATGTAAATTTCTGGAAACAAACGGTCGTTTTTTGATGCCCATTACAGCAACCCATCCATAAGAAACTATTTTGTTTTCACCACTAAAAGTTCCGTGTCAGAATGAAATGGCTGTCTTATGCTATTTGGTTCTAAGTGGACCCGAAAATAAGGTCAGTCTTCGACAACTACTTCCTTTAAATCAGAATTACACGTTCACAAGTTTTTATGGAGTATGACCACTGTACGCTTCTAAACATCATAAACCAGATAGTGTTGAATATTAAAATATCCGCACATTTGTTTGGGTGTTTTAGTTATTCTTAGTGAGGTTTTAGTGCACTAAATGCTTTTTCTTCTTATTCATGACCTGTTAGTTCAGGCTAAGCGTATTGTTTCCACAAACCCTCAAAAATTAGACATTTACATTCTATGTTTATTAGGGTACCCACTTTTGTCTAATATTACAAAAAGTGCTAATTCGAAACCTACTTTAATTTACGATCTAATGTCCGGCCATTTATTATTGTTTAAGGTTTCGCACGTCCTGTTAAACGCGTAATTTGATTGTGCACGTGTTTGTTGAAATTACTTATACTTGTTGGTCAAATTGGTTGTAATGACAACAAATAATATTTATTTCACATGATTGTGTCAGGGGGTAATTTTCTGTCATCAAATAGATTGACATTAAAAATAGTTTTAATCTAACATATCTAACTGTTGTGTTGATTGTCAGATGTTATTTGAATATGGTTTAAATCTAGTAAAATTTAATTACATTACATTCACCTGACTCTTAGAGGTTTTTTTGACTGAAATTAGTATTTTGGTGTCACTAAAGTTATCAAATATTATTAATTTTAATATCTCATGTGATATCATACTTTTACATCACGTACAGTTGAAATACAATTTCAGGTTTATGAACAAAACAAAAATTCCCACTCGGACATTTAGTAATAGTTTAGTGAATAAGAACACAGGTGGGGACAATCAATGTATTTCTTGCAAAATTACAGAGTCCTTTCATCAATTGTAAAAACCATGCGTTCAATACTTCATTTACAAAAGCTCCGCCAATTGTCTCGAACTTCATCGTTTTTCCATTGCCACAAGAATTACTCCCTGTCCTCGTTCTCTTAGATTTGATCGTCTCAACAATCTGCTAGCAGGTTTTCTACTTTCGATCGTTGTTGCATACTGCTTATTTCTGTTGACATAAGTAACACACACCACAATGGTAGAATTGATTAAGAATCGATAAATATTAAAGTTATGTAGGAACACTAGCGTTATCGAAAATCTTAGAAAATTTGTGAGTGTTGATTTACTCTCTTTTAAATGCTCTACGTAGATAGGCCAGGTAGGGGAAGGGGCTTTACGAACTTCTTTCGAGTACAAAGATAAGACTTCTGGATGTGGATTACTGTGAATTGAAGGTGTTTAGAAGACGAGCCAGTGAACATAATAAACCATTTTTGTTAATGGAGCTTAGAAAAAATACTTCATGGTCTTCTTAGCTCCCCTTACTTTAGATAATTCATATGTATTTTTCTGCTGCTGGATGAAAAATTCCTGCTGACCTTTCAAGATTTTAGACAAGTATATTCCCTATTTAAAATTGGTTTACCATAACTCAATTCTCTAGGAGGTTAATTGCTTTTATCCTGTGAGTATTTTGGAGCAACTTCGTTTGGTGACTACTAATGCAGTTTCACAAGATAGTGTGACCTAACCGGATAGCATTTAGTTTGTCTCTATGGCTTTGAGAGTTCATTTGAACGCTATGATTATAAATACTAATTTGTTACAACCATTCACAGTAAGTAATTTCAGTTAAATTTAATCCATATATTTCTCCTTCCCGAATATGTTAATGCAGCGGTTCTTAGTTAAAATCTTTTGTAGAATAAGCTTTTTGTTTCTCTGAACCCCTTTTTCTTTTTCTTCTGGGATTTAAGGCATTTTGAGTTCATCAAATCTAAACAATGAACAGGAATCCTAACAAGTTTCTTTAAAAAATCGTTTTCACTGTTTGTTTCCTAATTAGTTAATGTTAGTAACCTGAAAACATTTTACTCCTAACATCTTACAGATTATCGGAAAAAACGTCTCCTGATCTAGCATGTACATTTTTGAACATACTGGGTTACTCTTCTGAGACGCGAAAAATATCTAATGGCATTTTAGCTGAAGGATCTACGGTGTTTATTGAAGAGTGCCTGCGCTATTTGCTCATACTAAAAGGTTACGGAGTCAAGGAGTCTGACCAGATAGTAAACCAGGTAAGCCATGGTTGCCAAATATATTTTTTTACATGTAACGTAGATTACAACAAAATAACTATTGATGTTAGGTTTCGAACTTGTATCCTAAATCAAAACAAAATGTTTTAAAATTATGTTCCAATATGACTTACATATTCATAAGTTTACTATGTGAAACAATTATGTCTCACTAGTTGACAAAATTTCATCAAAGATACAAGATACCAGTTCGGCTTCTATCACATTGCACCATCTGAGGCCCAGGTCAGATTTTAGTTTGTCTATTAAAAAGTATCCGTTATACATAGGTATTCTGTGCATTACACAGTATGTCTCACGTACGTTGAAGCGACAAAGTAAATAATGCTAGAAATAATCGTCAGACACCAGATAAATGTATCACACTTGGAAATAAAGTTATGGGTTTTTGTCGAATGAGGTGCCAGGGATTCATGTTCTTAAACCTATCAACCACTTAATACAGCGAGCTATGATGGCTCAGGATAGGAGAAGGCTGGTGGGTCTGAAACGGAAGTAGGGAATCACCTCACAAAGTCACTGACTGTTGTGTTGCGGTTTATCAGAAGGTCCACTCTTGCTAGTTAAGATCATTGTTGGAACTGTAGCTAGCAGGTGGTGTCCAAGAGTAAAGTTTATCAAAATTGTTAGCAAGAGCCTGGATGAATCCATTCTTCATTCATTGTTTAGAATTCCCTCGTACCCCCTGTCCTTAGACTTCGTCAGTTCTAGTGTCGATATATTCATTAAGTCAGCTTTTTGAACTATAAGCGATATTTTCATTTCTGATGCTTTTAGATTTCATCAGTATTATAAAAGTGTAGTGAACTGAAACGATTCATGTTTTCACCAGGTCCTGCATCGTTTCTTGAAGGTTTATATTTCAGCGGATATTTTTAAATGATCAGAACTTTTTCTAGTAAAATACATTTAGAATTTATGAAATGTTTTCGTCTGCATGTCATTAAAAGATACCCATAGGCATGAATAAATTTATTTTTTCCCGTCAGTCTGTTTCTTAGTTATGCAATTCCATTAATCTTAATGAGTTATTTAAATGTAGATGTAGAAACTGAAAGGGAGTTTTTGAAGATCACCATTATAAGTAGCTATCTTCAATATGTGCTGTGTATTTTACAAATTCTGTCATAATTATTACTATTATTTTAAATACTTTTCGTTCCTCCAATTTTCCATCTTTGTTTTAATGTGCTTTGTGGCAATCTGGCTTGTGCCTGGTTAGCTATGTTTCTGACTTACTTAGTAACTGAGGGGAATTTCACAGCAATTTTCAGGGGGACCAACTACTTAGAGTACTCAGACGAACAACAGAAGTTATTCGAACTGTTATCCTTCTATAAAAAGTTGCTATAAAGGTACTGTGCTACTACTTCTAGAGTAATGACCATCCTTCGTAAAAACCAAATGGCATATTTTTTCGGTTGTTTCAGTGGGACCTAGACTTCAAAAATGAAAAAAACTGAGCTCGACATAGAGCACTATGTAGGAACTTTGGAGTCTACCAAAATGGTTGACCAATAGTTAAACTTACGTTTTTTGAGATTCGTTAAGGCCATTTCCACCACACACTTAAAACAAGCTGTGTCTTCTGAAGGAAATAGCTTTTAGTCTTCCATTTCTTTGGTAACCTAATCCTCAACCCTTCCTCGTACACAGTTGCATTATATTTTAATTTAGCTCTCCTGTTGCTCAAAATAATGTTACTGAGAAATGTAGCGATTTGTGAAATTCAAGCATCGTTTACTATAGTTTAGTCAATTTGTTTTATATGTAGGTTATCGTTCATTTTCTTTTAATTTACGTGTTATATAATTTTAGATATGGATCTGTCCAAGCTCTATACCAGGTATAACTATATCTGATACAGTTGAAACAGTTAAGAAACTTAGGGAAATCGGTCTACAAGTAGCTATAAATAGTTCAGACAGCCGAAAAGCCTGCAACGATTTCTTGTTAAACCTAAAATTGCATGACTACATAAATATCATAGTGTCGGCTGAGGATGCAGGTTGTCACCCAAAACCTTTACCACATACTGTGCTTCAAATCATTGACAAAGTTGGAGTAAGAGATTTTTCTTTTATTATTTTAGATTTTGTTTAAATTATTTAAGATCCATCACTCAATGTTTTCGCATGTCAGAGTTTTATTGATATTTCTATCAGTATCGTTCGTCTGGTAGTGAAACAGGGAATTTATAGAAATTGTTTGAAGTTGGTGTTATCCGTGACCACCATAAATGAATCTCAACTGTTAGACAGAGTCATATTTTATTTACTTTAATTCATACCTTTTGTGATCTTAAGTGAAAGTCATTATTATTAGATGCTGATTTTGCTTTATAAAAGTATTTTAATAAGTTGGTCAGCTTAAAGATGGTGACAGCTCGCACACTCCCTTCCAGGGTCAAACATACCATCTATGAATTCACACGTTTGTGTGAATAGCCAAGTGTTTTGGAGATTCGAAATAAAGTTATTGGCTAGAATAGTGATCGCACTATGAAAGAGTAACTTTTGTAAGGATAAATTATGTATAAACGTATAATATAATAGCTTTGGAAAGAAGTTGATATAGTGTTCTAAATGATAAGTGGTTTAGGAAGAAGAATTTTCGAAGTCAACAGACTTTACATAATGTGCAGTTAATTCACTTGAAATTTCTTAAATTTAAATGTCCTCAACTACAATGAGAAATTAAATCTCACTGTGTGATAAACAAAACATTTCCTTAAACATTAATTTACGCTGATCACAGCCTGTCAAATTATCAAATTTATTGTTTAAGATTGGTTATTTATTGTCACTGATCATACATGGCATAAAAACAAAACAGATTGATGGTACTTTTTTACATATTCTGCCTTCACTGTGTTTTCAACCATTTGAATGCTCATTAGTATATTGAAGACACTTCTTCTTCTTGTAGTGTAAACCTGAAGAAACAGTCATTGTCGGTGATACACCTGCAGACTTAATGTCCGGTCGATCGGCTAAGGTTGGCCTTACTGTTGGACTGTTATCTGGATTTTCATCGGCAACCGATCTAGTCTCCTATTCAGACCTAATTTTACCAAACTTATCTCATCTCCCTAATATATTCATTGATTAAAGGTAGTTTGAAGGAAGAAATAAAACAATCCATAAAAGGATGGTACAAAATCAACAAATTCATTGTGTCATATTTTTTTAAAGTTATGAATACTTCTTAGAAACTTTATTCAATTCTGATTTCATTTCCTTTGTACTTTATACCACAAAAGATGTAAACTTATTTTATAATTCCTTCTTCCGAAATATCTTCCTTGAAATTTTTTTGATGACAGTAATAACCATTTTTCAATTATTTCCGATGACGGTTGTTATGGATAATTTAGATATCAAGTTGATTGATGCTAATAAAAGCATTCTACCTAAAATTCCTTTTTGTGAATTCGAATGATATGTTTGGCAGATTGTCTGTTGAAACTCAACATTTCTTAGTGTTTTTTTATTAACTTCCATCATGTAATGCCCACTCATTTCCATTATTCGTTAACATAAGAGACTGGGTAGTTGATATGAAGCTTTAATAATAATCACTTGCCAGTAACTTGGATACAGTCCATGTTTATGACGTAATGATGAAGAGAAGTTGAAAACCTGTTAAATTTTCTGTCTTATATTCTAGTCTATAGATTTCCTGACTAACATCTAAGGAAACAATGACCCAAATCCTGATTCAGCCTAGGTGTTTTGACAAGTCAGTCATTTAACAAGTGATTTTTAGAAAACGTTGCTAATAATGATTCAATAAAAAATCCAAGAAAATACTTAGCTTATCTAAACCTAAAACGATTAATAGTTCACCGGTCGTTTAAATGTACAAAAATCAACAGAACTGCAAGTCTCATTATTTCTAGACAATTCTCATGCAAAGTAAATTAAGCAATCACTGGCACGAATATATCCCTATAGATTGAACTGAATTAAGACCGTTCTAGCAGTACCACATTGGTTTAGTTGTTTAATTATTACTATGTTCTAGATGATAAAGTTAACAACTCACGATTTCCTAAACTCAGACTAGTTATTATTTATTACTTTCTGATTTTTTACATGAGTTGTTGCATGCATCTGTTAGCCAATATACAATAATTATACACTCTATTTATTGGTGAGTACCTACTTCTAGCAAATATTTGTATTTTATTGAGTTTATTAGAGCTTTAAACTTGAAATGAAATATAGTGTGAAAGGATTTAGTTATTTAATAATTCTATAGGTGCTTTAATATGATATTCAACTAAGAAAAAATGCTAATTTTGAATAGACCACTAACCACTAAATAATAAGACGAATAAATTCTTTATTTCTTTTGTTAATATGAATTATCCAGGAGATCTTGAATCAATCGAAACTCACTTGATATTACTTTGTAAGGTAACGCTTTTAATGTAAATGAGAATGTGACATGTTATTTAGTTTGTTCAACCAATATATGAATATTATTTATAGATTCTTACTCTATGAGCTTTAATGTTATCTCATTTAATATCTTACTATAATGTACTTTAATTAGGAGTATTATTTTGTTACACATATTTCACAAACAGATGTAGGATTTATTTAACGATTCGTTATATGACGGTGTGTACTTTATCTCATATGATTTAATTATACCCAAAAATCTATCACAGAACTTTCTTAGAACAAACAGATTTAACTACTCAATAGAAAAATGCTTATTCCCCCCAACTGACGAATAATTTTAATAAGAGTATGCTTTCTGTTTTCTTGACTGTAGATAATTGTTTTTGCTCTTCATGAATTACTTAAATTCAGTGCTGGGACAAGGATATTATCTAAAATATTATGTACTTATAAAGCACCAATATTATCACAAACATATCGCAAAACGTCTGTTTAAGACATCGTGTAGCGTATCTAATCATAAAACGCCGATAGCAAAATCCAATGACTTTAGGAATTCCTATGAATACATTATAATTGGAGCTGGTTCAGCTGGATGTGTTTTGGCCAATCGTTTAAGTTTACCACATCCTAAAACAAAAAATTCTAGTAAAGTTCTGGTTCTAGAAGCTGGTCCTACAGATGTTGGAATTTCCAGATGGACAATTAAGATGCCAGCTGCTCTTATGTACAATCTTTATCACGATAAGTAAGCCATTTTGTTAGTTCAGTTTGTCAGTTTCCCATGAATAATAAGTTTTGTGATGCCTGTATGTTTATAAAACATTTTATTCATTTGTTTACAATGTTTGAACTGAGTTGCTTTCAGGTTCAAAAAATATAACAATGTATTACAAATAATTTAGTGAAAGAATTTTCACAATTCATGTTACGTCTCCATAGAAATTAAAGTGCTCTGAACTGTTGATTCATTATGTTCTCAAGAGATAACCACAAGTCGTTTCTATAGATGCTTTGATTGCACCAAAGTCCCAAATAAATATTGTTATTCTCAGTGACGTAACTGAGGTAATCTTCGATAGCTGTTTTATAATCATTTTGGTCGGAGGTTTGGTGGAATCCTTGAATAAAAGGTATAGATTTTTCTTGTGGTTCGGGGAAACTTTAATATGTCTAGTTTGAGTAAGAAATAGTGGGAAAGTATGCTAGACTATAAAATACCGGGTCTCGATCATTTGAACATTGTTATAGTCACAAATACAAGCATTGGTTTTAGTTTTCTATTTGTACATATTAGTAAGAACGATTAAGTGATCACTTTCCATGTTGTATTTAAAAATATCAGTTATTCCGTCTACTTTACCTACATTCAGAGATACATATCATACGACATTATTTTGAAATTGCGCATTATATCACTGCGGAAAAAAAAGTTAATGAATTATTCATCAGGTAAATGCACTTCATATTTATACTAAAAGTATGATGAATATAAAGTTCGAGCTTGAGTTCGTGGATTGCCAATGCCTCAGCGTTACATAAAATATTGGCTTGACACCCTTTCAATCCAATTCCTTTAACTCAAAGGAAGTAGGTCGAAGGGGTGTCGAATCAATATTTTATGCACTGCTGAAGGATTGGCAATCCACGTTTGATACATATCTTTAATTCTGTCTAAAATGGGTTAACTATCATCATTTTACAAAAAATCATAATCAGTTTTACTTTATAATTATACTTTTATAGTTTATATTCTTACCCTCAATTATAAATCATACTTTAATTTGACATGAAACTCGTGACCACTCTTGAACGTAGGCATGAAGTCGAATGATACCTAACTAATCGTAGAATCTAAAACGGTATTTTATGATGTGCGAGTTAGAACCACTAAATTAATTCAACTAAACAGTTATAGTTCTCCGTAAAAAATGCATAAATGCTACCTTTTTGTAGTTGGTACAACTTTTGTCAGCCTGATCAAGTGAATTATCAGATTTATTCGTCGTCATCATTTTTTAAGTAGCAATTTTACACTTACAAGGTCGTGGGGAGTGCTATTCATCATATATTTAATCCAAAGACGAAAGCTGTAGGATATACATTAAGATGAAATCACAGAGATATGCTGATATAATTCAAGTCAATGTAGGTCATATAGACCGAATAATTTAATTATTCGGTTAACTGAATGATTAGATGTGAAACGGATTAGAGATCACGTTCCGATTTGGGTCGATTGGGTTAAGTAAATCAATAAAATGTGATTGTTCTATTGATTTATTATGTGATCGTTGAGTAAGAAACTGATAGGACTACGTCACACAATCTACTCTGATAACTACTCTCATTTCCATCAAAATTACCTTCCTATCAAGTTATCAAACTTTTTGACAAATCTTCTTGTTCATTCAGAAACAATGACTTGAGTTCAAATCATCCTACTTTAAAATAAGATTCACTCCAGTAACCTCTTATTTACGGGTCCGCAACTTCATTTTCGCTTCAATATTTATCAGTTATTTTATCGCTTAAGATAATCAACTAGTCTTTTATATGGATATATGTTGTCGACTTTGAAAGTAAATGAAATCAGATTATGATAAATAAATTATCATTTTGTTCTATCGTTTACCTTCCATCAGTATGTTAACAAGGTGAAAAGTATTGAACTCATTATGCCGCATACTTTCCGCGTCCTACATTTATTCGGAGAATCTGTATCAAGATTTTAAGTACACCAACTGAATAATTTAAGAAAAAACTGGCTAATATCACAAAAAGTATGTTTTAAACAAATGGTGTTGTACCCATAGTCTAGTTTTTTGCTAGAATTTATGACTTGATAGAAAAAAATTGGATAGTGATTTGTGTATTGTCTATTTATAATATAAAGTATGTTATTAGGAATATATTCACTTCATTTTAACTATAGTGTTCATTATATGGTCTGATAATCATGATAATATTAATATTATTATAAACACTCAAATGCAATTATTCGTCACCAACCCCAAACAAAACATGTTTGAAAATTTAGTTATTACTGAACGAATCACGTCCATACTCTGAACAGAAATCACGTAATAGGCTGAATGTTTTACATAATTTTCGTAGTGATTATAGCAATAATAATGACGTGCATCAGTCACTGGTGTATTTAAATGCATATCTATTTGTTGTTACTTTTTTCACACTACCATCTATGTGCTTGTCAGTTCACTAATGATATAAACTATCCTGTTATATACAAAATACATATCAGTTTAAAGTACACAATCGACAATAAAAGTATCATTGGATACGGTTATGATAAAATTTCTAAATATCAGTTAAGTAGTTTATAGACCTATATTTGCATTGATAGTATTTCAGTTATTTAACCATTCTTTTGAAAAATAGACTAAAACTATCAGAGCTTCTAAGCTACTAAAGAATACGGTGGGCAGAAAATTTACATACGAATTAATACAGGAGCTAGTAATAAGTCAATCATTTAGATAAAAAGTGTATATAAATAATAAAACAGTTTGTTGAAACTAATTTTTAATAACCAGTGTGACTTAAAAATACGTCAATAAAAAGGTCTCCATTTGGTCACTGCCTTTGTAAGTATAAGGGTTAATCCAGACCACAGACGCTGGATTTGATCTCATGGTGCGGAGTAGTGGATGTGCACTGCTGTGAAGTTCCATGCCAGGAAGAAACGGTTGTTTAGTACTTCCAGGTTTCCACTAACAGTCTAGCTAAAATCAGTTCGTAATCTAGACTGTAAAAATTCTACAATTTTCGCGAATCCCCTTACACTAACAAAAGTACATTAGCCAGGTTTATTGAATTATAGTTAATAAAAACGTTACTTTGGTTACCAGATGCCTAAGCCAAACAAGAAGCAATCTGTGTTTAGATTTCATGCTGTGGTGGTTGTAGATACAACCATTAAAGTCACTGATTATTAAAATAAAATCACCTCATACTGAGGTGTATGCTACTTATGTCGATAGACATAAGTAGTATATAACACCAATCAAAAGTGGGATGCCTGGCAGCAGAAAGTTTGGACGATCAAATCGAAGAGAACGAGAACAGAGAGTAATTTTCATGGCAATGGGAAAACGATGAGGTTTGAGACAACTGATGGAGGATTCGCATATGAAGTATTGAACGTATGATTTTCACAATTGATGAAAGGACTCTGTAATTTTGTATACAGTACACTGGTTGCTCGCACATGAGTGTTCATTTATTACAGTACCATAAAGATAGTTTCATTATTAAAAGTGAATGATTATGAGGAGGTTTGGATGGTCTTGTCGTTTCATCTTGACAGCGATTCAGATACTGTCGTTAGAATATAAAATATCAAAGCCTAATATAAATCAAGTAAGCAAATTGCAATATTCCTGAGAGTTGACTTAGCAGTTTCTGTAGTAAGTAGTTTTGAAACATCAAGTTTAGACAGAATTTATTCCATAATAACCCCGACAGTGCTGAAAAATAAAATTGTAATAAAGCGTAAAGCTATTATTTCGATAAGTTGTACAGCATTGACACTATGAGAAATTTCATGTTTATATGTATGTACTGATTTCTTTTGATAACATTTATACCCTGTGTGCAAGTTCAGAAGCGATGAGAGCTTACAAGCTATAGACCATTGTATTCAGAGAAAAATAATACCTAGATTTATTGTAGTTATTCATTGTCAGATGAAAATACATGATCTTTATTCACAGTGATAGGGTCCGTATGCAAATTGTTTGATAAAATCGATTCAATATATATGTGATTTAAAATTATTCTTTGCATCAGTTACTAGAATTGCGTACAAAAATACCGTTGGCCAAATAAGTATCGTAAAATGCTCAGGCAAAAATGAAAAATAGTTATAAGATCATTCAGGCCTGAATACTATAGGCAGATATTGTTTGAAAAAAGGATTTTTACAACGAACAGTGCTTACAACTTTTAAGTTAATGATATAAAGTTTAGCGTCTGTACGATTCTTTACATAAAGACAGGATCGGGTTTTTAAACATTTGTGCTGTTTGAAGCGATTACGAGTTCACTTAATCTGATAACGAAATGAAGACTCTATGACACAATGACAGAAAGTGAGCTATTCTGACGCGTCCCAGTCCCACTAACTAGAGAGAGAAGTCCAAGTCCGAAATGGGGAAGTTTATTCCGCAAGCAACCATAAGCACAAGCAATAACAACAGGCACAAATCAAACGTATATATACAGCACAAAATTGTCCTTGAGAAGCGTTACAAAATAGCATGCGAAAAGATACAACGAACCAATAACGTTTAAGGTTCTCCCAAGTGGGAAATACAAATATAAAGGTGAAAATGAGCGCGTTTGGCTCGAAAACAAGAAATTCGGGTTTTTAAAATAAAATTACAAAAATAAGGTATTTATCAAGTGAGTTCTGGGGATCTGACATCCCCAACAATATGATTACTGATTTTTAATGAATGATAATTGTTTGGATTCTAGATACTTATTTTGTCTTGTGAGAACTAAAAGAGATATACGTAGTCAGATTATTTGGACTGTCACATCAATACTATTATAAAAGATAGCTCTGTCCATATCAAGACTCGAACCGCCGGGATAAATATAATTGACCTGGCGCTTTGTTAGACAAATTTGTTGTCCACTAATGAACGACACCTACACTTTAGTTCGCTTGCGCTACTTACAGTTCTACATCTTGCTTGAGTTTCAAGAATAATAAAATGAAGTTTAAGTATAAACTATCAGTTAACGACTAGAAAATTACAAAAAAATTACAGGTTCACATCTTATGATTCGCAGTACATGTTATTATCAGTTAACACCCTTATAAAACATGCAGCTTAATACACTGTAAATAATTTAATGACCAACTTTTCTTTGTTTCCTTGTAAACGTATCATTCTTAATCCACAGTTTTTGAAAAATAGGTGGTTCTGTGGTGTTTTATCGTTGTTAGTCGCTTACACTCCCGGAAAGTTATATTCTGATGCATGTTTAATAACTTAATTGCGTTCATGGATTTTTCTCATACGATATTATTTATAGATACAATTGGTATTATCACACTGTTCCTCAAAGACATATGAATGACCGTACTATGTACTGGCCCCGAGGTCGTGTTCTTGGTGGAAGTTCATCTTTAAATGCCATGGTCTATATTCGAGGTCATCCGTTAGATTATGATAGGTGGGAATTGGAGGGTGCTGATGGTAATCAAACGATACTTTTTTAAAATTAATATTCTAATGATAAATTGTTATTGGATTCAATCTATAAAAATATTTTGATCAGTTACTCCGTTCTTTGTTTAAGTCAAATTCTCTTTGGACCTGAAGCTAAAAGTTTCAACACTGTGCTTTGTATTCACTTGGTATTGTTTTTGCTTGAATCTTCCCATCAAGGTTTAAGACTGCAATTGATCAGTTTATTATTGGCATACGTGCCTACTGTGCCTATTGCCTCGATATTGCCCCAATTCACAAGCTTTATAAGTAAAGATGGATAGTGGTTAGCTGTGGAATTTAGGACGCCTTGTATCTTTTACAACAACCAGATTGCTATATACGGTTTACTTTAACAGTTGGAAGATCAGTAGTCATACTGTGGAGAATATAGTAGAATTTGTATGTTTTGGCATTAAGTCTAACCTCTGATGAATGACGTTGAAAAAGATATATGTACAAACTTTTAAGATTAAGTGTCCATGAAAAATTTCGCAGTTATTCTTCAAAGAATACCGACATACGTATGAGCTGTATTTCACAGATCTTAGGACTTGACAAAGTGATTAACTACAGATTATTTACATAAATTTCGTATGTTCTGAATCTACCCTCTGTCAAGCATTTATTTGTTTTGCATGTTGTATACACACAGTATTTCTCGCTTTGAGTTTGTAAATCAGATATCCTGGTATAACTTGATTGCCTTTCAGATCTAAGCTAGAATTTCTAAAAATACAAAGTTTCAAAAATGAACGGAAGTTCTAGGTATTCACTGTTTTCCTGCCTGATGATGTAGGCTTTTCTCCAAACGTTTAAATGATGAAAACAAGGACGTTTGTACTGAAAAATTTTCAAAATATCAATCTTTTATTTATGGAAATCTTTCTCATATAGGTTGGAATTATGCAAACTGCTTGCCATATTTTCGCAAAGCTCAGACTCATGAACTCAATGGGAACCAATATAGAGGTTCTAATGGTCCATTATATGTATCCAGAGCCAAAACTAATCACCCATTACATTCAGCCTGGATTGAAGCAGGCAAACAGGCTGGTTATCCGTTTACTGATGATGTAAATGGGTATCAACAAGTAAGACTAATGTTTCGACACTTATATTTCAGACCTTTGCCGAATGATTACTATGACCTTCGAGACATAGTGATGATGTTATGCTTTTGGCTATTAAGGCTTTTGAAGCGTGATCTGTTTTAAGTTACTTTAATTATGTACCATAAGTGGCTCGACAGTCATTCGAGAACTCAATTCCCATGAGTGGCTAACTTTGTGAAGAATAGCCTAAGCTCAAATAAAAGGCAACGAATCATGGAATTCATCCATACTTTGGTATCGAATATTGATCTTGCGAGATCGAAGACCAAATAAACTTTAGAAATGTAAAACACTGGATCCCGTTCTAGCGATCTGAAGGTATCATGCTTACTTTGGGACTAAATGGTTCTATGTTTGATTATGTGCAGGAACACCCTTGGTGGTTTGTTTATTTGGGAATAGAAAGTTGTTCATTGATCCGTATCTTTCATTGTCCATCTACCAAATGTCAGTCAACAATGATAACAACGTCAACCTTTTGTTTTGACTAACATCACTGATCAATTCCTTAATTTACTCTATATTCAGGTAGATCAATTTAATCATTAAGTTCATCATAGAATAGAATTAGAAATCTTTCAGTTTTATCCAAAAACCCATTGTTTATGGGAATAGTAGTTAAACGTCTTTCATAGATTAAAACACAAGTAAATGTTATTTTGGAAAGTTTTCCATCACTGCTCATGATAAATGGAAAGTACATCACAAACATGTTTATAGTCGAATCGCCTTCAAAATATTACAGGATCTCAACTCGGAATCATTTTAAGTATAATAGTGTAGTAGTTCACGTCACTAATAATTTGTACTAATAGCCACACTACTATTATCTGGTCTAGTAGTATTCTACGTTTTAGACTAATTTGTGACAACTGGATACAAAAAATTGTATTTTTGATTTTTTGTTTTAATGTCGAAGAATCAGCGATTTACTTGGAATATAAACACTTAAGTCAAGAATAAACAAATATATTAATGCTACAGAGTGCTGCTCAATCATTTGCTTAAAATGAATTTCGAATATGAGTCTGAATATGGCTTTTGTATGAATCATAAAGTTTTGTGATTTATGTAACTTCAGAATTAATGTATATCCGCTAACTGTATCAACATAACTGTGGCGTTTTGTCACAGGGCATAAATGATACCGAAACCAAAGGTCGAAATTCTGATTTCAATTACGTTTAAGAAATTTGACACTTGGTGACGAAAATTTAACTGCTTAGTGGTATATATACAAATATTTATATTCCTTTATATTTATTATTGTCTATAACTTAATTTATTTTTATATTTAAATGCTTATAAATGGATTTTGACGTAACAATTTTTAAGGAGGGCATGGGCTACTTTGATATGACTATTAAAAACGGTGAAAGGTGTTCAGCTTCCACAGCTTATTTACATCCAGCTATGAAGTCTAGTTCTAACTTAACTGTTGAAACAAATGCACTAGTCACGCAAATACTTTTTGAAAATAAAAGGGCGGTCGGTGTAAAATACAGTAAAAACGGCCAAGTTCATGAGGTAAGAATGTCTTCCTAAAAGTTTAGTTTGAATTATTCATGTTAATTTACTTTTATAATGTGCGATAATTATCTGCCCCTATAGGATGAGCTGTAATACAATAGAATTACGAATGATGATAAATTTACAGAGATGTGAGCACTTTAGTGTCAACAAGTTGTTTCCCCAATTCAATTTTCTTGTATTATTGATCTCTTTCTCTAATGTGTCAGCGTCTGTTTGTGTTGCCTGGTATATATAAACTATTTTTGTAAGTCCAAATATATGGGTAGTTTACATTCGCTACTTCTCGCTTACTCATCTTTCTGAAGTATGACAGATTTTTTTATCTGTTTATCTATATTACACAACCTTAGAAATTCTTCATTGAGCCTGAGAAAAAATTATATCATATCTACAACGTAAGTTCAAAAATTCAGCATAATTTTGCCTTTGCCATTATCCTTTAGTCAGGAATTATATAATGGTTAACTGTCACTAACTATTAAGGTGATTCAGTTCGGAGCCTTAAGAAGGAATTTACTTTTTAAAATACAAGCATTTACCACTTAAAATGTGATTGATAAAAATAGATTATAACGTCAAAATCATTAGAGATTTCGATATGTAGCACAAAGTAACTCTACTCGGTATTGGAATTATCACAAAGTACTGGAAGCAACCTAAAATTGTTAACTTCTTCTTTATACTATTTCAACTCTCAGTTAGTTAATTATTTGTCTAAACATCATCCTTCACTTAATACTAAAGTTTCATTTATTCTAACTAAAGACACCCAGGTTTCGTTTTATTTTTATTTGTTTCAAATTCAAAAGGCTAGAGCAGAATCTGAAGTGATCTTATCAGGAGGAGCTATAAACTCACCACACTTACTAATGTTATCGGGGATTGGTAATGTAGATTATTTACGCTCAATTGGAATAGATGCTTGGCATCATTTACCAGGTGTCGGACAAAATTTACAAGATCATTTAGAATTATACGTACAGCAGGCTTGTAAAAAGGTATTTAATAATATCATAATTAAGTTGTTTATTCAGATTGCATACATCAGTGAAAATAGATTTGCAATAATAACCATTTCTTTTGATGTTCACAATTCCATGAAAACACAGGTATTCATGTGTGTTCATAATTCACGTAATCCGGTGACTGATATCAACATTAAAGTATATGTGGCTGTCGTGAAACTTTGGTTAGCAATTTATGAAGGACAATGGTGAAATGTAACAGAAATGTTTCATCCTATTTGTAACTAACTTGAATATTAATAAGTCGAACTAATAGCTTCCTGTAACAGAAGAAGACTGTTATCATGAGTCCTATTTTTTCCTTGTCAACTTTTCAAACTTGTCTAATCATACATTTTCACTGTTATACCAGCGTTGTTTTCTCTCAACTTCTCAGATATTTCTGAAATAATCTAGATAGAAGGGAGCTTATCCTAAGTGGCACACAGTCAGGAAAGTTTAATCTAGCTGGTTGGGGTAACCGTTTATTTGTGAAGTATAAATTGTTACTGTATACTGATGTTTTGAAGGATGGACTTTTCTTATTCTTTTATGGCTTACAACAATGTTTGTTTTTCACATGTATATTCAAGTGATGTTTCATATTCATTTTAATAGTTTTACTGCTCTATTGAAGATTTGTATCAGTTTTTGTATAAAGGTTGTTTAACGTTTTCCATGTACTTTTGTGCGTCATTTAAGATGTAGTTTGAATATTAGAATAATTGTATTTATTTATTTTGTAAAGAAGGACAAATTGATATTGGATTTCTCTTAAGGATAATAAATGAATTCATCCTGTAGGTATTCAGAGAAAGTAAAATATGTAGACTCTAAAATTAAGGGTATATTGTTCGTTACCGATGCACGAAGAAAACTGCATACTAGTTCGCCATTGACGTCAAAATGTGTTATGTCTTTTGCCGTAAACAAAATAATTTAAACCTGATTAAGAATATATTATTTCTTTGTTTAAATTTGAACAAAGTAGTAAATAGACAACTTTTCATAAAATAAGCTCCGAATTTCTCGTTAACAGTTTCTGTTTTTTTGCATAGCCAATAACGCTTTACAAAGCTCAGTGGAAATATCCACATATTATGGTTGGGATCGGTTTAAAATGGATATTTTTCCGTCGGGGCTGGGCGGCGACAACTCATTTAGAAAGTGGTGGTTTCGTAAGAACAGAAGCAAATATTTCTCACCCTAACATTCAGTTTCATTTTCTCCCATCGACAATACATGATCATGGACGTAAAATGGGTGGCCAGCATGCATTTCAGGTAAGGATCTCACGCTCCCATTTTATTCTTGTAGTTGCTAGTTTTCGTGTGAACGGGCTAAAAATGGGAAACTCCAATAAATACTGTATATGATATCATTCTAAGTGAATTAAAAATGTAAAGCTTGGTCACAAAACTGAGCGATTATTGCTAGATATCTAAATTAAATCGAAGCTAGTATAACATATGGATCAATGTGATCTTTTAAGAAAGCACTGTTCTCTATCTATTAACAGGCCATATTTAAGACAACTTTGAAAGTAATAAATCTAATCTTTGTATTATCATGTTTTACCTTTTGATAGAAATCGACACAAGCATCTTACGTACAGCTTCACACTGGTAATAATTAATGTTTAAAGTGTGACTAGAATATAATTACAACAACATAGAAAAACTAGGTGGGTCATTGTCATCCTTGTCATCCTTGTGGTTTTTCTAGTGACCTTATAAAATTACTGAAATAGTGTTATGAAATGTCCATCTTGTTTGCCGTTTTTATAAAAACACCATACGCTCATTCTGTTTTCAGTGATCACGTATGTACATTGTAAGAAAATTAATAGTAATAAAGCCAGAGTAAATCTGTCTATCCAACTGCTCTAAAATTGTGTTAATTAAATGCTGATATTGCTCAACAAGTAATACCAATCTGTGTTTGGAGTTTTTAGTTATTGTCGTTTGAAATCGATTACAGTAATATGAGTTCATTCATTTTTCATTCGTTAGCCTTGAACAACGTATCATCTCTCAACTTTCGTTTGTTGTGTCATGTCACTTATTTCAACACTTGTGATCCATTATTGTTGGTTTTTAAAAGTTTGTCTGTCAAATGATCTTTTTCGAGCTTTTTTCTTGTTCAGCATTCTGACACAATGATACCTGTAGTTCATTCACTTTTAATTTAGATTCAATAAAGTCTATACTATTCATTGCTTCCATTTATATATATATATATATTCTGGTTATGCTTAGTCACATAATATATTTGATAACTTCATTTTGCTTGCTGTATTCGCCTCAGATAGTACATACAAAATGAAATAATGAGCTTACTTCAATTCCAACGTAAATTAGGTATTCAATTATATTAAAAGTAAGTAGAACTAGTAGTGTTAAGCAACTGAATTAATAACTTGACTGAATATTGTACATAACTGTTCGGCTTGAAATAAAGCTTTTCTGAAAATTAAAACATGCCTTATAAAACCTATCTTCAAAGTTAATAAACAGAAATGAATAATAAACTAAAATTCAATATAAAATTTTACAATATCATTAAGTAGTTAACACATTTCTGCAACTGGAACTTTATCGAACAAATTAATGTAGTATTTTTTGATCAACATTAATAACATTATATAGGTGCATGTTGGACCAATGAGGTCAAGAAGTCGCGGCCAAATTTTATTGTCTCCTGCAAGTTTAGGTTTTGCTCCAAAAATAGACCCAAATTATTTAGCCTGTGAAACTGATCGAGCTGAAATGCGAGCAGCCATTCGTTTGTCACGCGAAATATTCGCTCAGCCTGCATTAGCGAAAGAATTCGCAGGCAAAGAACTGGCTCCAGGTGAGGATAAAGTATCAAATTCTCAACTGGATGAATTTGTACGTTCTTTTGGTGATAGCGCATACCATCCTTCTTGCACTTGCCGTATGGGTAAAAATCCTGATGGTCGTAAAGCTGTAAGTGATGATGAAATACACAATGGTTATTTGGGTAATGGTAGAATAGAGGCAGCAGTTACTCAATCAAACTGTAAAGTGTGGGGCATTGACAATCTTCGTATTGTTGATGCAAGTATAATGCCATCAATTGTTTCAGGTAATTTAAATGCACCTGTCATAATGATGGCTGAAAAAGCTGCAGATATTATTGTCAGTTCTCGAGATGGTGTTTCAGTTGTTTTGCCAGCTGATTCAAATCCCTCCTATTGGAAACCAGAGCATCCTGATAAACAACGTGATGGTGTTCCACTTGTATCTCATCATTTGATTTAACTAATATGAAGATAAAAAAATTGAGAAAATCTATCCAGTATATTAACTCCCTCGTTTTAGACATACTATTTATAAAGCACACATTATCACACTCCCAATAATAGTTGCTTTCAAATAAATGCCTTACTTGTTTTTTTTCTTTTTTTGTCAAAGACTTTTAAAGCTCTTGATAATAGTAGTTTTTTTAAAAATTACATTTCCATATTGAAAGTGCTTATATTGAAATTACAGGAAATCGCATTGAATTAGATTTTTCCAAATATCCACATTCTATTTTATTTTATTTTTGTTCCGTTTGGTTAACTTAATAACAGTTTTTTATGATAATTGCAATTTCATATAACAGAATGGTAATAAATAAAGTGATAATTTAACTATATATATTGTTTTCTACGGATAAAGCTCTAAATTGAAACATCCAAAATTGCCATAAAGAGATTTACATGGAAAAATCATTATTTAGATTAATACTCATGATATTAATAGATTTATGTTAATAATCAAATTGGATTTTGGCAAGTATCTACATATCTTTTGCAGCTAAGTGAATGGATATTATTAACTTTTACTACAGAATTTAGTACTTCTTAAAGATGAATCACATTGAGGCATTAACCCAATGATATCTAACGATATAAAGTGCAGGATGATATCTTTTTAATTCCAAAAGTATCAGTAATTTTTCAATATATTTTGATATCAGTCTTAATTCTAATCCTTCTTTTGAAATGTAATTCAAAATCACCTACGTTAAGTGAACTCCGATGAAAACTAATTTCATTCTCCGACAGAAATTGTATTATGATTGATAGTGAAATACGTCAAGGCTTGATTATTGTATAAAAGGAAACTTTGGTTTATTGTTAGAAGCTTCAAAAGGTTGAAATGTACTGCCTATTAAAAATTAATTTAAGATCATTTCTTCCTAGATGTTTACAGTCACCAGACACGTTTCATCAGCCTAAATTGGATACTGAATTTTCATAGATATTCCTAATCGAACATTGTGTCAGAAGAAAATTGTTACTAACCATTAAAATTCAGGAGAATGTATCATAAGTGGAAATGTACAATCAATGTATGACAATGTTTAGTAAGCAATCATCAAACTGTCCTTATGATTCCGTCTCATGTAGGAAAGACACTACTAAAATTCATGAATGATGACATTTTTTGTTGTTGTGGTAAACAGACGTTTTTTAATTATTAGTATAACTAATCAGTACTAGGTATATGTTGTCGAAATTGGGAACAGACTTCAGTAACACTTACTGTCTTCAATATTTTTCAAAAGTAAAATATGACTTGGTCAGTCTTCTACAACTAATATTATGCTAATTTATCCAAATAATCATTCTTTTAAAAACAAGAAAAGGCTTTCAGTGGTTGAAATCATGAGTCAATCGAAGCTAGACCACCGTATAAAATCTGGAAGCACTGGACGGCCGTATCGTCCGATTATGGTACTCCCCAGCAGTGTGCTTTCATTTGTGCTTTTATTCTAAGATTACGGTGGGATAAGTATAACATAACCAAGATTTACTTACAATTCCTGTTAAGATTAGTTATTTTATATTACATCACCAGTAAAAATGGTTACTTCATTAAAATCAGTTCGCTTCAAGAAGTCAAGTCCATTGGACAGTTTAGGAAGAAATCAAAGAGTCAAACAGTAAAAATGATCACCATTTAACACTTAACACAAGATTAATTTAAAGCACCAAGCCAAACACCAGTGATTAAGTTGTTTGGTTTACTTTTGATGGGAAAAATGTGATATTTGTCATTCTAAGACGCTCATGACGTTGCTGAGCAGCGTTTTTGTGTATCTGTGTTCTTCAAATGCTACTAATGAACGAAAGCTCTGAAATTCCTAGGTTTATGATTGATACCATATGTATTCAGTTAATAACTTTAAACTTCAAAGTAATTTTGTCTCTGACTATGAATTTCACATATCTTAAGTTTAAGTTTAACGAATGCTCTAAAAAATTCTCAGTCGAAATGGTTTATAAACCACATCTTTTCAAATAATATACATTTATATTTCATTATAACCTTTTCTTAACACTAACCTGACCGCTCCTGTAAATTGGCGTCCATACTGTAATTTTTTTTCGGCATAAAGAATATTTATACTGTTGAAGAGAAACTAAATGTGCTACGTAATACTCTGACGAAAAACGGATACCCTGCAATGTTCGTAAACTAGTACTTCTTCATAAAGATCATAATAAGATACATTAGATCCGTAAATCATAACCAGATATTTATAAGCCCACAGTTTAGAGGAAAGAGACCTAACATAACGGTATTTCAGAGATCATTCGAAATAGCTCCAAGAACGTTTGGTTCAGGAACGCTACAATTAGTGATTATCACTCATTTGATGGTAACATAGGGTGAAAATGAAGTAGCTATATTGGTTCTTCATATCTATCAATTCAACGTTTGTAGATCGATTCGAGTGGTGTTGTAAGAATCAACATTTCCTTTAAAAATACAAGTTAAGGGAAGAAATATTTTCCTATTGGTTTGACGTCAAGGCTCTAGACTATTACATAAGTTTGTAATTGTGTGAACTGAGTACCAAATATATAGTGGTGGATTAATTAATTAGTAACTCAACCGATTTAAAAATAAAAATGAAACGAAATTATGTAATGGGTTGATTTCTGGAACTAGTTACGTAGGAGTATAAGTAGGAAATGTTTAAGATTGAACTTAAGCAGTTGAATATAAATGTTTCGTGCTCTTTAAGAACATATTACAAAGAAAACTAGTCAAATTAATGAAACAGATTTCTCAAGAATAAGTCTAGAAAATAAAATACAAAAAAAACAGAAATAATTAAAGGAGAGTAAGCGTATTTAATCGGAATGGCTAGATTAATAATGAGGCTGAACAAATACCTATTCATAAATATTAAGCTTATTCATATGTGTTTCTAGGACTTCTACTGAACGTACAAGACGAATTCTGGAGGCATAGTTGAAGTTTTTCGCGACTCTGTACATGGCTTTAAGAGTTGACTTAGTGTCGATGAGGTAACAGTGCCTAATGGATCAGTCAAAATAGCACGCTTCATAGTTTCCTTTCGTTCTCTGATTAACTGTGGGGGTGATACTCAAAAATATGATGCTGTATTTACTGGGTTGCACTCTTAATGGAACTGGCTCCACAGAAGCAGTTGATTTGGTAAATGTACTTGAAGCCAGAGGGACTGGTCAATTTATCCTTATATCTTGAATTCAATATTAGCTGGCTGAAGAGAAAAAGACATAATCTTACTTCACTGGGATGTCACTTTTATGCGTTTTTTATATCTCGTATTACCCGTTAACTGATTATATCATCTTTAAACCGGAACTTCAGGAATAAAAGTGTTTTTAGTGATATTGTTGACTATATTTTGGACTTTTTACTTATGTATGTTTAGTTAGGAACTTTGACACATACAATTCTTTGCTAAGTAAATAATGTAAAAGTTTTAGGTTTCTTTTTGAATGCATCATCAAAGTAAATAGTTTTCGCTCTGTGAACCCAACATTCTATTAAACTTCTTTAATAATAATGTATTGAGAATGAAGAGTTCATGATATTTTTTAGTGTCTTAGTAAGAATATTTAATACATTAACAAACACAAAATTCAGTAAGGTAGGAACTCTCAGTATCACTTGACTTAGATGCGGATTCAAGTACACAAGATAAACTCCTTTTTTCATTAATTACAAACTCTAACAAAGCTATTATACTAACAATCATAAAGTCAAGTTTTGTATTTTAAAAGTATCTCAAAATTGTCTATTTATATCAATGCCTGTCAACATAAGTAGTATGCAACATCAATCGGAAATGCAAAACTTGGCAGCATAAGACTAAAAAGATGGAGTTGAAGAGCATATAAAGGAAAAGAGAAACGAATTGTGGAATGAAAGAATCATACAGAATATGAAGAACAATTGATGGAAGTTTGCAAATGAAATATTCAGTATATAGCTCTCATATCTTGCCAAGAGATTCTGTATTCAAATACAATCAGATGTTACCATCTAGGTCTTCGTTCACAGTAGTACTGTTAGTAAAATTTATGATAAGGTTATAAATTCATTTAGTTAGATTTTGTTCAGGAACAAATGCAAATATCTATACATTCTCCTAGGAATATTCAATGAATATATCATTCTGTGTGGAAATCAGGCAACTTGAGATGATTGATGTAAAATGATGTAAAGAAGTTTTATAATATTCGAACCCATAAAGATCGATTTTGAACAAATTTGAATAGTTAGTAGAACATTCTTTTTTTCCGACATTTGCTATAGTCAACGTAACATCTTTTGAGACATATTTCAGTATTTTTATAAAGTAAAGATTATGTTTTTGAAAACCATACGAAATTAAATACTCAAAATAAATATACGTTTCAAAAGTGAAACAACTGTTTGATATGAATCACATACTGGAAACATCATTAGTTTAACGCCAAAAAGTTGGTTTTGTTTCTAAACTATATGAACCTCCACATATCAACCACCGACATGACAACATTTGACGACACAATATCTAAGATATACACTGGAAGAAGAATTCAAAGAATATCATCAAGTCATTCAGATTTTACAGTTATAAATCCATAAGTATTGAGTTACACTAAACAGTTGCTGTGATCGCGATATTATGATATCACCTGAAAACTAGCAACGCAATAACAGGATGAAGCTAAACCATTCCTATGGGCCCCAGCACTGCTACTTAGAGGTAGACCAGACTTAAGACAAATTTGAGTGATCGTTGAAACCAGATTAAGATTGATAGGCATAACATAAAGATTATATTGATTAAGGAGCATGGAGAGACCAATCAAAACCTCATACTGGATGAGAATTTAATAATTAATAGACCAGATAAAGGATCAGGTTTCATAACTCGAAGCAAAATTAATTACACAAGTTAGTTGGATCTTCAGATGAATGATGAATCCAGATTCAAAACGAGGGCAAATTAAGCCATCAACTGAAAAGACTGAAATTAAGATGCATATACTGGGGAAGATATTCGAGTTGCATATTCAAATGTTTAACGAGTATAGAAATTAAAACATTTAGAGCTTCCCATTTTAACTCAAAGTGTTTTCCCTAGAAAAATTGATTCAAAAAAGTGCATAATGAAAAGATATCACCAAGCGATACAAAAGACTGAAAAACGAAATGTTATTAACATGAAAGTATAATTTCACAAATTAAAGGAGTTTATTTCACCATGACTACAAAGGTTTCGGTATATGACTAGTCATGATAAATATCGTTTTCGTCATAGTATGCAAATCTGGAATGCATGTACTTCTGGTTCTATTATTTTATCATGTTAGCCAATT